TTAGCCACGTTAGTATTTTTAAAGCTGATCTACTCTTGGTTTTCACTTTATAGTTTGAGTTTTCTCTTATTCTTGTGACTGATCTGGTTTTACAATCTGGATTGTAGATACGGTGACGGTGAGCCAACAGACAATGCAGCGAGATTCTACAAATGGTTCACCGAGGTGAGTCTCTTTGTTTTGCGTGGCTTCATTTGGTTTATTGTAACGTGTGTCTCTGTTTTCTTGTTTCTCAAGCTGTAACATGTGTTTACAGGAGAATGACAGAGGAGAATGGCTTACGAACCTGAAATTCGGAGTGTTTGGATTAGGAAACAGACAATATGAACATTTTAATAAGGTTTTAAAAATGGAATCTTTTACTCTCTTTTTTTAAAAAAATGTTTTTTCTCCGATCATTTTGTTTCACCATGTTCTGGTTTCCTTCTCATACTTCTGAATCGAGCTTATATTTTTTAATTGTTTTTCAAATCTGTCTTGCAGATTGCCAAGGTTGTAGATGACATCCTTGTCGAACAAGGTTTGTTTGTTTTGATCATTCGTCTTAGATCCCTTGTCTCGTCTTGATGTGTTTGTGTTTGCCTGCATTGTTGTTTTCTAACTTGATGAGTGGTTTGTTCAGGTGCACAACGTCTTGTTCATGTTGGTCTTGGAGATGATGACCTGTGTATTGAAGATGACTTCACCGCATGGTATTCACTTTGATCTATATACTTTTTTCTCTCTTCTATCGCCTTCTTCTTATGTACATTTCTGCTTTGGACATCTGTTTTTGTTTTCTGAGCTTAGTTTTGTATATCTTGCAGGCGAGAAGCATTGTGGCCCGAGTTAGATACATTGCTAAGGGAAGAAGGTGATACAGCTGTTACACCATACACTGCAGCTGTGTTAGAATACAGAGTTTCTATTCACGACTCCGAAGATGCGTTGAATGAGAAAAATTTGGCCAACGGGAATGGTCATGTCGTGTTTGATGCTCAACATCCTTACAGGTGTGCAACCAAGCAGGCTAATTCTCTCTTGTTTCTCTCTCTCATATAGTATTGACTTCTTAGATCTAATCCATGCTTTGTTTTGGGGGTTTAAAGGGCAAATGTTGCTGTGAGAAAGGAGCTTCACACTCCAGAGTCTGACCGTTCGTGCACCCATTTGGAATTTGACATTGCCGGAAGTGGGCTGACGTGAGTTTTACTGCTACTTAAGAATGTGGACAGAGTCAGAGTAAATTTTCTTGAAGGATAACAATGAATCTATATTTTATATCTTGTTTGTCAGGTATGAAACTGGAGATCATGTTGGTGTACTATCTGATAATTTAAGTGAAACTGTTGAGGAAGCGCTTAGGTTGCTGGATTTATCACCTGATACTTATTTCTCCCTTCACCCTGATAATGAAGACGGCACACCAATCAGTAGCTCGCTTCCTCCTCCATTCCCACCTTGCAACTTGAGAACAGCGCTTACACGATATGCATGTCTATTGAGTTCTCCTAAGAAGGTTAGTTGGATTCGCATCTGATTCGTCACCGGACTGGTTATGATCAGCTTCGTTTGTCTTCATAGAAATTCGAATTCACTTGTTTTCATGCTTTTGTTATTGCAGTCCGTTTTACTTGCTTTGGCTGCTCATGCATCGGATCCAGCTGAAGCAGAGCGATTAAAGCACCTCGCATCACCTGCTGGAAAGGTTTGTACCTGAGCTTTTTGTTGGCTTATGCTCTTCCATTATAAATTTTTCTCTTACAAGTATATATTGTGAACCTTTCAACACCAGGATGAATATTCAAAGTGGGTAGTAGAGAGTCAAAGAAGTCTTCTCGAGGTGATGGCTGAGTTTCCTTCAGCCAAGCCGCCACTTGGTGTCTTCTTCGCTGCAGTTGCTCCAAGGTTGCAGCCTAGGTTCTATTCGATATCATCATCCCCCAAGTGAGTACTTCTCATTGTCTTGGTCTTTTGTATTCAAGTTGCTAGCTTGAGACGTAACTGGTAATTTTTAGCGTATTGACCATTGTTCTGTTTACTTGAATTAGGATTGCTGAAACTAGAATTCATGTCACATGTGCATTGGTTTATGATAAGATGCCAACAGGCAGGATTCATAAGGGTGTGTGTTCGACCTGGATGAAGGTAAATATAACCTGACAGCTTCTTGCAAACATATCGCATTGTAAAATATTTGCTGTTTGACCCATTTCTTATCGAAACAGAGTGTAAGACTAGGATTAAATCTCGGTACCCTTTTTGTTTTTTTTGGCGTTGTAATCACAGAGTGCTGTGCCTTATGAGAAGAATGAAAACTGTTGCTCAGCGCCGATATTTGTTAGGCAATCCAACTTCAGGCTTCCTTCTGATTCTAAGGTACCGATCATCATGATCGGTCCAGGGACTGGGTTGGCTCCTTTCAGAGGTTTCCTTCAGGAAAGACTCGCGTTGGTCGAATCTGGTGTTGAACTTGGACCATCAGTTTTGTTCTTTGGATGCAGAAACCGTAGAATGGTAATAATAAAGCAGTTTTTCGAAATCTCAAATCTCTCAATACCAGAGTCCGATTTCTCAAGTATATTCACATTTGCAGGATTTCATCTACGAGGAAGAGCTCCAGAGGTTTCTCGAGAGCGGTGCACTCTCAGAGCTAAGCTTGGCCTTCTCTCGTGAAGGACCCACCAAAGAATATGTACAGCACAAGATGATGGACAAGGTATATCTAATTCCTCTGCTTAATACAAACAAAACTCAGATCTTCAGATTCACATTCTTGTGCTGACATTGTTTTGCGGATGCAGGCTTCTGATATCTGGAATATGATCTCTGAAGGAGCATATGTATATGTCTGTGGTGACGCCAAAGGCATGGCAAGAGACGTTCACAGATCTCTCCACACAATAGCTCAAGAACAGGTTTGTGTCACACTCGGAACCTGAGAGACCAACTAGTTACATCACAAAAAAGACTGAGATGGGTTTACTTATCATGTCTTGTCTTGTTTTCAGGGATCAATGGATTCGACGAAAGCAGAGAGCTTTGTGAAGAATCTGCAAATGAGTGGAAGATATCTGAGAGATGTGTGGTAACGATACTGTTGAAGCTACCACACTCACTGTGTACTTATATTATATATACAGGGCACACAAGTGCCACACATCATTATATGATCAGTTTCTGATCGCAAGAGGAAAAGAACCTCCCGTTTTTCCATTTTTAAATCTAGTTTTTATTTTCTTCTCGCGTATTTGACGATTCTATTTTTTTAAATTGTTGTTGTTATATAGCCCTCACACAAAAGATATATAAAAAAATGCATAAGATGTGATGGGGTGTTTGTTAAACAATTATGTTATACAAAGTATGTACCGTTGGTATGAATATTTATGTAGCAGCAACATTTTGGAACATGTACTATCTCTATGTTTTATATAAAAGTTATGTGCCTCCATTGTTATTAAGTTTCACTACTGTCTACTGCGATTGTATTTTTAGCCCGGGTATGAATAATAAATTGGGCAAGAACTTGTTCTCTGAACACACAAATCGGGCAACAGGGATGGGGCAAAGACGTGACATGTCGCGGTTCGTTGGATGTAAGAGTCAAATGATTGATGATGATATGACGAAAGAGAGAAATAAAAGCATTTTGTCTGAGACCTTCTAGCTGGTCCAGAAGTGCTTTTAGGTGGTTGAAAAGATTATATTAATATATGGTTTTATTACAAAAATAAAGAGGAATGGACCGAATGTTAAAATCATAGGGACCGAGTGTTAGATATGGTGGTGGGTAGGTAAATCATAGTGATTAAGATTTAATAGCACGTGAGAGTTTCATTGATATGTGCGAAATTAAGTTGGTGGACATCAAACTTTCCAACAATATCAACAACATGTTTCTTTCCTCTTTCAACTACTTTTTTTCTCGTGTGTTTCTCTCCACCTCATAAATTAGTCTTATATATAAAATTAGTATGCGTTTACCTAAAGTGGGATTACGATTGCATAAACGGAAATACGACACGTTTTTTTTTATATAGTAATCAATCATCGGTGTTACTTACCATCTTCTTTGTTAATTTTATTCAAGCCAAAATTAAAGATACAGTATTTTAGTAGTCAGTTATTTCTCTTTCTTAAAAATACTGCCCATAACTTTTAAACTGTAAACATAGTTTACTATTTTCAAGCTCCCCAGCAAGTGAATTACTAATTGAAGTATGGCGAGGATGACAGATTTTCTTTTTTGGTTCGTTGACACTGAGAGTGGCAATAAATTGCAAGTGGAACTATGTAAGATACAGTCATTTAATAATTCTTTTTGTTAAATTCATAATATTTGATGTAATTCTGCCAAGAAAAAAAAAATGAAATATAATTCTATTTCTTTCTCTTTTTTTGTCAACGATACAATTCTATTTTTGAAATATATATTCCTTATGTGGAAACTCTCTAGGAGTAGCATAATCTATTATTACACGTTGCGAAAAGGAAATTAAAAATTGTAGACTTTTTTACTCGATGAAGATGATGCCACATGAATGAAAATCAAGTGGACACGGTAGGTGATGCATTCGTAAATGATATCACATGATTGTATAATTGATTTCAAAATTTCACATGTTTGTCTACGTCACCAGGGAACAAAATAAATTATAAAAAACATTGACTTACAATTATAAAATCACTCGACATATATTGGGCCGTAAAGGCCTGATAAATTAGTATTTTGGACCGTTGAGGCCCGGATTACTCACTTGACATATTTGGGGCCGTAAAGGCCTGATGAAAATGATTAAAAAACGACAAGAATTCCATCCCAGAGACGCAAAAACCGGCACGAAGTTGAGTGTCCTCATAAAGCTAAACGGCTTGTGCGACATTGAAGTTATAAGGGTATCAACATCTCAAAAGATTCAAGAACAGCATACTGAGATCTCACAGATTTGGGTTAAAAAATGCTCATAGAATACATAACGATTCAAACAGGCAGGAGATTTCAAAGTCCTTGTCACAGGCTAATCTTGATCAGCGTCTTCGAGTTCTTCATCTTCTGGCACACCACGGACGTACAAAACGTTGTTGCATCTGTTTGCACCAAAGTCAGTAAATTAAACCAAGACATCCGTAAGTTTCAGACCAATAATTACAAGCGCGAATGTCGGAGACATATAGAATGAGATTAGAGTTTTTACCTTATCAAGATCTCACCAAGGTTTCCTGTCAATTGTCCATCGATGTATTCCTCAGTGTTTGCCAGCTGCAAAACAGTATGGATATATATATATAATCTCAATGGTTACTTCGAAAACTGATCTTTAAGCATATGTATAAGACCTATATCGATTGTTCAATCACTTATACGTTTCAGCATTTAAGCAGAAGGAACATTCAGGATGTGGTTTATCAAAAATATAAAATCAATCTCTGATAAAAGAAAAGACCGTACCTGCAAGTTCATGTAGGAGTCAACAGAAGCAAGGAAACCTGTGAATACAAACAGATTCAGTGAAGACTATAAGATAGAGAAGCTCTGGTTAATGAAGCTGTATAATTTCACACACATCATAAAGAAAAATAGATCATACCTTTGTATTCCATTCCCCATTTAAGCTTGACAATAACCGCCTTGCCGGTCAAATTGTTCAAGAATGGCTTCGGGTTCACTGGTATCGTCTGCAAAATTTTCATTCAAAATTGTTCACTTTCTTTCTCATCCAATCTCAACAAGGAATGCGGAATAATTGAATGAAAAAATTCTATAGTATTGGATCAATTACAAATCGCCCTCTTAGTATTGAAACTCTATAAACTAAATCATTCGAAATTCGTATCAGCTAAAGCCACAACTCTCAACAAGCAATCCTGATCCGATACTTACTTTCTAATTACCTAAAATCGACAAGAACAGAGAGAGAAATCGCAGAAAGTGGAGCTTGAACAGCTCGGAACACCAAATTTCGCAGCTTTTGCAAGCCCTAATACTACTTGACAAGTTCAATTCTAATCTTAAGACCTACGAAGAAAGAAGAAAAAAAGGAATCGGAGCTCAAATCAGCGAACAGTCTACGGAAGATTAAAGAGAATCGAAACTTACAGCCATTATTTAGGGAACGAAGAGATGACTCGAAGATTGAGAGGAAACAAATCGCTCCTTTTCTGCTTTCTGCTTCGTAGCTTCGATCTCGCTTAGGGTTTTTGGTGAGGTTTCCCGATTCGTGCTATTACGCGAGCTCAGCAGAAGTGTGGGTGTCTCGTAATATTTCTTTAAAGGCCCATTAGACGACAGTTACGGCCCATTATTAACCTAATATCTAAAACAATAGAGAAGTTATCTTCAGCCCACCAAACAAGTCCAAAAAAATGTATAATTAGTATTTGTATTAAAAATTACTTCAGGACATATCCAATAAAATTATATATTTCGTTCATTTCACAAGAAGTATCGTTTTGAAATTTTTTACACATATTAAAAAAAAGATAAATCTTTATTATAGTTTTTTATTAGTATCCAAAATATTTTTTCTTCTTTTTAATTGACCAGCTGTAATATCAGGAACAAAATTGATATAAATTTTTAAAAAATTGTATTTGAAATTGCAAAACAACATTATTTAGGAAATAAAAATTTTGAACGACATCCTTTCGGAGTATATTGTTCCACCAACATGTTGATCAAATGCGGATACAAACATTATGTAAACCGCATCAAAAGTAGAACTATCGATCCTAGCCCATATTGAAAGTACGTAGTAGTATTCATTCAAACAAACAAAAAAGAAGTACGTAGTTGTTGTACATATGAAGCATATTTGCTGTCAGCAGTAGGTTCAACGTGTCCATTAATTCTAACAAGCGTAGTGTGTGTCACAAAGGATCGTCGACTAAAAGATAAAACAGTCTATAAGTTTTGTTCAAATATTTCTAAATTGAGCAAATATTCAGAAAAGGTAACCACTGTCTCTTCTAGATTCTTCTGATATTATGTGGTGCATATTGCATTTGGCTCTGCGTAGGTCGAACCACTTTCTGAGAGGCTCGTGTTTACGTTGCCATGACTTTTTTTTTTTTTTTAGAGAAAGAACTTTCATACGATACCATGACTTAAAAAGCTGAAATCTAGGCTTGAAGCAAATAAATTCACGAAATTTGACTTGTTCCAAATTGTGATTATCATGACTACTTTACTTTGACCTTTCATGTATTGGGGGGATTGGACTTGCAGTTTCATTTTTTCTTTAATATGAATAAAATAAACAATCCATAACTGCATTGACTTTGATTTTTACACTAACCATATTTGTCGGCTTGCCAAAAATAATAAAAATATTACAGTAAAACTTTTATAAATTAATAATGTTGGGACTTCAAAAATTTATTAATTTATAGACTTATTAATTAATTAATATTTTATTAATTTATAGAGAGATATTTCAGTTCAAATTCAAAATATTTGTCAAAAAACAAAAAAAAATATTTTCAATAATGTAAAATTTATTCAGAAAATATCATATCAGTGAATTTAAAATATAAATCAAACAATTTTTATAAACTTAAAACAATAATATAATTATATTTTACTATATTATATTATTCATATATTTTTAAATGTATAATTATTAATTTATCTAATTATTGGAACTATATTTTTACATAGGAGTTTCAAAAAAAAATATTATCTTACTATTTTATCGAAATTTGTTAATTTTTACACTGGCCCGACTTGGAACCAGTAAAAATTATTAATTTATAGTGATTATTAATTTATCGAGTATTAATTTATAGAGGTTCTAGTCGGCTTTCTCTTTGACTATCCAATTAATAAGTTAACAAATTTATATTCCATCAGAATTCTATAATAATTATTAATCCAAATTAAAATGACTAAAACGAGTTATTCACGTATATGATAAAACAATTGGGTGAAGTGAACCACCCATCAAATTTCTTTTTTTATCGATATAAACCCGTCTAGTGCAAAGTATTTGTTCTTTTTGAGGTCATTTCCCTTCATAAAATAAATGAAAATTCTATTTTACTAGGATAAAGAAAGACGGTTATTTATTCAGCATGCTAATACGAAAGGTATCCACATCATGGTTTTTGTTTGTTTGAACAAAAAAACTTTTGGGTGAAACTCCTTTGTGAATCATTATACTTTTTACGCTTAAAGATAATAGTAACATCGCACCATATGAAAATGTTATGATAAAGGAAAACAAATTAAACTTTGTGGTCAAGCAATGTGGATATGAGTAACCTAATTATGACTTGTGCCTTGCAGCGTAAGTTGATGTAAGTTGAAAACGAAAGAAAAAAGTGGAGTTTGTGGCTCTAATTGCTTCCCTTTGATTATGTGTTCTGTAACAATTGATTTCCTTTCATTACTCTTCCACTTCTTCAATTTTGTATACTTAAAAAAAAAAAAAAATCCAAGCTACAATTGAAAAATATCAGGATAGCTTTTTCATCAATATTGAGCTATGTTGGTATTTTGCATTTTATGAGATTATTTGTGATAACCTCAAAAAAAAAAAAAAAAAAAAGTGCTAGCCGACGAAAGTTTGTCATCATTATCTCGCTCATCTCAGTTACTCGCATCGATTAGTATCTTTGAACATGTCTTCTTCAGTTCTTCGTCTTAATCTTAATTGACTATATTTTCACAAACAAAATGGTATTATGCTTCATTCGGTTTCTTCTATAGAATTTTATCCTTCTTCTTTTTAAATATGAATTTACATATCTATTAAAATTATATATTTGGTGAGAATTGATCATCATTTTTATTTTGTGTTCGTTAATTAATCTATATAAAAAAGATGTGTTGACATGACGATATATGTTATATCGATCATATTGTTCAGTACATGAATAACACATGCGTTTCTTAGAAATTAATGGAATGATATCTATATTCTAAAAGTCGAAGATTCGAGTTGTGTATATTATAAATGCAACTGTTTTCAACATATCTATGAAAAACACTTTTTTTTTGGTCAAATGAAAAACACTTATTTAAATTAACCTATATGTATAGATAAGTTTGATATTTCAATTTCTGAAAATATGCTATTTTGTAACAATATCTTATATAAGTCACCCTGAACTGCAAACATGTGTGTAAATTTACATGGTCGTTGTAAAAGCACAAATAGTATTTTGATGTTTCCAAAACTAAGAAAACCAGTTGCCCAATATTATGCATTAGAAAAGTATTAAGTCTTTTCAACTAGAGTTTCATTCACGGTTTCTTAAAATTTTATATACGATTGGGTAAAGCATTAATAAATGTTTTGACTAAATCTATCACTATCATTCTAGACCATGATTTTGAATCACACAATTTTTCTTGGATGATATTAGAACATATTTCGATAAGATTCATGAATGATATTTAAAGACTAGAGTCACTAATCTCATTTGCTATGACTATTTTTTGGTTAATGTGTAAGTGTATTAACCAACAAATAAGAAAATGTATTACCAATACACAAATCTTTATCAAGTTCCAGTAAGGCTGTTATCAACAAAATAGCATGTCATATACTGATATTTTAGGTGATTGTCCTGTGTTGTGCGTATTGGTCGCATGCATAAATACAACATTATAAAAGAGCCGCATGCGTATTTGGGTTTGCCTATGATAGAATTTGAAAAAGATGAAATAAATATATAGCTAAATAATCTTCAATTTTTGAAAGCTAAATAAACTAGTTTGGTTTTAGTCATTTGGAAACATTTTGTTTGAGGTTGCGGGTTAATTATAATCGGTGAACAGGTTAATTGACGAATTTTGACATTGCAACTTAATGCATGATCGTATAAATGTTCACAACTTATTTATTTCTCTAAGTATATTAACTGAATATGCGTTTGCGATGACTTCTACGCGTTGAAATATATTACACGATGATACATATACAAACGATGGTATATTTATTTATATACATAAAATGATTTTTGATATACAAAAAGGATGAATGGAAATTGATTTTTGTATACACAAAGGATGCTTTGGACCAATGATATGATGTTGGTAACTTGCAATTCCGATTTGGAATTGAATTAGTAGGATATAAACAAAATGTTGTCATATATAATTTTTTTGTTACTAAAACAGTAAACACAGTAGTAGTAAAGTTTATTTGATATCGAGTAGTGATGGCACATATACTCAATAAACTAAAAAAAACAGATACTACAGAGAGGGCATATGCCTTTATTCAAATAGTAATTTGACATATGACAAATCATGAAATTTTGGGCAACCCCAAAAATTGAGCGAGTCAAAAATCTACAATTATGTGTATAGAATAACACCTAAAGAACTCTAACCCCTAAAATAAACTAGCTTTCATTTCCACTTAAATGTTCTTGTCAAAGTATATGACCACCCTCTAGGAGGACATGTATATATATATGTGGTGACAAAAACTTGATACTTTCATTATCTTCATTCTATCTTGCTTCCTCTCCCTAAACAAATATGGAAACTTCACAAAACAACAATCTCCAAAACCCTAAACCTACAAAGCCATTTCATCATCGCCTCGAAGAAGAAGAAGAAGACAAAGAAGAAGCACTCTCTCTCCGTGATCTTCCCCTCAACGCCGGAAAACCAAATTCCACCGCCACCCCAACCACCAACGAAGATCACCGTGAACCATCGACAGAGCTTTTTGAGTTCCTCACCTCAACCTCCTACGACGTTTCGCCCGCAGAAAACATTATATTTGGCGGCAAAATCATCCCTTTAAATTACCAAAATGCCCTCTTTTCGCCTCCCGAACACATTAGCCCTCGAATTCGCGCAAGATCCGAGTCCTTATCAGCGATACAAGGCAACAAGCTTAACCGTCCCGCGGCACGTGACAATGCAGCCGGAGTCATGAGGACAAGCCGTTCTTTAGATTATCGCAAACTCAATCGTGGTCCAACCACCGTGCATTACTCTCCGGAGACTAATTATCCGGCAAAAAGAGCGGCGAAGCCTGAAACGGTTTCCACTGGCAGTAGAAAAAGTGTAAGACCGAAATGGTATGTGATCATGTTCGGAATGGTTAAGTTTCCACCGGAGATCGAACTGAAGGATATCAAGAGCCGTCAGATTCGACGGAATATTCCACCTATCAAGAAAAAATCTCGATCCCCTTCACCGTCGCCTTCTTGGAGGTTTCTCAACGCTTTGAGTTGCAAGGAGCCCACAAGCGTTGCTGCAACGGCACCCCTTTGGGTTCCCCATGCGTAAATTACGATACTATCCTTAAGAACCATTGTGTTTGGTTACTTTGCTCTGCCGTTGACGGAAAAGGATACAGTCGTCATTTACAATGAGAAACAATATCGATAATAGTTTTTTTTTTTTGAAAAAAAATATTGATAATAGTTTGCTGAAAAGGATTTCGATATTGTAATTTATTTGCTGAAACAATATCGATCATAGTTCTTTTTTTTTGCTAAAAATGTAAAACATTATCAATAATAGTTTGGAGTCTTAATTTGGACCATATAAGTCCATAACATATCATCTTAATATTGTGTTATACACATCTTTTCTTTTTTTTTGTATGTCAGCTCATTTGTTTTTGAAAATATATTTTTATTATTGTTTAAAGTATTTATTTGGTTAGGTGGTGGGAGGAATGAATGATGATCAGAAGAGGCACGAGAAGGACATGAACAAAATTTATTACCTTACTTTTCCCTCTGGGACTAGTCGATTTTTGTGATTTAGACAGGAATTTTTTTTTTTTTTAGCATTTATTTGTGCTTTGAAATCCATGGTTGATAAATCGATAATACACATATTTCACCTTATATAGATTGTGACATTCATCTTTCTGGCTTTCTTTTCGTCCAGAGACTTCTAGAATTATATATTTTTATAGGACCTTTTTTGTTCTTTGCAATTCATTTTCACCATATTCATGTGTCTGTCCAGCTTAATATAAGAGAAATTTTTAGTTTCTATTTTGAATTAGGTTAAGATTTTCTGATTTCAGAGGTCTTAGTAATGTTACATAATCAAATTCTAGTATCGTTAAATTTTTGTCATTTTCTTTGTTTTTTCACTATTCAGGTAACCAATCAGAGTCTGCACATATATATTCATTCTAATACAGTTTTTATTTTCTTTCAATAGAAATGGACCTAATTTGATAGTTGTGAAAAAATTTAAAAGAAGGTACGACAATGATTCGAACCAAAGACACTTGCGAAGTAAGTGAAGGGGACAAAGATTGTTTGTTCCAAAAACAATATCTGAGAGACAAACAAACACTGGAGATATCATTGACCACAACACGCATTGGTTTTCTTCAGGGACACGTCTAAAGTTTACGAAACGTAGCTTCAAGTTTTACAAACAGATCTACAAATTTACAGGTTCCTATATGTTCCCTAAGGATAAGCGAGAGTTTTAAAATAGCAGGCTTGTTCTTCTCTTGTTCTTGAAAAAGCCTTTTAAATCCCTCTTACTTCTTGAGGGATGTTGAATCATGTAGCATCTAAGGTGTGTGACCAACACGCAAGAATCTGTAAAAATAAAACCTGCAAGAACCACAAAGAGAAGGATGTAAAGTTTAAAGACTGTTTTAGAAAACCTAGAGTTACGATTTAGATTCACAGAGTTACTATTCATTCACCTGTCAATTTTTCTCGAGAGTTCTCAAGATTAATAAACTCCAAAGAGTACTGCAAGGAAAAGGAAAACGTATACTGTTAAAGAGACTGCGATGGAGCAATGGTGTGGTCGTAACTCATGAGAACAGAGAGAAGAATAGACTCACATAGAAGAAACACGATTAGCGTTACGGAAAGAATGAGCTGAATCGGGCGGCTAAACGGAACACGAAACCGCCTTTGGTAATATCTGACTCTGTCAAAGAGCTGCAAAATGGTAAACATTAAAGACAACTAAGACCGATAATCCAATACCGTCGTGTAGAGATGGTTTCAACTTGCTGAAGCTCACCTGGTTATAATCACGAGAGCTCTGCAGCCAAAACAGAGGTTTAGATCCTTTTTCTTTAGGAGTCGCATCGATTTCCGACACAAGTCTCTTCCTCTCCTCTTCTTTCCCACCAACAGGAACATTAATCCTCAACGCACTGATGTTCGGTACATTCGGTGAACTCCATGTTCTTCTTGTACCGAACTTTTTATCAGCCTGCAAGCGGATTACAGCATCAGCACTTTCCGGGCTACCTCCTTCGTCAATGTCTATCACACAGTCGGGACTCTCGCCGTAACATCTCATCTCTCTTCTGCTGCTGATCACACGAGGATTTTCAGCTAAGGAACTTGTTGAGGAATCTCTCAAGTTGGTGCTTTCACTGTTTAAGCTCTCAGAGGTCTGAGAAGATCCAGACAGAAACATCGCAAGGTCATCACGCTCTTCTTTGTTAAGATCAACCCAACGCGATGGCTGTTTATCATTCTCGGTTAAAGCCTCTTGCAGATCAGACTGTACTCGATGGATCTGGTTCTCGATGGCTGAAACAAACTGTTTATGCCTTGTTAACGTAGTGTCGTCTCGACAATGTCCATGCCTCAACCTCACTGCTCTCTCAAACTCTTCCAACTGATTCAAAATTTACAACAATACACCAAAAATCACTAACTTGAAAGAACATTCCAGGGAATGAATTCAGAAGAATATTTTTTGTGTGAAAGGTTTATCAAACCTGCCATTTTGCTGTGCTCAAAGCTGCTTGAAGCTCTTTGCATAGCTCGTCTGAATCTACTGTTACTCGGCCTTCTCTCTTCTGTTTAACCCACAACCTGTATGCAGATTCCATTCTGGAGATGCAAAAGAAACAACACAGAAAAATTCACTACTTGAATAAAACAGCTCAAGAGATTTCAAATTTGAAACTCAATTCCTTTACCCAATTGCCCAGAAACTGAAAACTGAAACACATATATTATATGTCCTCTCACTTAGATCATGCTAGAGCTAACCAAATCCCAAAAAACGAATTACTAATCTAATAAACCCTATTTCTCCATTAAATTTCCGATTTTTCAACATCACAAGCCTACACAGAACATACGAATTAAATTAAGGAATCGACATGAAATCAAAATAAGAATAGAGAATCTGAACATACATATCGGCAGATTCTTGAACCTCTTCGGCTGCAGAGAAAAAAACATCCTTTTGCCATAGATCGAAGCTGTTAGCTACCATCATCTTCGAAACCACTAAAACCCTCAATTAAGATTCAACAAAAAAAACGCGCGAGCAATCGAATCGAATAAATCCACCCGAGATTTGTGTCGGATAGATTCTTCGTTTAAATCCAAAATAGATTCTCTGCTCCGTTTCTCTTCTCTTCTCTTCTTCCTTTTTCTTCCGCAGGAAAGAAGGAATTTTTCTTTTGCAGCTCTGCGTTTTTTTTTTTATTAATAATTTTTTTTTAGCTTTTCGATCTTTTTGGCTTCTTCACTTCAATTTTTTAAAAATACGTAAATGGAAGAAGATATTAAAAAAAAAAAAAAAGGCCTGCACTAATCGACCATACTTTCATAACTGGCTTATTTTGATTGGAAGACAACGTAAGGTAATATGGTTTTAGCCGCAGCGGATTATTGCTCAGCATTTGGAACCAACAAGAATGTCCGTGGTGTTGGGCCCACCCATTTCCCCAACACCGATTGTTGGCCAACGCAAAGGGAATAATATATTTTTAATTAACTGCTAATGACTCATTTTGAGATTTCACCAATTATGAAACTCAGTCAAGTCATTAGTGAATTAATTGATATATTAATGACAATAAATAATTAGTTGAAAGACTGTTATCCCATGCGGTACACATGCCACCCTAATATCTCCTCCGGATCAATTAAAAAATACATAAAATAAAATAAATTGTTCGCTATAATCAACATAATCAAAAAGAAAAAAAAAACAATATAAATTTATCAGAAAATAAATCCATACAAATAAAATATACAATTCGACTAATAAATAATGTCAATGTGAGAAACAAAAAAAAAAACAAAAAAAACAAATCGCACACATTCTCCAAAAACAACAAAGATTTCAGGGGTTAACCGGTTCTTGCTCCAAAGTAGATATGAACCGCTGATTCGTTGGGGTGTTTGGTTATAAGGCCCAGGCCCTTTTAAATACTATGGACCTGGTCCATCCATTTTTGGTTTCATTGTTCTACTTGTTGAAACTCATCTTTGATGGTCTGTTGCTAGACATACATATATTATCTTTTCTTTTCCATTGGTTTCTAATTCCAAACCAATTTGTTTCTTTACGATTATAGCAAAGGCAGCATCTTTATTTAGTTAAGTATGTCCTGTCCATATGTAGAATTGGGCTTCAATACATATGGAGAAAATGAATTATCTACTTCTTTTATTGTTGGTCTAGTCGTTAATAAACTTTTGCTTGCTCATATAGGTTGTAGCAATTAGACAATGAGGAAAACTGGTCTTTTTGTCAACTCTTTACCAAGAACCGATTTGGTTTCAGCTGCATTCAGAATCCAGCGACTAAACAACAAACTTATACGACATAATAAGTGTTTGACCTTTACTGATTCAATCCAACTTGGTGACCACAAATGTTTGGATGTTTCACTAAAATTGGGTTTTGAATCAGTTTCACCAAAATGGATAAACCTTATATTATAGTATGATTATATATCAATCATAAATTATAATATTTTGGAGTGACATCAACCTTAATTTAAAAAAAAACATGAGCCATTAGATGACGATCCTACTACAGTCTCTTCTCCTTCACTTCTCCTTCTCTTCTTCTTCAACCTCTTCCTCTTGAAACCCAAAGACCTCTCTGTTTCTATTAGGACTATCCAAAGCTCTCTTCTCTTGTTCTTCATCTCCTTCCTCTTTCTTCTTCTTTTCTCCAACACTCTTCCTCCTCTTCGCAACTCTCTCCTTCAACACACCAACAAGCTCCCTCACCGCCTTCTTCGCATCGCTCCGATTCCTAATCAGCACCTCGCTAACGTCAGCCGGCGTAATCTCCGCCTCCTCCACACATTCCTCCATCTCCTTCAAAACGACGCCGTCGATCTCGTCTTCCTCCATCCGCAGATAATTCTTCAACAGAATCTTCAACGCCTGGAATCTACAGAAACCCATGTGAATATGCATATCCATCCTCCCACTCCTCAACAGAGCCGAATCTAACTTCTCGATATGATTCGTCGTGAACACGAAGATCCTCTCGCTCCCACAGCAAGACCAAAGCCCGTCCGTGAAATTCAACAGCCCCGAGAGTGTCACCGAGCTTCCCGGTTCATCCATCGAATGAATCGAACCCGACCCGTTTATTAAATCCGGGTCATAGCACCCATTCTTCTTCTGAATCTTCCCTCTTTTCGTCAAATTGATCGAGCAATCGATGTCCTCGATGACAATGATCGATTTCGAGCTGGTCTTCATCAACAGTTTCCTCAATTCCGAGTTGTTCTGAACCTCGGTGAGCTCTAAGTCGTAGATATCGTAACCTAGATGATTCGCCATTGCAGCGATCAAGCTCGATTTCCCAGTTCCTGGAGGTCCGTACAGCAAGTACCCTCTTTTCCAAGCCCTTCCCGTCTTCTGATAAAACCCTCCTCCGTTCGCGAACTCTCTCAGATCCTCCATGATCCTTTTCTTCTTCTCCGGATCCATCGCTAGCGTCTCGAAGGTGCTCGGATGCTTGAATCTCACCGAGTCCCATGGATGGCTCCTCGAATCGAGCGAGACGCCTCTCGAATTCGTGTAGAGGAGCCTCTCCTCGTTCCTCCGGCGAATCTCCTCTGATTTTCCGACGATGTAATCGAGGTAGGAATCGAGGACGAGGGCTTTGTCTCTCTTGTTGATCTGTAGCGTAAAACCTCGCTTCTCCTCCGGCATTGGTCTCCACGAGAAGCTCTGGACTTGGCGCTGGACGACGACGTGTTCCCAGAGGACGGTGACGCCGTTGAAGACGTCGGTGATTCTGTCGTTGTTGGAGAGGCCGAAAGTGACGGAGCTTGAGTTTGGGACACGTGTCAGGCTGAGACGGGTGTTGCTGCTGCTGGAAACGTCGCCGTTTACTGTGACGGAAGAGCTGAGGTAGAGCTGCACGGCGTTGTAGAGCTCGTTGGTGTTGACGCCGTCAATCTCCGTTATGTCGAAGTATATGTGGGAAGAGAACACGTGGCGGATGCGTGTCAAGAGGTGGATGACGGCGAGGCGGAGCTCCGGCGGAAACACGAGCTGGAAGATTGTTTGACAAAAGGCTAACATGCCAACTAGAGAAGCCATTGTCGTCCAATAATCACTCATTTTCATTTCTTTTTCTCTGTTTTTTTTTCGAACAAAAGATTGGATTTTTGACAGCAGGGTAGAGAAAAGTTTTGATCTTTCGGGAGAAATAAGAGAATTTGAGAAGTGGGTTGAACTTAATTCTGCAGATAAGAGTGAACTTTTTTGAAGTTCTTGTTCTTGAGATTTGGGAGGGAAAATATTTTTGTTTGAGGCTTTTGAGATAAGAGAATGAGAGACGTTGATGGGGTTGTATTGAAATATGAAACGAGTGTTCACTTCAATTTATAGACAATGGGAGGAGACATTTTACTCTTTTTATATATTATAAAAATAAAAAAAAATTGGTATTTGCGGATTTTACCAATTGGTTGTTTTTTCATGGTGCAAATTATAGAATCAACTATTCCTCGATTATTTCACATAAGTCTATAGTTTCTAGACTCACAAAATCAGTTACATCCGAGAGGTAATGGTTATGTGACATGTAAATCTCACATCGGATGCTATTCGACTTTTGTTTCTGTCCAACAATAATATGATAAAGATAGAAATGAAGTAAATCATTTTAAAAACTTTGAGCAAAAGGTTGAAAACTTGAAAGGTGAAGAATGATAAAGAGAGAATATAGAGGACAGTCCTGGAGAAATGGATAAGTTTTTACTCTTACACTAAATGAATCGGACAAACAAGTACAATGGAAAAAAAAACACCACAAAGGACAAGAAACAGCTAGAAATTCAAAATACTAAAGAAGGTAAGTTTCTGTGAGACAACCAAGAATTATTTCATTTAGCTGGATTGGTTCAATGTAGTAAGAAGTATTGTTTTATTGATTGGTTAGTGTTGAAACTGGTTCTAAAAACTAGTTTGCATGCATGTGATTTCTCTTGGTCACTACAGAAATTTTGTGATTACTAAAGAACGAGTTAGAAAATGATTATAGCAAATAGGGATACATACACCGTTATAACAAAGAAAAAAATTGATCATATGTGAGATTAAAGGATAATGATCATTGTAATGTTTTCTTGTTTGTAAAAGTGATTATCTTTGTAATGTTGTTTTCTCTCTTTTAGAAATCTGAGAAACAACTTGTAAAAGCAAAAGGGAACATAAGGGTCTAGGTTAGGGTTTATGAGTGTGACTTACAGTTGGGTTTGTGTTGTTTTGTTGTGATTTTGTGATTTTTATTCTTTAGGACACTCGAATTTACGTGGGGCATCATTGTTTGTCTACATTTGCATATCAACATCTACACATAGGTCCATAATACTCAAAACTTTCTCAACTTTCTTTCACATCTCCATCTAATTCCAGCATTAATAAACCTCATCACAATCCTAAATTAGTTAAAAAGGTGCTTTTTAATCAATATGTATATCTGTTGAACTCCGAGATTAAAGGGTACGAAGCTTAAATCGTTATAAAATACTTTTTGTTAGATTCGAACTTAGGTGGTAACTTGATAGAACTTAGGTATGTAGATTGTATTTGTTAGATTCGAACTGTAGAGACTAACTGTCTAGTTACTAAGTATGATACTACAGCTAAAACTTTTCTTAAGTAAGCTTGATCAAGCTAAATTTTAATCTGATTAATTAGCCTCCATTATATACTAAGGTTGAATAAAATGATCTGGAGTTAACCGTAATACTGTATTACGAGAAAGGAAAAAACAAATAGTCGATGTTTCATTTGGCCGACAGAATAAAAAATTTATTGACGTTTTTCAAATGTTTTAAATAGGGGAAAATGGTGAGATATGTAAAGGAGATGACACAGAATGACAATGACAGTAGATAAGGCCCAATTTACTAGAGTCACTTTTGCAGAACTGTGGAAACTCCCAACACCAATAGCCTTTAATTTATTATTCGTCTTAGAAACGTTTTCGAAGTTACTTTGATATATGTAGATCCAAAACTAAGTGATGCTTTGATTAAATCTAACTCATATTCTGTAATGTGTAAAAACTCATATCTACAATATCAAAACACTGAAAAATCCGAAGTTCCAAAATGAAAATTTTGAAAATGATGTACGAGTAGAAAACAATTAGGTATCTAGAAAAAGCATTGGTTGATATTGTGGGGAAAAAAATTGGACCAAAGATTCTGTACAGAGATCCGTTGGTGATTCTGGTTTTGGAGTTTAGTATCCTCTGGTTCCGAGCTAAACTCAAAAGAGCCAACAATAAATAAACAATATTAAATGTCAAAAGTTGTAAGGCTATATTATTATGTAATGTTACAAAAGCCTCTCAAGTACAATTGGCATTTTATATTATTAGCGTTTGTTATGATGGTACCTTCTGAAACTGACTCTCTTTATCATTTACTATTACAACTTTCAAAAATGAAAGAATTATTCACTTCACTATTAAGCATTTTCATTCTTTTCAATTTTTCATTCAAAATTGATGAAAATAATGTCGTCCTCCTTTGCGGTTTTTTTTTTTCTTTTAGGCGATACAAGAAAATAATTTATTATTACTATTGGCATGTTTGAGAAAATTGTCACAGTCCACCAGGAGAGGTAAAAAAATAACAAAAAGAGTAAGAAAAAGAGATGACGTATTATGCAAGCGAACTCTGTCTTCTTACATTATTTTCACTTCGAGAGCCACACCCCACTCTGGCATATTCGTCCCCCAAAGTTACTTACTTACTGCTACCAAACAAAACTTAACAACTTCAAGAGACAGAAGTTATAAACATATAATAACTGAGAGTTGTGTGACACAGAAGCTATAATCTCTTCAAATTAAATGCAACTCTCAGTTATTGTTTTTTTACCATAAATTCTGCGTTCTCCGAATTTTCCACTGCGACAACTTAAAATATCCACGTTTTTATTTCGCCAAATATTGTCATGGTCTCAACACTTAACTCTTAGTAAATCCAAATAGAAAAATAGAAAAATCTACACCCACATCGTGACTCTTTAACACCCAAACTCGAATTTCTTTTTGTGAGATTTGATTGTCCTCTTGTGATTGTTTTAACAAGAGCATATAATATCGATAATGCAATTGTTCTTCAGTATAATTAGTTGTCAACTGAAAATGTGAGTAATATAAAGCTACGATCATCAAGTTTTTATACGTTAACAAAAAGAAGAAGCGCAAGGTTCATACTCATAAACCAAAACCATATAAGAGTAAAGTCAACCAGAGTTTAACCAAAAAGGGTTGAAGAACATATTATATTGTACATATGATCTCATTATAAACTCAGATTAGTTCGCAGTGGAGAAATCTCTATCTACTTTGTAACAAATGATTTCCAAACTGAACCAAAGAAGCTATGATTCTCCATATTCCAGATCGAATCAATCAATGGCAATGATCAAGAAGCCAACAGAGACATACATGAGGAAGACAGGGTAAAGTGCGAGAGCTTTTCTTCTCGGGTTCACAGCGGCGCTCATGAAAGGATAAGCAGCCCACGAGCTCCAGGCGAGAGTCACACACACAACGATGATCTTGAGTATCACATTGTCCTTCAACATGCAGATCACTGCTCCAACGTCCAGTGGAAATAGACAGTAACCTAAAAGGCTTAGGCTTTGGAAAAAGATTATATGTCCTCCCTGAAAAATTGCATTGTTCGCAACAAAGATGTGATGTTTAGAACAAGAAATCGAAAATTCGTGGCTCATATATAACCAATACATGAATCAACAGTGTCCTTACCAGGAGCAGCACATTTAGTGTGAGGATCACTGCTCCAGCTGCTAGTAGTGCAAATGCCACTGCAAATACTTCGGACTGGAATTTACAGAGAAAAAGGATTGAGACTAAGAGCAATTACAGTAGACAGAGAACAGTTGTATATTCTACCAGATATGTCAAAATGTACAGCTTTTTGTAACTTCAGGGACAGGCCTGGGATGCGAATGCAAGGAAAGGACGACTTTAGATGACAATTAAAACACAGATGTTGCTTATACCCCCATAGCAAAAAGCTCCAATAACATTCAGACAATGTCCAAAGCGAGCAGAGAATAACAAATTCGTGTCTTTTCAGATATATCATGCATACATTAAGTGCATTCGACCACGACAAATGGAACAAAACAGCCTTGTTTTACCCTATTGATTTCACATCTCTCGGTATGTTTCGTAAACCCCATTAAAGAAACCATTTTAAAGCAGGAATAGATGAAGGACCGGCCACAATATACCATCCGTTTGTCACATAAACTTATGTGACTACAACAGTTCAACTTTTAATTGACTAATACGGTTAATCGTATATCAGACGCTGCAAAAGCAAGACAGGGGAAAGCAATGAAACTCAAATCTACAAGCAATACATCCTACGTTTTGGTTATTGCTCATTGAATCGAACCTATGAGTTAATCATAATCTGACTGCAGTGCAGAGGATGAAGAGAAATCTACAGCTACATTAGCCTAAGAAATCAAAATTACGAGCAATGCCACAAGAAGCAGTAGCACCATTCTAAAGGAACTCTCAATCCAGCCAAGATGTCATCTTTGACTTTTAAGTTCTAACGATAAGGAATGCTCGAATCACATTTCAAACGGGCACGCGAAAGCTAAGATTTTGATTTCTGCCTCCATAAGGGTTCCAAAGAGAAAGCTGAAATTCAGAATCTGAGAGCTTACCTTCTTGACAGAAGCAGACCACGAGAGAGTAAGCCCCAGAAACACGATGAAGAAAAAAGGTCCCCATAGATCCCAATCCCTAAGTGCCTTCCCAGGATCCTCCCTATACGGATTCGGAAAAACCACAAGCTTCAGATTACTCACGATCCGCGACAGATCTCGCTTCACAGTATCCCACACAGGCTCCGTCAATGTGTTCGGCGGAGATCCGAATCCGCTACCTCCGATGGTCTTGGGACCTTCTGAGCTGCCGAAATTACCTGCCGGAGGAAGAGACGGAGGGACTGGAACAGGCATCACCTTCTGGGCGTTTGAGGAGGAGGAAGACGGCGGAAGCGGTGGAAGGTTGGATTGGACAAACGGCGAGGATGAAACGGGGATGGAGGGACGGATCGGGCTCGGCGGCCGAGCAGGAAGGACGGTTCCGGGGCCTGATTGAAAACTGTCGCTCATCATATTCTCAATCTCGTCGATGTCCGACTGAGACGACTGATAAAGCGGAATCGTATCGTTGTGCGACATTCTCCCCTTCGATTCCGATGTTAACTTTCACCGGAGAAAAAATTGGAGGATTTGGTGTTGGTTGTTGATTTTCCCGGGAAACACAATTTAGGGTAAATGCTTTTGATGTCGGTGAAGAAATCGATCAGATCTGACGATAAAGCAAAGTGGAAATTATCAAATTACTAAAGGGAGAAGAAAAAAAAAATCGTGTGACGCAATGTGTTCTCATAAAACGACATCGTATAGAACAACGACGTCGTTCTCTCAAATTATTGTTTGTTCAACACTTCAATTCTCGTCCAATTTGGTTGGCTCTTGAATCATATTTCTTTAGAATTTAATAATACAAGGAGATTTTGTTGTCAAAAAAAAAATGGGATTTTTTTTTTTATTGTAAATGGGAATTTTAAGGTAAGTTTCTATGTAATCATGTAATTAGTTAGTAAATCTCAACTCTAAACGCAGTGTGTTATCATCGTCATCGTTAAATCTCAACTCTAAACTTTAGACCATCCATTGTAAATCTCATTCTATGTATTTAATCATGCGATCAGTAAGTAAATCTCTGACGAAAAATCATTATTGAAAATATCTTTATTGAATGTAAACTTTTGATGTTTTTTAATGAATTTAACAAAATCTGAAACGTTATATCCACATTTTCCAGTAATTCCCATTTAAATAAGAGGAAAATTAACACGTGTCTCATGTTTCTTACAATATAAATAAAGTAAACTATCACTTCTCGTCTTTAAAAGATAGAACTATCATTTTCATAAACATATTTTCTTACAAACAAACAGAGACGTCTCTTATACACACATTTTGCTTTATTGGACATAGATATACATACAATCGAAAGAATCAAACGCAAGTAACAAAAGAAGAAACAGAGCATTCACATAGAAGAAAAAGAAAAAAAAACAGAGGAAGATAGATCAATAAAAATAGTATATAATTATAAATTCTATGCACATTCCTTAGGGATTCCCTGTGGGAACCTCTTACGGTCCGTACAGTAGTTGTAGATCATGTAATTCTTCTGAACCCATCTGAGTCTAGCTTGGCTCGTCGAATCCATTTGTTGAGTGTACCAACTAGAGCTTGGTTTCGTCGTGCTACAAGACGATCTTCCGTTGGAATGAACACACCCGTCGATCTTTATGTTCCTGTAAGAAGCCATGAATGGAGCTTTGGACCAATCCGTTTTCACCAGACCGCCTCTAGTTGCCCAATCGTCTGCGTTCCACAAACTCGCGTACATCCTCATCGGCTTGCTCTTTGGAAACAAAACACCGATCGACTCTGAGTTCTTGAACTCTCTAATCGGTGTATCATCTACGGTCAATCTGAGAAAAAACAAAGAGATAACAGATTAGTGGTGAGAAATATACATAAACCTAATTAGGGTTTTATATGAGTTTGCGTGTGAAGCAAGAAAGCTGAGTTTTTTTTTACTTTACATGATTCTTTGAGGGTTCCAGAGGATGGAGTAAGTGTGGAAATTTGCGGTTGGGTCGAACCAGAGATAGAATTGTTGCTCTTTGTCTCCTTTACCATTAGTGTATACATTGGTGTGTAAAGTATAAGGATCTCCACTCATATTACCCAAGAACTCAAAATCAATCTCATCCCAAGTCGATCCTTCCGATTTAAGCTGCAAGTTGAAAAACAAAAACGATGATTAAGGTAACCTTTAAAAAACTATCAATCCAAATCATATAAACCTCCAAGAACATGTAACTTACGTAGAAAGTTGTAACTGTTCCTGCTGAGTTACCGGGAACGAGCTTAATCTGCATATCGATTTTTCCGAACAAATACTCTGTTTTGGATTGAAAACCAGAACCAGAGGACTTGTCTAAGGAGAGAGTAAGAAGCTGGCCGTTGTTGAGTATCTTTCCACGGCCGTTTCCCCAAGCTACGTTGACGTCGCTGTTGAAATCAGCGATGGAGGCTGAAAACGCCGCCGCGAGAAGAGCCATGAAGAAGAATATTTTGAAAGGAGACATCATTGTGCGAACGTGTGGGTGAATGTGTTTTGGGGTTTGGTGAGGAATGTGAGGAAGAGAGAAGAAGGGAGAGAGATATATATAGTGGTAGGAGAATTAAAAAAGAAGAAGCTAATTAAAATAAATGAGAAGAGAGTGGGTGAACAAAAGGAGGCTAATATCAAGAAACTGCATGCAAGATGTATTACAGCTGGACTCTCGAATACATCCATCGTTTGGTAAACAGATTATTTTTACCATCTTTTGATTCATGTAAACATGGACATCTTTCTTCATTTGAAAATCGTTTGAAATAGGTTAAAAGAAAATCGACGCAGTATATAAGTTTAGCTGTGTTTCTCTAAATTCTTACATATTTTTAAAAATATTTCTTATACTGATATGCTATAAGCTTTATATTTCTATATTTTTTTGACGGATTTCGAAATTCAAATGTTCTAGTACATATTAAATCACTACGTAGAGAGGCCTACAAGGAGGAGAGGAAATGAAAATAAGAGGTCTAGAGGGACATTACGTGTGGAATCGTTCGACTTCAAAATTCTCGAATTTAGTTGAATTTTGGGGAGAATATGTCTTTTGCATATTTTTTTGTTGAAGTATTTTGATATTCTTTTTTTTTTTGCTTTCGGAGTTTGTTTGTATGTATCCAATTATTAGATCGTAACTGGAATAAAACAACTTGCTTTGACTCATGCCGAATTTTTTTTATGGGCATTTTAAAGCTTTTTAGTCGTTACATATTTTTTGGCTATATTATTATGATGTGATTAGTTTTGTTTTGTTTTTGTGAATTGAGAAAAGAAGCAACGAAGAAAAGTAGGAGTTTAGTGTATGGGTTAAAAGATTTGATTGCGTTAGCAAAGGTGCAAGTAGGAGTGGAGACACGCTTTCTTTTCTCTCTTGTTAATCAAAAAGGTCTATTTCTTTTGGTTGGTCACTAATTAATGAAGGGACTCACTCAATAAAGAAAGATGTTTCATTGCAAATTATTAAAATTCTCTAATCAATTTGTGCAACCCATACCCATAGTTCTAATTTTATTTTTCTAATTCTATAAAATGATATGATCATTGATGTGTATAAGAAAAGGAATCTAAATGAACTATATACCGTAATATTAGTATGTTTATCATTAAAATGGAACCTATGAAGCCTGCGTGTAGATTTGCTATTGAATCTTACAAACCAATATGGTAAAATTAATCATTTATAGAATCATTTATAGTAAGAAAATGTAATAATGTATGCATGCACCATTAGTGGTGTGACATACATAATATAATTATTTAGTTTTGGTTAAAGTGGTTTTCCTTTGTTGATTAAATTCTGAAATTTTGTTCAACATTTGACAAACTAGAACAGCTATTAGGCGATAGTTCAGCTAGAATTAAATCGAGGAAACCACACAAATAAAAGAAATTTAATGTTGTCTATGAGGACAAGTACTGAAATTTATTGGAAATGACTAATGAATACTTATGAGTGGTCCAAACTCAAAGGCTTTTTTTTGAAGCACCAAAGCTATTTTTTTCATCCTCATTTGTTCATTTTAAATAACAAGGAACGTTCGATATTTCCAATTTTTTGCTATTTTTGTCTTCTGTTTTCACGCCAAAAAGTACTAATAGATAGTCATTTTTTTTCTTCCAAAAATCATATTGAGCTTTCACATCATTGCCAAATATTATCATAAAACTATACGTTATCGACAAATGTAATTGTTACTAGCTTTTGAACAAATAGTTAAAATGTAGGTCGATGAGGAATATCCAACTCTTTCAAATCATATCCTGATTAAAAAAATCGTATATTTTAATATTTATTATTTTGATCTTTTTTTATCTGGCACGGATAACATAAACCATTAGACTAAATGTCAAACTATTCACATAATACTATAGGAGAGCCACCACTTAAAATTCTGTAGTAGAAAGGCATGGATCAAATTATGAACGCCATTAATAACATGTTAACATTTGTCAAACACACTTTAATTTCATTATTACACTGACATTATTTGAGGTAAGTACAGAGGACAGTTTGGTTTTAAATAATAGTATATATATACTTTTGAGTTTTGAGTAAGTAAATAGTATGGATTGGACCATGAGAATTAAGATGGGATAGCTACGTAATTAAAGCGAGTACTATTACAAGAAGTTATATATTACCTATGAACATGATTCAATGGATGAATTTTCTTGACACGGAAATTTTGATTTGGACCGCCTAACCAAACGTCAACTTGGTCCCATTAAGCTTTACAGCTGTAGCATTACAGAAATAATTTTAAAAGTGTAATGGCTCATCAAAATTGTTAATCAGGAGCCTAATCTCACTGTTAATTCAACTCAACTTGTATAGATTTCATTTTAACGAACCCATAACTCAGACAACTACGAATGGTCTCGTCAATTTCGGACTCAATAAATGTTGCAGGTCGTATTAAATTTTTAGAAAGTTATAGTCTTTATTAAAATTTCTGGGTAACCATATCTTTTGGGAAGAATTTTTTATTTTGAAAAAGTATGTTATCACCAATTGAACTTCTATCATAAATCTATTGAAAACTTTGAGGTGCGTAATTGATCGATTTATTCGGTGGATATACAATTTTTTTTTGGGAATCCAAAGACAAACTTCTGTTTGTGTTTGAACATGTTCGATATGTTTAACTAGAACGTTTATTACTACCATTGCATGCACGTTTAAACAATTAGTTGTTTTCAGAACGTTACTGAACGTTATATAAACACTTTATATATTTTGAATTCTTGAAATATTGTAACAATAGTTTTCGAAAAATTCTCTAATGGTCATGTCATGGAAGATGACACTGATGAGTGATGACGATGGGTTCGTCAATGCATGCAAAGTTATAAAAGAGAAAGTTGTAGTCTCACCACACAACCACACAATTATTTATAACCAAATAAATTACTAATAGACATTTGTCACAGAGCAGGTTGTTTCTAACCAAATATCTTCGTATGTTTTTTTCCCCTAGTATATAATTGGCCGAATGTCATTTTCATAAACCAGCTGATCTTAATGGATAAGCGTAATTAGTAATTGACACCAATTATTTTGGTTTGTCCTGTAGGTCTTTCTACGTCCTTTTCAGACTTGGTTACGGCCAATACTAATAATGTTACTATGATCGCTTTTCTGTACTATATAATTCTAACTAATTTGTTTTACAGAAACTCTCACCAATTAAAATATCAAAATTGTTATTAGCCACATGTTTCGATAAAAGTTTCACTGGATAATCATCAACAAATTCTTATTTTCTCATATATTTTTTTTTCTTGCCTACGTAACAGAGATCAATTATACTCCCTTAATTGCTACAATACTTGCATGAAAAAAATCTCATATAAATTCATAGCGCTAGTCATCTAAAGTATTATATAATCTGAAGAATTAATCTCTGTGAACGTTCGGTTACGAACTTTTCCACTGGATATTAGCTTACCGTTTCCGTAACCATACCAAACCAAATCTGATAGTAACCAAAGCGGAACCAAATAGAATACTCTAAAACAAGAGAAAGAAAACATATTGAAAGAAAACATATTGACTTTTCCAAGCCTTACTCCAAAACCCATTGCATTGTTACACACAGCTTTAGGACCCGATCCAGCCACAGCTCAGACGTCAATAATCCAACCTAATGGCAAAAAGATTCCATATTCAGGCTCAACCGTTATCGCCAAGGATCTTTATGGTTTGTGTTGTTGATCGTCTTGAGTCTGGACCAAACCTAGGATCATCATGTGTTAGTTTTTACATTAACTATGTCACATGACATGGAGAGGGAAGGGTCTAGAATATTCTACACAAACACTGTTCATTGCTGTCTCTGTTTTCGTTTAGTACTACTAGGATTGCTATTGAAATTGTTGTAGAATATTGTAAAAGCTTTTAGGCCTAGTTTCTGATAAGCCCAAATACATGTTTAGGATAAATAGAGAAACCAGCAAACTGAACCAGAACACTAATCTAGATTGGATAATAGTAACTACGTAATTGGCCTGTACCATGTGCAGGCTATAACACATTTTATATGTTTAATTATGATTAATATAATATTGAAAATATTTTATTTGATATGATTAATTATGTATTAATAATAGAATAATAAATATTTGATAAAAATAACGATAAATTAAATAAAAATATTATATATTTCGATAGAAAATAGAGATAAAAAATATTAACTAAAAATTTAAATTTTTTTTAGATAAATAATATAAATATGGTAACTAAATAAACAGGAAAACAATAAAATATATAATAATTTATTTAATTTTTATTTTTGGTCCGCATGCATATGCAAGTATAATTTTCTTATCGATATAATTAGTTGTAATATTTAAGTATTGATTAAATTTTTTAAATTTTTTATACACTACGTAAATATTATGTTTTTATACATATACAATTTTAGTGTTCAACAACAATCACACAAACGTTTCATCGTTTTCTGCCTTTTGAGAACTTTTTATTTTTTTTTCTAGCATTTACAGTAATATATAATTGCAAATGTAAAAGTTATATTAAATAAAAATTAAATTCTTATAATATATTTTGAATATTATTTATATAATACTTTCTTTTTTTACATAATATAATCTTGCCAATATATATATTTTAAGTATACATTTTTCTTGATTTATTGCTAATTAAACCATATTTATTTATCCTAAGAGCGGGTAGCTGGTTGGTCCGCATATTCGTGTGTACGAACCACCTCATCGCTCTTAGGGCATATAATATTTTTTTAAAAATATATAAATTGTCTAACAACTAAAATTAAAATTAGACTGTAATCGAGGTTAACAAAATGTATGCACAATAAGTTTGCATTCGAGTTTGATTTTTGCACAACTAATATTTATATCAACACGTATATTTGTAAAAAAATCGAAATATATCTTTTATGTGTTAAAAAAAATAACAAAGTATATGTTTTGTAATATATATTTTTATAATGTATGGTTGATTTTTTAAAAAAATAAATAATAAGCATATTTATGCATGTATGTATAAATTAGAAATAAGTAAATTGTAATATTTAGGTGTTGGTAAGTTTTTTCTGGTATTTTTCGCAAACATTATGTTTTTAGACGATGCAGTTATTGGCGTATAACAATAATCACAAAAAAACTTCTATCATTTTTTATTTAATAAAAGTTTTATTTTATTTTTTTCAGCGTTTGATGATATATAGTTACTCAATAAAAATATAATTTAATTTTATTACAAAATTTGTTAAATCATATTTTATAAAAATCTCCGGTAGCTCTCCGTTCATCTCTTCGTCAAATTTTTTATAATCTGCAATCGCTCGCTTCCACAAACTCTCTGTAATCAAATCGTTTAAACAAATCGGATCTAAACTTATATGTGTATGATTTAAGGTGTAAAATAATATATTTAATATTTGTTTGTTATTAAAAAATTAAGAGTTGATCTGTTCCTAACTTTAATGTATTTGTTGATCTAAAATATAATGGATCACAATATATACAAAACTTGATTTATAAAATAATATTTTAATATGTTAGAAAAAATATATATATTAAAGAATTAATATTTGTAAGATAATATTTTTAAGTATTTCAAATAAAAACTTAAAATCAATCAAAATTATTCTTATTTTTTTTTTCTTCTTTGACTCATACTTTGGTTTTAATATTTAGTAATATATTAAACATTAAGATCATCTCCAATGTATTTTTATATTTTTTTCCTTTAAAATATACGTGAACTTCTCTCCAACATAGGAAAATTTTTTTGTTATTTTTCCTCTATACTTGGGGAAAAAAATAACAACCTTTCTTTTTCCCCCTAAATTAGAAGATTTAAAATAAAGGTGGATAAAAATGATTTAAGCAAAAAATATAGCCTGAGATTTTTACATAAAACCAAAGTCATAAAGATTCATTTTTACTTTTACTTCTACTTTTTATTCATATATAAAATATTATAATAAAATAAAGTTAGCTAACAATATAATTATAATTTATTTTTTTATATGTTTATTTTTTTGTTTTATTTATAATTTTGAATTCTTGCTACATAATGAGAATTATTCATATATGATATAAACTTTTCTTAATAAAAAATAAAATTTATTTAGTTTCAATTTAACCAATCAAAACATTTTGTTTATTTTAGGAAATTTGTCATGTCATATTTATGAAGTGACATTATTTTGCACTAACTTTTGTTAAAGTGATGACACATCATATTTTTTCATTAAACATGATTTTCTGAATGTTTTTATATTGATTTTAAGTTGTTAACAATTCTAGTGAAGCCAATAAGTGTTCCTTATGTTTCCTAATGAAAGCAGTGTTTTCCATAATTAATTTTGTAGAACTAAAAACATCGTACGCAAACAGACACCACAACACAATACAAACGTCAAATTGATTGAATCCTCTATATGTTATGGATCTCAGTTTTACTCTAAATTCTGACAGATATAATATACAAACTAATATTGCACAGGATATTGAATTTTCATATATTGCATGCTATTATGTGAAACACACTTTAAAAATATTGAAAACTCTAGAAACAAGTAGTTATTTAATTCAAATGCAAATCAAACACATCAAATATATTAGAAAAAAACAACAACAGAAATAGAATTTTTTTATTTTTGACTAAATGAGAAGTAACTCACACGTAGGGCGGCTGCTTATCTAGTGAAAAACCATTGGAATTACACATACAATGCCACATAAATTATTATTCATGAATCAAACAAACATTGATTTAACCGCACTCTGGAGGAGCACCTTGAGGAAACCTTTTCTTGTCGGTGCAATAGTTGTAGACCATGTACTTTCTCTGTGCCCACTTCACTCTATTTTTGCCTTTGACATCTAGTTCTTGAGTAAACCATGGTTTTCTGCTACTGGAACCAGGGGAATTCAAAGAGCAAGGTGATTTTCCATGATCCCATACACATCCGTCCACATTGTAGTTTCTGTAAAAAGCGGTGAAGGGAGCTTTTGACCAGTCTGTTTTCTCTAATCCTCCCCTTGTTGCCCAATGCTCAGCTTCCCAAAGGCTTGCGTAGAGCCTCATTGGTTGGTTATTTGGGAATGGAACTCCGAGTGACGCTGAGTTCTTGAACTCTCTAATCGGGATTCCATCAATTGTAAAACTGAAAAGAGAAATGTTGATTCATGAGCTCATAGCCTCAAAACATATAATAGTAGGCACAAGAAGATCAAAGGGTGCACTTACATAACTCTTTGGGGATTCCAAATGATGCAATAAGTGTGAAAGTCAATAGTTGGGTCGAACCATAGGTGAAACTGTTGTTCTTTGTCTCCTGTGCCTTTTACGTAAACATTAGTGTGTAAAGTATATGGATGACCACTTATGTTTCCCAAGAACTCGAAATCTATCTCATCCCACGTAGTTCCCGGCGATTTCAGCTACACAAAGTCATTACAAAACAAGTAGTTTTAATATACATAATCTAGTGAATAAACCAAAAAAATTGGCAAGAATGCTTCGAAACTGCTTATGTTACTTACGTAAAATGTTGTCACTGTTCCAGCAGAGTTACCAGGGACAAGTTTCATTTGAACCTCGGCTTTGCCGTAGAAAAACTCCTGATGAGACTGAAAACCAGAACCAGAGGATTTGTCGAGCGAGAGGGAAAGAAGATTCCCAAGATTGTCGAGAACCTTTCCACGGCCATCACCCCAATGTATCTGAACGTCTTTGTGGAAGCTGCCTGCGTAGACGCTCATAGATTGTGCTGCAAAGAGAAAGAGAATCAAGAGCGTGAACCTTGCACCGCAAGAAGACTTCATTTTGTAGTATTTCAAAGAGTAGTTATGATATATCTCAGATGGATGGGGTGATGTGAAAATGGAAGTAAGGGACATTAGTCTATATATAACTGTTGGAAATGAAAAAGGGAATTGATATTTGATAGAGGTATTCGTGCTGTTGTTGTCTAGTTGCTCAAAACATTATAATATAACCTATGGATTGCTATATATATACACTTTCCGACTCTTTGGACCATAAATCATATTTATTCAGAAAGCATGATTCATTTAGATATTTTGATTTGCAACTTTTTGTCGGTTAAAAACTTTGTCAAGATAAAGTACTCATATTCTACAATTTCTACTCATAGTCTCCTACTCATTCCATATTTATTTTGTTTAAAAACATATTAAAACTTGTAAATCTTCACCGACACAGTCACTTAGTGGTGTTCTTAAAACAACATCATCTACTCCTAATCATTCCATTTATTCTGTTTATATATATATATATATATATAAACTCGTAAACCTTCACCGACACACGTGTTCTTAAAAACCATCTGAATTAGCACATCATATGTAAGAGCTAACCAAATTAATAAAGTAATTAGTGTTTCATTATCGAATTCCAATCTAGAAAACAATAGCACAGCCACAGACGTAGACATACATGCAAAATAATAAAAGTAATTAGTGATTTAGTGTTTCATGATTTTGCCACTCCTAATAAAAAAATGTAAAATAAATCGATAGAAAATATCACAAACCACCAATGCAGATGAAATCCTATGGATTACATACTTTCCGACTATCTTGACCATATATCATATTATTCAGAAAGCATTATTCCTTCGGATAATTGATCTGCAAAATTTTGTCGGTTAAAAATTTAAAATCCTCATAACCTCCTCCTAATAATCATTCTATTCAGTGTTCTTTTTTTTATATATATATATAAAAAGGGCAACTATACACTAGACAGTGTTCTTATAATACATACATAGATCAAAATTGTAATTTATACCAAATACAGTAGTGTTGTTAACACAAAATTTTGAACTGGAACATCAAATGTAAAAACTGACCAAATCAAAGAAAGTAGTGTGTGATTATCAAATTCCAAATCTAGAAAACGAAAACACATGCATAGGCGTATTTCAAAGTTTTGATAAAGATTATAAAATCATTGATTGAGAGATAACACTTGGATTTAACTTTTTAAATTAGCTAAAGTCAGGTAAACCAATAATAACATTAAGTAAAAACTAGTCTTATTTCAGTTAACTTTATGTAATTTGCCATATAGATTGATTTCATTATTACACGTGGAAATAAACAAAAGTTTTATTAAAGTATGTTTTATATTTAAAATAGTATGAAAACTAATTGTACACCAGCCCATAGGCCCAGTTTACTAAGATAGCCCAAATAACACATTTGTTTTGGAAACCTTGATGAACTCCTGAAGCTCAATAATACTCAAAACGAGCTCCTAAAGTTGTTGTCACTTGGTTTTGAATTTTGAGAGAGGTAGTAGCTCTCAAGTCTTAACTAGTTTCACTTGGTTTTCCTTTCGTCCTCTCCTCCATCCTTCGTCCTTTCCTCCATCTCTTCTGGTAACCATTCTTCTTTCTCATCTGCTCAAACCAAAATCTATTTCAGACCAAAAACAGAGTAATTAACCCAACAACACACAATGATATGTTACATTTCAAGCGTCGTCGATTTTAATACCTGTATTTTTCCTAACAACCCAGATGAAATTTATACCAGAAGCTTTGAAACCCGCAGCGATCCCTATCAGCTGCTCGTTATTGAAGCAAGCCACGCTCCCACGCGAAATGTAAATGACTGAATCTGGTTTCTTGGAGTCAAGCCATCTGAGGCATTCGGCCTCATCGATGCTCGCTTTCTTTCCTCTCTGAGCCTTCTCCTCAAATCCTCTGATCGTAATCAGGTTCAAGCTCGTAGAAGCTGTTCACAACAACACCTGAACTCTTCACTTCTGATTCTCTCACCTCGATCATAAACTTCCCCATCCCGGATTCGTTGTCGCCGTCAATGATCTGTTCTTGAGTTATCACTATGTCCCCAGGGAGATTAGGGATCACAAATGGCTCACAGCTCGAAGCTACTCTGTTTTGTGGTTTGTGAACTTTGATGGAATAACCAGCGCATAAAGAGAAGTAGCCAGTGCCGTGGAACACAAGTCTTGGCACATGGCACTTCTCAGCAGCTTCGGTAGCCCATGGGAAGAACATGTCGGCGACAAGACAGTCCGGTCTTGTTTTCTCGAGGAGTTTCTCAAGCTGGTCTTTGAAAAACCTTGTCGACAAAAAGAACTTTAAGGTTATATACCCCTTGTCTTCACTGTTGTTTGCGGTGAAGAAATCGACGTTCTCGCATTCTTCTGGTAACCCGAGCTCCACGCAAGGGAAATCGAAGATATGGATGTCGATTTCGAGACTCGGGTTCAGGTTCTTGAATAGGTCGATGGGCTTTTGGAGGATCTTGGAGTTGAGAGGTGTGGTGATGATTGTGGATTTGGCTCCTCTGGTAGAGAAAAGCTTAGCCATGTCTAGAGTTGGTATAATGTGACCATAAGCCATGAAAGGGAAGAACATAACATGGAGTTAGTGGCGAGGATCACTACTCATGTTTGTTTGGCTTTGGTTGAAAAGAAAACGTGATTGGGAAGAATCTGAAGCTCTCGTAGAAGTATGAATTTTTCTTGCCGTGTTTAATGGTTTTAGGAGTCTCCGCGTGATGACATATATATTATTGTTTCTATATGTATGTAACGAATAAATTCAATTTTCATTTAATGTTGTAATTATTATTATTATTTTTTTTTCTTAATAAAAAATTGATTGATTTACATTAGTTATTGAAACAAATTGAACATAGACAATCTTTAATGATCAAATAAATTTGGTTGGATACCATATCCGGTTAGTTTCACAACTAATTCAAAATCTAATCGATTTTAAACTAATTTATATTTTAATGTAAAAAAAAAAATAGAAAACATATTTTTTTCTTGAGTTTCTTTCCCCCTACATCTTTTGCTTCTTGAGTTTAGTTTTGTAGATTTTTTTTTTAACATGAAACAATACAAAAAGCAACAACATATTTTATATTTCGATTAGATTTAAGTTTTATTTAGTATTATTATTATTATTATTATTATTATTATTATTATTATTATTATTATTATCAATTTGTTTCCTAAAAGTTGATTTATCTACATTAGTTGTGAAAACAAATTGAACATAGACAATTTCTCACGACCAAATGAATTCAAATGGCTGGATGCCATGTCCGGTTAGTTTCACATCTAATGTAAATATAATCGATTTTAATCTAATTTAGTTTTTTATACGGATAAATAAAAAAAAAAAGAATAGAAAACTTATCTTTATTTTGAAGTTTTTTTCTCTCAGCGTCTGTTGACTCTTGAATTTCATTACATCAGACATCTTCTTCATTTCCCTGTGTTCTTGACACAAAGCACACCAATGCAATCAACAAAGAACCATGCAATAATCACAAGGCGCACTCTGCAAGAAAGTCACTATTCATCAATGAGAGATCATATCTGGAATTATACAAAATCTGGTGTTGGATTTTACTTACCCTGAGATGATTGTCTGATAGCAAAATTCAAAATCTGATGCTTCTCCCACTAGAAAACGAGTCTTTGAGTCGCTCTGGTTTCCTTTGGTCGAGGAGCACATCAAGCTTCAACGCTCACAACCTCATACTCGATGAGCGAATGATTGTAATCTTCCTTCACAGTGATGTCTGTGGGCTCCTCCGCGACTTGTACATGTCGATCTTCGCATTGTGCAGGCTCACAATCTTGCCTTCTTTCATCATATCCACTGATGAAGAACGAATTGTCAACATCAATCAGAAATCTCCAAAGATACTCAAAATTTGCCAACGTGATCGTTTCTTCTTATATGTAATGTAAAATCACAGAAGCACACATTCTCACCTTGATCGTTTCGTGCGGTAAAGATAATGATTCCAGTCTCATCTCCAACAAGACATTCTGCTATCTGCATCTGACGAGCCTGGGGACCACTGCGATGATCTCCTCCTCTCTGCATCACCATCTTCGTGCTGACTGCTGACAATTTTCACGTCTCAGCTCATTCACCTTGGTGAACACAGGCTTCCTCAAAGCAGGCGTTGCCTCATCCATTTTTGTTAGAAGATTCCTACAAATTAGCCATAAACAAGTACAGTTTTGCTCAGATCCGCAATAAGAACAAGTCAATTCGAAAGTAACAGCAGGAATTTTAAATCTGATAAACAGACCATCAAAAACAGCCTGATTTCACACTCGTAGGATTTTCACACAGAATAAACGTTTAATCTAAATAATTGAACAAGACGAGATACAGTGATAAAGATGAAGCATTTAATCCCTGCAATGACCCAGAAGCACGAGATACCTTATCCCCAATAGTATCGAACTTTTTCAGTAAGATTCCATCAATCAAACCGTGTTCCATTAAACATCTAACAAGAATCTAATTCAGACAAGAAACCAAACCTGATTAAACTTCGAGAGTTGGTCTACTGCATCGTTTCCAAAAAGAGCTTCTCTAATTATCTCTGTTGATATAGATGCGTCTGTAACTTCTTTAGGTCTTCAGCCTGCGATTGATAGATTCAGCACTATGATAGTGTAATATAGTGTTGATGAAGCACCTTCTCATCCAAGAAAGCTTTAATTTTGACTCGGTCAGCTCCTCATCATCCTCTGTATATGAAGTCTGGGCAACTTCCATGTTCGTTTTAGTTTCTTTCTCTTCATTACCAGGACTTTCATCTGATTTGGAGACATATCACTTATGGCATCACAGCTCTGTCAACAAATTGAAACTCAGTTCAAACAAGAGTCGAAATTTAAGAAATATGAATCATATGTACGCTTACCTTCTTCAGATCACTATTATTCGCAAGGGTAGGCCTCGCCTTTCCATCAAATGTCAAGTAATTCTCATCATCAATCAAACACGTATCGTCTTCATCACCTCCATTATCATTTGGTTGCCAGAAATTGATGTTTTGGATTTGATTTCACAGGATATGCAACTGAATAAGTCAGACTGCCCAAGTTACACATGTCTCCTGCGTCTTTGCATGTAGAATCTGGATTGAAACAAAGGAAGAAGACAATAAATGGTCGGAATCATTCATTATACCCAAAGAGTCATTTTTAATACTTTTGGTTGCAGCCAGATTCTTAGAACTTACGAGCTTTTAGTGTTGGTTAACTGTGACAGTCGGAGAAGTACTAGCATTGTTCTGGAAAATAACAAAAATGATCTTATCAAGATGGCTTCACGAACAGCTTCTATGATACTCATAAGATGGTCAACATGCACCCACCATGACAGAACCAAGATCAGTAAAAGAAGATTCCTTGTGTTTTCCCGTAACAAAAGAATGCTGCAAATAGAACAAAATTAAAAACACTTTCTCAAACCCACAAAGCATATGTCCGTACAACCTAATTCAACCACTCTCAACACTTGAATCACGACAAACATTCGAACAGATAGAAGAAAAGAAAGAAGAAAAATCAAGCATGACTTACTGATTCAGGAAAATGTCCAAATTTCTCCGAGAGCGATGATATAGATCCATCAGGAACAAACTCGAGAAGGATATTCAGGGTGTCATCTTCCCTCACTAATTCAATGAACACTAAGAGTTAGAAGAATCCATGAGAATAGTTTAATCGCAGATCAGATATTCAAATCCCAGAGAAATCCCAAAACTCAACAAACAAATTTAGCAGCGAGAGGGTTACATCTAGCGTACCTGTACATAGATGCTCTCCGGAGTCAAGATTCATACACATGTACATAGATGCATCCTTCGGGAGAATCTGACGACAACGGCTATGTGGAAATATTAATGTCCCTTATATTTACAGACTGCTTAAATGAATCATTTAATACATATTTACAAACGGCTATCTTCTAGATCAGTCCTTATATTTATAGATCGATGTCCCAAAAATTACTAACATTTATAATTCAATAAATTTATTTGGTTTTAAATCGAATTAATTCAAAATATATCATAAATCAATAAAATAATTTTTTTTTTTAAAAACTATGTCTCTTTTTCTTATCGCCACATATCATTTTTTTTCTTTGTTTGATCGATTTGACATTCTCCAAATCAAACCTCGACCCAACAAGGAAAAAAAAAAGTGAATGAAAACTCTTGTTTCAATAATTAATTATTTGTTATTATTTTAAAAAAATCTTACACACACACACACATCACAATATGAGCAACAAATGAATAAAAAATAATAGGATAAAACTCATTTGAGTTACAAGGACAATGCAAAGTTTCTTATTCACGAATCAAAGAATCAATTACTGTAATTTAAGTGCACACTGCAGGAACACCTCGAGGGAACCTTCTTTTATCGGTGCAATAGTTGTAGACCATGTACTTTCCCTGCGCCCATTTCATTTTTTTCTCACCTTCCAAATCAAGTTTTTGAGTGAACCATGGGGCATTCCCAGGGCAAGATGATTTTCCATTAGCCCATACACATCCCTCCACGTTGTAGTTTCTGTAAAAAGCAGTGAAAGGAGCTTTTGACCAATCAGTTTTCTCTAATCCTCCCCTTGTGGCCCAATGTTCAGCTTCCCAAAGGCTCGCGTAGAGCCTCATTGGTTGGTTCTTTGGGAACGGAACTCCAATGGATTCGCTGTTCTTGAACTCTCTAATCGGAATTCCATCAACTGTAAAACTGAAAGACATGAAAACAAAAGAGAATTGTTAGGAATCCTACATAAAAAATGAGATATAGAATAATCTAACTAATTGGTCATTGTTTCCCCCATAAACCTTAACAAGAACATTGGTTCATGAGGCCATACACTCGAAGCAGATAAGATTATAATGGAAATATGCACTTACATAATCCTTTGGGGATTCCATGTGATGCAGTAAGTGTGAAAGTTAACGGTCGGGTCGAACCATAGATGAAACTGTTGTTCTTTGTCTCCAGAGCCTTGTGTGTAAACATTGGTGTGTAGAGTATAAGGATGACCACTTATGTTTCCCAAGAACTCGAAATCGATCTCATCCCACGTAGTTCCCGGCGATTTAAGCTACACAAAGACATCATAAAACATACTCATCAATTATATGTAATCAGGGACAAGAAAAGTGCTTTGAAATTGTATGTTATACTTACGTAGAATGTTGTGACTGTTCCGGCAGAGTTACCACCGACAAGTTTCATTTGAACCTCGGCTCTTCCGTAAAGAAACTCCTGATTGGACTGAAAACCTGAACCAGAGGACTTGTCGAGAGAGAGGGAAAGAAGCTTTCCATCTCTGTCGCGAACCTTTCCACGACCATCACCCCAATGTATCTGAACGTCTTTGTGGAAGCTGCCCGCGTAGACGGCCACAGATTGTGCCGCAAAGAGAAAGAGAACCAAGAAGGCGAATCTTGTACTGCAAGAAAACTTCATTTTTTTTAATATTTCGATGAGTAGTATTTGGTTAAATGTCAAATGTTATTGTGTTGATGGAAAATAGAGGGAAGTGACATTGGTTTATATATAGCTGCTGGTGGAAATGTCAAAGGAAGAAGAGATGGAAGTTTCATCATGGGTTTGATTATTGATACTAGTGTGCTGTATTCTAGTTGGCTCATTCGAGCTTTTGTTGGTTGTTACAATTTGAATCTAATAAAATATAATTTCATTACTCGTTTATTGTTACAAACCAGAGAAAATAATGTATATGGACAATTTGTATCTGACATGCTGGTCCCGCGTTTTGAGAGTAATGAAGGTCAATTTGTCAACACGGCTTCGACTTTTGACCTGAGCGCAAACCCTCCCCGCCGCATAGAGGGTTCCAATTGCACTTATATTCTTTCTTCGAATTCCATTTGTCTAATTTATTATTATAATTTTTGTGCTACACCATGTTTTGTGATAAATAATACATGCTAAACAATCCAATTATCAAAATACTTAACTTAAGTATCTCTTTACCCGAACAAAACAAATTCACTTTGTTCAGGTAAAACTAATAACATAATTAGCTAGGAGGATATGGTAACGTCTTTACGTGTAACATAATTTAACTTTAGTATTTGGGATTTAGTTTGAGTGTTTGACAAACTATTCCCTATACGAAACTTAGGCTGCCAAACAATTAAATTAATTATCATGGTCATTTCCTAAAAATAGTCATCTACACTCATTGTAGCCTGGCTCTAAACAACACGAAAGCTCATAATCCGATTTTTAACGTCGAGTTCTTCAAAATACCTTCCCCAAACGTCAAGAAAGAGGCACATGGTTTCTTGATAAATTGTGTGGTTTTTTTGTTGCTAAAGTTATAATAAAGAGGCACGTCGAGGCACATGTTTTGTTTTTACTCCATTTTGTGAAAATCAAACACATACTATAGTATTTTCATAAAGATTTGTCCATAGCAAGAAAATTACACAGGACCACATGTTCAACAATGTTTATTTCTCTAGCTATAGTCTATTTCAAAGAAATGTTTTTAGTACGAATGGAAACAAAAAAAAAAATTATTTGAAATTGGACCGTCCCGCCCGCTTATCCATCTAGAAAACTTATTATTTATAAATGTGCTTCCCAAGAATTTGGTGTGTAATTTATTAGTACTGAATTTGTCAGTGCTCTGAATACTTACTTACAAATGGACAAATCACGTGGAACCAGGAACCACTTAAGTTTGAGTAACGAATAAACTTGTTTCCATAATATATATACTACTAATTTATAAATCTTACATCATACACCACACGGCACACACATATATGAGCAACACATGAATGAAAAATAAATGGGTAAATAAATTTATCATAAAAGCTCACTTGAGTTACAAAGACAATGCCAAGTAACTTATTGATGAATCAAAGAATCAAATTAATCTAAGTGCACACTCTAGGAACGCCTCGAGGAAACCTTTTCTTATCGGTGCAATAGTTATAGACCATGTACTTACCCTGCACCCTCTTCACTTCGTCCTGGCCTGCCTTATCGAGCGTTTTAGTGAACCATGGGGCATTTGCGGGGCAAGATGATTTTCCATTAGCCCATACACATCCGTTCACATTGTAGTTTCTGTAATAGGCAGTGAAAGGAGCTTTTGACCAGTCTGTTTTCTCTAATCCTCCCCTTGTGGCCCAATGCTCGGCTTCCCAAAGACTCGCGTATAGCCTCATTGGTTGGTTCTTTGGGAACGGAATCCCAATCGACTCGGAGTTCTTGAACTCTCTAATAGGAATGTCATCAACTGTAAAACTGAAAAAGAGGAGAAGAAAAAAGAATTGAGAATCTCAACACATAGCTTCAAAACATGAGATTGCAAGAAATCAAAGGACCCGCTTACATAATCCTTTGGGGGTTCCATGTGATGCAGTAAGTGTGAAAGTCAGCGGTTGGGTCAAACCATAAGTGAAACTGTTGTTCTTTGTCTCCTGAGCCTTTTGTGTAAACATTGGTGTGTAGAGTATAAGGATGACCACTTATGTTTCCCAAGAACTCAAAATCTATCTCATCCCACGTAGTTCCGGGCGATTTAAGCTACACAAAACCCATCACAATCATTAATCACCAACATATTCTCTAGATATGAATGGCAAAAGATTGCAAGAATGCTATATGTAACTTACATAGAATGTTGTGACTGTTCCAGCAGAGTTACCAGGGACAAGCTTCATCTGAACCTCGGCTTTGCCATAGAGAAACTCCTGCTTGGATTGAAAACCGGAACCAGAGGATTTGTCAAGCGAAAGAGAAAGAAGTCTTCCGTTACTGTCGTGAATCTTTCCACGGCCATCACCCCAATGTATCTGAACGTCTTTGTGGAAGCTACCCGCATAGACGCTCACAGATTGTGCCGCAAAGAGAAAGAGAACCAAGAAAGCGAAACTTGTACCGCAAGAAGACTTCATTTTTTGTAGATCTCAGATGTATATTGTTGATGGAAATTGAGGGAAGTGACATTAGCTTATATAGCTGCTGAAAATGAAACGGAAAGAGATAGAGAGAGAGAAGGAAGTTTCATGGGTTCGATCATTAATGGTGTGGTGCATGTGCTTTTGTCTGGTTGGAGCACAGCTTTATAAAATTATTTAATGTAATACATTAAGTGTATTTTGATCCCTTGTTGGCTGTTACGTAGCGAATCCAATTAAAATATTAATTTCATTATTTATTTATTGTTTACAAACCGAAATAAGTTTTGGACATTTGTATGAAACTGGCTGGTCCCAATGTCTTGATATGTGTCAACGCGTCTTCGACTTTCGAGCACCGCCCGGAGAAATTCGTCTTTGTTGTTTAATTTCAAACCGAGCCCAACCTATACGTAACAGTGAGATATACACATTCAAGTATCCTTAAATTTGGGGTTAATTAATATCAATGAAAGTAACTCTTCCATTTAAGGTTTGATTTTTAAAATTTGTTCAAATTTGAGTTTATGTTATTTTCCATTGTGTTTATGTATTTAAAAGATGTGATCAAAGTATCTTATGAAAATGTGAGGACTTAAAAAAAAACGGATGCACAAAAATATACTGTGTTGTAATTTTGTTGAAAGTAATAAAGATATATTATATGTAAAATGATTGGATTTGAAATAATTGTTGAACTGAAATATAAAACAAAGAAGGTGATTTGAGGGTAATTAAGTGGAACGAGTCATGGGCCAAACCAAAAGGCCCAACTACACTTATAAGCCTTGTTCTAAAGATGAAGAAGAACAAGATTTAAGAATGTTAGCATAGTTGTAGACCTCATACACGGTCATTACTTGAATCAAGTTAGCAAATTGAAACTGAAACTAATTCCTCATAAAAACAAAAATAAGTCATCTCTAATGAACCAACACAGACTCAAACCAATCACGAAACTTGGAGTTTTCTTGCCTCCAGGTTGATACTTGATAACATAGACTAGTACCTACGGTAGTAGAATCTTATCAAAATACATGATGAAAGGGAAACCACATGACTAACAAAAAAAGCTTTAAAGAAAGCTAGGTTTAACCACAAAATAATAATATCATCAAGCTGTCTTAATTTTTTTTAACTTAAAGCCAAATAGATACATAAAAATAAAATACAAAGAAAAACAATCATAAAATCGTACTAAGAAACCGGAACAAGACTTGGAAGGTGCGCATAGCCAGAGATAGAAGGCCAGCGAATTCCACCATTACGATAATTTTTTAACCCAATCGATTTTTCAAATCCAATAACGTATACTTTCGCACAAACATAGTTCATATCTTGTTCTTCAGAGCAAACAACAATCCTATTATTCTTGTCAACGAAGTAGACCGGAGGACTAATTATAACATGGTGCCTGGAACTGGCATGCAATACCGGGAGATTAGGTCTCGGCACACTAAACAGCTTGGTCCACGAGATAACAACCCCTTTCTTGATCTTGCTTGTGACCCATATGTCGAAAGTTTCTTCGCGCTCTTGTAACAAAGAAGGCTTATCTCTTCTAAAATCCGACAAGGCCATAAAAGTAGATCCAACACACGTGGAGGGCAAGGAGCATAAGGGTTCGAATTTCTCCACAGAAAAATCGAAACTTTGGATGAAAACCTTGGAAACATGGTTCCATGCAGCAATCCAATACACATTCCCATTCAATGACACACCTCTATAAGGCTTAAACACGTACCAATCCCAAGAAAAATCAAGACGTGTCCATGTCTTATACTTTAAATCGTAAATCTCAGCGCGTGGTTTATACATTCCCCCGTTTCCCGTGTGAAACCTCAAGATTTTGTAGCCATCTTCAGGAGATGCATGTTTGTATCCAAGACCGCAACAATCGCCAGGCAGCATAAACTTTAGGGGGCAGATCAATCTAACTTGTCCCAAATATGGGTTCCAAATTGCGAACTTGCCCGCCCTACCGCCACATTTTAATCCGCATAATAATAATCCGTCGCAATGAACCCAAACTTTTAAAAAGCGTCCACCTGGTAGAACGAGAGGGAGCGGTAAAGATATGCTAGGTTGGTTCTCTTGATCGATGATCTTAAGAATTGTTGCTGGACGAAAGCCAATTGCTTGTAGATGAATCTCTTGTTTGTGAAGAGAGAGAGCCATCGTTTGCAAGTCAACTTGAATCGAGTCAGAGATTCGGTTGGAACTCTACAAAGTATTTCCTCAACTAAATCATCAGGCACCGATGGACAGTCTGATGAAGAAGAAGCCATTGACGTTTAGCGCACGTATTAGGGTTCCACTTCTTGGTATCACAAAGCAAGAATGTTATTAGGGCACAAAGATTAAAAGGGTTCTTTCGAGGCCTCACAATGACCCAAAAGGCCCAAACCAAAAAAATACGAGCAACTAAAATTTCCTTATAAAAACATATTAAAATTTCCCTTTTCATCTCCTTAAAATCGTACAAACTCCATTATTGATTTACAAGGTGTCGATGAAAATTCAACTCATTTGGCATCAGCACATATAATATTTGATTAATGGTTTGCTATGAATAATTCAAACACAACCGAAATCACACCATATATTATAATTATCGAATATCTGTTATATTATCAGGAATCTCAAGTATTTTCAGGTCTCAAAGTCAAATAACGAAAAAAATAAACAAAATAAAAATAATGACAAACAGAGAGAGTGTCATTACTCATTGGATAAAGTGGGCCAAGTCGCTCTCCGTCGCTCACCCTCGCGTCCGCCGTCGCCGTTGATATGACCACCGCTGAGCTAAATCCGTTGCCCTCTCGCTCCATTTTTCTCGGTGTAGACGTTGGCACTGGAAGCGCACGAGCCGGTGATCTTTTTTTCCTTTATCGTCGATTTTGGAAAGAAAAAAAAAAACTGTGTGGTTCTTTGATGCGTTGCCTCTTGATTTGTTGGCCGATCGATTTGATAAATATCGATTCTTTTGTGTGGGTTTTTGGAAATTCCACCTCTATTGTACCGGAGCAACTCACTTGAATCGCTCCGGTGACCGTGCCCATGATCTCTCCGTCGTATAATTAGTTGTCAGTGTTTCAAAATTTCTCTTCTTTCTTCTGTTTATGGCTTACTGATTTCATGCAAATTTTGTACCTTTATCATCGCAAGTGTTCTTAATTTTAGGATAAAGATATTTGGTTTTGCAATGCTGGGTTCTGCATTCCTGTCTTAAATTGTGAATTTTTCAGTAGCAACTTTTGGGTTTGATTTCCTGATGCAGGTTTATTCGATGAAAATGGAAAGCTTCTAGGCTCTTCTAGTAGCCCAATACAAATTTGGAAGGATGGAGACTGTGTCGAGGTAATATTTTTGAATATGAGACCTCCATTTGAAGTTGCTACTAAAGTGATGAAGTAACACCACACTTCATGATTTCAATGGAACAGCAATCTTCAACCGATATTTGGCATGCGGTTTGCGCAGCCGTGAAGTCTGCTTGCTCTCTTGCAAATGTTACTGACGTAGAAGTGAAAGGGATAGGCTTTGCTGCCACATGCTCTCTCGGTTTGCAGCATCCGCTTTAGAGCCCTTTTTCGTGTGTTTTATGGCTGAAGAAGAGAAGCTTAACGCTACCATTGTTATTGTTTTGCAGTGGCGGTCGATGCTGAGGGGTCCCCTGTTACAGTTTCTTGGAGTGGTGATTCAAGAAGAAACATCATTGTGTGGATGGACCATAGAGCTGTAAAGCAGGCAGAGAGAATCAACTCGTTTAATTCTCCAGTCTTGCAGTACTGTGGTGGTGGTGTTTCTCCAGAAATGGAGCCACCAAAAGTACGTACAAGCTTGTCCTAAGGGTAGTTTCCTTCTGCTTGTTTGAGCATGATTAGAAAAAAAATCTCTGCTTTTGCAGCTTCTATGGGTGAAAGAAAATCTACAGGAGTCTTGGTCAATGGTGTATAAGTGGATGGACTTGAGTGATTGGCTTTCCTATAGGTTACTCTCAAGCCTTTCGCTCTCTTGAACTTTTTTTGAACCTCGTTGAGAGAATTGTCTTTGCATCACCTGGTTCTTTTTGTTTCCTCTTAGAGCTACTGGAGATGATACCCGTAGTCTGTGCACCACAGTTTGTAAGTGGACGTATCTTGGTCATGCACACATGCACCAGATGACTGAGAAGGCTTCTCGTGATATGGAAGCGTGTGGATGGGATGATGAGTTCTGGGAAGAGATTGGCTTAGGCGATCTTGTAGATGGACACCATGCTAAGATCGGTATGCATATCTCTCTTTTGTTCCTTTTACTTGTTAGAAAATGCTCTTTAGAGGAATCGTGCTTTTACTAATGTTATCTCATTTGTTAATTAGGACGAAGTGTAGCTTTTCCTGGACATCCACTGGGTAATGGTCTAACCGCAACAGCTGCTAAGGCAAGTTCTTTACTTTATTTGTCCTGTGGGTCTTAGAGCATGCTTTACTTCTGAGGTCTCTGTATTTTCACTCCGTTGCTAATTTCCTTTTAAACAAAATTCTTAGGAACTGGGACTGTTGGCTGGAACTCCTGTGGGGACTTCACTCATTGACGCTCATGCCGGTGGAGTTGGGGTCATGGAAAGTAAATCAGACTCAGACTCTGTGACGAAAGGTGTTTTTTTTTTTTTTTTTTTGCTATTAATAGTCTATCTAGCGTAAAGTGGTATATTACTCTCTAAGAAATGGGCATTTTCAGAGTCAGATGTGGAAACATTATGCACTCGGATGGTTTTGGTGTGTGGCACATCAACTTGCCATATGGCTGTTTCACGTGAAAAGCTGTTTATTCCCGGCGTGTGGGGGCCTTTCTGGTCAGCTATGGTTCCGGAGTATTGGCTTACAGAAGGAGGACAAAGTGCCACTGGAGCTTTACTTGATCACATTATCGAAAACCACGTTGCTTCTCCCCGTCTTGCAAATCATGCTGCTTCTCAGAGTAATCAGATCCTCCACTCTTTCTTTTTTTTCCCTTCACTTTTCACTTCTGTTTGAGAAAACATTCGTTGAAACGCTACTGTCTTGGTCTCTCGCAGAAGTTTCCGTGTTTGAGCTTCTGAACAACATTTTGAAATCGATGGCGCAAGATACGAGTTCTCCATTTATAGCTGCTCTTACCTCAGACATGCATATCCTTCCCGACTTTCACGGAAACAGGTGAATAAAACTATAACAGAAAGCTCTGCTCTGCTTTGCGTCTTTCCCTTTTGAGTCTATTGATTCAGAGCTGTGTTACAGATCACCCGTTGCAGACCCAAATTCAAAAGGAGTCGTATTTGGAATGACCCTTGATACATCAGAGAAGCAGCTGGCTCTTCTATACCTCGCCACAGTACAAGGAATCGCATATGGTACACGTCATATCGTAGAACATTGCAATGCACATGGTCACAAAGTAAGTTTTCTTCGTCTTTCCTCACACATCCGTTCTATAGAAACAGTACAAGATATTCACTTCGTCTTTCCTCACACATCATATTTCTCTGTCTTTGCATTTGATGTTAGATTGACACACTGCTTGCTTGTGGCGGCCTTTCAAAGAACCCATTGTTGATCCAAGAACATGCTGATATCGTTGGTACAGTACTAACCACACTCTTTGTTATCACTTCTTCTATATAATCAAATCACACACACGGAAACAGAGTAATCTCATTGGCTCGGGTCTATTGGGCAGGTTGTCCGATTATACTTCCCCGAGAAAGCGAGTCTGTTCTTTTGGGAGCAGCGATTCTTGGAGCGGTTGCTGCCAAGAACTATCCTAGTCTCCATGATGCTATGAAAGCTTTAAATGCAGCTGGACAAGTACATATGCTTAAAGCTTAACTTCATTGCTTGAGTACCCAAAATTCATACTTTGATCATGTCATTTAATGTGTCACATGCGGTTAAATTTCAGGTGGTTCAGCCATCATCAGACCCTAAGATCAAGAAGTATCACGATGCCAAATACCGTATCTTCCGTGACCTCTACGAACAGCAATTATCTCACCGTTCCATCATCTCCCAAGCTCTTGCGTAGTTGTCGTGATCAACAGAATCTGTATAGTACTCTGCAACATTCATCTTTCTTTTGCTACTTATACAATAATAAAATCTATTGCAGTTGTGACAATGAGCATTAAAGTTTAAAATTTAACTGCATTTTTCTCTTGTTTTGTTATAGTTTTTCTCCATCATTTATTCAACAAGACGCAAACTAGCTGAGTGATTATATATTTTACCCAAATCTTGAAATTTTACCGTGAGTTACCATAACTCTCTCTTTCATTGTTCGTTCTGTTTTCGTCTGAAAACCACACACTCGTTTTCAACTACTTTATCGATTTCTTATAAATATGGAAAATAATTTGTAGTAAAACCCACAAAAATATGGTACTTTTTAGGAATTTTATATTATTATCAGCTATATAAAATGTCAAATGTAGGTAACAATAAGTCAATAAACTTAAGCATAACTCTATATCCAATATTGTTGGCTGACTTAGTTCCCAAAAAAAAAAACAATTATCGTTTATATCTTCTTACCTCCAAGACTTTTTGGGGGTGGGCAGTCTATAATATCATTATATATCTACCTACTATGCATAAAATATTCGTTAAGCACATATAAACTAGTATAATACATGCTTTATTATCAACAAAATCTAAGAATTCAAAACAAATTCAAATGTGGCTATCATAATCGAACATGTACACCACTAATCATAGAGTTGACACTTTCGTCCCTAAAACCTTTCTTTACTATATAAAATAAATAAAAACCACTAAAAAACCCATGAAAATAAAATTGTCTTCACGACTCCAAGCTTATATAAAACTAAGCAAACACCATTTGAGTTCAAGCTCCACCCGCGATGGCTCCTCCTAAACACATCAATCTTGTTTCGGTTGCAATCGCCGCTCTCATACTAATAATATGTTGTCATTGCGTCGATGCAGCAACATACCAACAGCAATTCATGGCTCCACAAAATGCGGCAAGAGCCCGTTTAAGGCTCAAACCGCTAAAGTGGGACGCTAAAGTAGCCCGTTACGCGCAATGGTGGGCCAACCAGAGACGCGGTGACTGCAACTTGATCCACTCCAACGGACCATACGGTGAGAATCTATTCTGGGGCTCGGGCAAAAGATGGAGCCCGGTTCAAGCCGCCAATGGATGGTTGTCGGAAGCAAGGGGCTATAACTATTACTCAAACTCGTGCAAGGCCGAGATGTGTGGCCATTACACGCAGATTGTGTGGAGGAACACACAGAGGATTGGTTGCGCTCACGTGATCTGCAACGGCGGAGGCGGCGTGTTCTTGACTTGCAATTACGATCCACCGGGAAATTTTCTTGGTAGGAGGCCTTATTGAGTATGATGATCCCATTTGTATATCTCAAAAATCTCATACCAAAAGAGGTTGTTCTTGCGGTTTTAATTTTTTTTTTATATATACAATGTTATTTTTTCATTGGTTCGAGTTTAAGGTGCGATCGGGAAAACCATACAACGTTTGTTTTCCGACGTTTTCTTATGTATCTTTCTGTGAGGGGCATTTCTTTTGGCTAATAATACTAACTTATTATAAACAAAATTTGATCCCTAATCTCGACCAATGTTGTCAAACCACAAGACAAGTACATCTTGTAAACAAAGTTACTCAGCTTTAACTTTGTTTGCCTTGTTTTAGCGCAATGCATGAGGAAGAAGCAAAATAACTAATCCCTGAAATGAATTAGCATTATGTAACAAACATGAAAACATGAAATGATCCAAGGGTCCACACTTTCATAACATACAAAGTTTGTCCTCCACTTTTCACTTCTGTACAAGATCCACAATTTGGGAGAGGTCTCACAGCAATAATCATTGGGACAGACATCACTTGGCCCTGTAACAACATAGAGAGGATTTGGTTTCATTTTCTTGTTACGTAAAAATGCTGTGTCATTATGAAGTTTGTAACTTTTCACTTTTATGGAAGGCCAAACTGAGAGAGATGGGGGAAACAAAGGATCAGATGAGAATGATGCTACTTACGTTTTCATCATCAGAGTTATGTTGTCTCCTTTAAGCAAAATCCTTCCTGAAATCCAGTATTTGCTCGAGTTAGAACCAAACCCATTACGTAAAACAAAACTATATATATATATATATATATAAGAAATGTGATCTCAAAAGTCTTATATAAGAGATTCTCAAACAACTCACCAAGTGGTTTTCTGGTATTCTTCTTGATGCTCACTTCCTCAGCCTCATCTAGCACCAGGTTCATGTACTCGTCGAAACCCTGCACAAGGAGAAGTTTAAAAACAAAGAAACACTCAAAATCAACTAAACAACGCATGACTTAACCAAAGAGAACACAGATGTGACACTGATAAATTATCAAGCTTCATATAAAGGAACCATCTTTGGTACTAGCATCAACACAAATTCCAAAATGTTAGATTTCTCGTAAAAGGTCCCAGCTTTCACATCAGTGATGTATTCAATATCTTATCAGGTTAACACAAGCATCTCAATTCTCTAACTTAGCCCATCAACAAAGCAACAAGATTCAAATTTTGAGCTACTACACAGTTTCATAGGAAAAGATTGCATAAATAAGAAGGAAGGATATTGAGACTTACAGTAATTCGTCCCTCGATCCTCAAATTTCTGCTCGAAAAGCCAAATCTGGACCCGATCTTTCTGCAACATAAAACAGAGACGAACAGAGTACGATTCAGAACCAGAAATTTACAAGTAGTCGTCACTGATTCCTCAGTAGATAACGAGTGAACGAAAATTAAAGAGTAATCGATGAACTTACATGTTGGAGAAACCTGAAAATCAGGTTCTGGAATCACCCCCCACGAAACCACCGAGGTACGAAGCAAGAATCCAAAAAGTAAGAGTCAGTAAACGAATTATAAGAGAGAGCTTTAGAAATAAGCAAATATATATCAAATTGAGAAAAATTACAATGGGCTGGGTCATGATCCTTTGAACTTTGGTGCTCGCCATGGCTGCCGAAGCTGGGAAGCGTTCTTCGGAGCTCGAAACAGTGAAGAAGAAGATTTCTAAAACCCTAAACTTTGTACTTTCTGATTTTTTCTCTACCTCGCGAGAGAGAACACATACAGATTTTGTATCTCAATTTTCGGCCTTTTTATGAAGTTTGTTCACACATCCTCAAAAACCTGTTATTTATTAATTTTCTCCCCATAAAAAGTTAATTTCATATTTCGACCCAAAAAATAGATACCACTCTCAAGTCACTTAACGTAAGAAAACCGAGTTAAGTTTGAAGAATTTGTTACTTAGATTTTAAAGAAACACACCAAAGTTCACAAGATTTCAAGACAAGCAAATTGATTCTACCTTGAATTATCACTTGAGTCTTAATTGTATAATTAACAGAGATAGCTATTTTGACTAATTAACAACAAGAAATACACTATGAATCAGGCTCTTCTCTCCTCTATAACATCAGTTACTCATTAACCTCTTGAAAATGCGAAAAATCGAAAAAGGTTTGCCCTCAGAATCATTCACCGTTGATCATTAACGATTGAAAAGGAACCTTTTTGATCTCCACAAAAGTCGAATAATCAGTCTTCATCGGCTGCTTCCATGGCTCACCATCCATTTGCAAGAAGGCATCTTTCCAGTCACCACCTCTAAGTTCAAACCTAATCGCAGCCGCCTGAAAAAAATGATAAAAGCGGTTTAAGATGAAAACCGAGGCTAAACCGGGTTCAATAGAGGCGTTCAGTATTCTTTCTCTACCTGAGCAATGTGCTTAGCCGTAATGATTTGAGCCATTACAAATGACGCGTGCCAACCTTGCTTTAAACCGAAAATCTCTATCAAACCATCATCACAATGCGCCTCCACAAATCCTCTCTGTGAAGTGAAGAGTCCATTTTTGTTAAAAGCTTGAATAGAAAGGAAAGAAACAGAGAGAAGAATGAAATCATTACCTTCTCTAGATAGTTTGGTTTCAGATTACCCCATGGATGTCTCCCACTTCCATAGTTATCAAGATTCAATACCACAATCGATCTCACGCTATATATACAAAACCAAAACAGAGAGAATGTTAGTAAAATGAAAAGCCTTTTTCAAGTTTTAACCAATGATGGGATTAGATTTTTGTACCTTTTAGGGATTAATATCTCTTCCCATTCAGAGCAATCTGCCTTTTTAATGTGGATTTTCATTATGTTTCTTAGTCCCCTGCAAAAATTCATCTTACAACAACATGTCAACAAAACAAGAGACAAGAGTTTGAGTAAGGAACAAAAAAAGAAAGAAACTTTTGCTCTTTTTACTGACCTTAAACCCGGATTGCTGACACAAGGCGTGCAGAACCAACCCTGAGTACAACTGTAACTTGAATATATAATCTGCATAACCGAAACAAGTTTGAGTCATAATCTCATTACAAACCGGAAAGAAAAAAAAAACAGCTAACTATATAACAACCTTATTTGTAACGGGGCCTTGAGCAAGATACGGTTTCTCATTACGAAGATGGTGGAATCCATATGCAACTTGAGCATCCATACCTTTGATAACAAGAGAAAATTATTACCACAATAAAAAGAGAGATAAAATGTGTACAAAGTTAAGTTAGTTAATGAAAAAACCTATGCTAAAGTAGTTGTAGAACACTCCATCGTAGGACTTTGCTTTAGGAGGTGCATCTCCTTCAGCATCCAAAGCCTGCTCAAGTGCAGTTTCATCTGAAGGCTTCAAAGAGTAAGGAGGATCAACGACTTCTCCAGATGGCATCGACACTACAATCTTCCAGCTGTCTAATCGAGCAACAGGACCTAGAGTTGCTCTATGTAATGTTCTCTTCATTGCAGATCTCCAAGCAAATGGAAACGAACCACCCTAAAGAGAGAAAGAGAATAGTTTTTGAAAACCATTTATATAACAATGTGGCGGCAATAAGAGAAATGTTACTTAGACTCACCCAACTAAAACTCCTGGAGAGGTCGTTTCCTGTACCGAGAGGGATGACTCCAACGGGAGGAATATGCGTTTTACCGTCTTTGTGAAGCTCACCGAGACAACCAAGAACCCAACCAACTGTACCATCACCACCTGCCACCTATCATCATCATCATCAAATTGCTAAAAGTTACACAAAAAAAGAAAGATAAAAGCATGGCGTCACAAACTATGTGTATATATGTGTTATTGCTCACCATAATCCGGATCCTTTCTCTGCATTCTCTTGCACATTCATCTCCTTTAGCTGCAATCGTCTCCAAACATGCCAAACCGTACCTTACAAATTCATGTGGTTTCACTTCTGTGAGATCAAATACCTGCAAGTATAGAATCACAAAATGGTCCAAATTATTCTACACTTCATATAGGAAACATAAAATTTTGCCTAATTAAACCGGCAACAACAATCCAAGATATAAAGTTTCCGCCTTTTCAAGACACAAACTTCTTTACTTTTAAGTACCAAGAAACTTCTGGCATCAGCAAACCGAATCCGGAATCAGAATCTTTAAGTCAAAACAGTTATTAACTTCTTGAAACAGAAAAATACAAGATTTGATCATGTCAGAAGTTTGTACTGTCCAGATAAGAATGCCGTAGCTCTCAGATCCGGTTCCCTAACTATTCAGGCTTTCAAAGAAGTTTGTACTGTCCACTAAGCCCAAAACCAAACCCACAAAGATTCTACTTCTACTATATACTTTGACACAGAGTGATTCCATTCACAATATAAACCCAAATCTTAGATTTCAGATCCTCTTCAAATAACAAATGAATTAAGCTCATTTCAAAGAATTCGAAGAATACTTATTATCATTGTAATTGCAAAGTTAAAAGTAAGCTGAGATTGTAAGTTCCGGTTTAATAATTTACAAAAAATTTTGATACAAATATAAATAAATAAAGACACTGACCTGTTCTTCGCTTATCAACTGTTGAAGCCTCTCTTTAAGAACGGGCCCGTGACGACCTCCGCTTTTCGGGTTAATAAAGACAACGATCGGTGCGTGAGGAGCTATATCCGCGGCGGCGCCGCCGGGAAGTAGCAAGTGGTCGGGAATCGCGGTGGAGTCTTTCCGCTTGATGCAATCTCGCATGGCGAGGCGGAGATACTCAGGCATCGCTAGCCTCCGGCGAAGCTCCTCTCTGTCTACACCGACCCACGCTAGGCTAGAGAAACCGCAGCCTCTCATCGTCACCGCATCATCAGTCGTCGCCGACGGTCGCGCCGCCACGAAATTAGTCGTCGACGCCTCGCCGACGGACCTCGGCGTCTCCATTATCTCTATCTCTCTCTCTTTAGTCTCCGGTGATCGAAGAAAGAATGGTGGAGATAATCAAATTCGTCAAAGAAACAGATTAAAAATCAACAAAACTGAAACTGATCGAAGTTTGAAGACTGAGAGTTCTGTTCTCGAGGCAATTGAATAGACTAATTAAATGACAGTTTGCTTTTTGTTTTCTTTCCCTTTTTTAAAAAAAGATTACTTTTCGAAGACAGAGCAAATCGGTTTGTACGACTACGTGCATATAAATATGTGTAGATTTTCTCGAAAAGTTTAGTTATGACTTTTCTGCAATTTATCTGGAAAATGGACACTACGAATTTACAGAACTGCCACTTCTTTCTAATAAGTCTCCTTGGTTTTTGGTTTTCCTGTGATCATTTCTTGAGTGTACCGTGGATTACAAGTTTGAATTTTGGATGATGAAACAGTTTGAAGATCTTTAATAAGTGGAAACTGTGGAATAATGATCAAAAGTGAACTACTAACAATATTTAGGACCAGTTTTTGCAAAAACAAAGGTGGTAATACAAATCTTAAAATATTCATTTCTACAATTTTCATTGTCCCGTAAATAGTATTTTCAGTTTTTTAACTATAAGTATTTTTTATCGTATGAGAACAAGTTAAAGAGTTTTACACGTTTACCCTGGTTACCTCTATAATAGCTTTTGAACGGCATCTGATTTGTATGCATAATTTAAAAAATTGTTATGTTTATAAAAAAGACTAATAAATGCTACTTCTAAAGTTAAGATGGCAAAAGGGCAAAAGGGACATTTAATAAGCTGTGAGCTGGGCCAGTCAGAATGACATATGGGCATACATTTATGATTATTGGTGAGTTAGATCGTGAAGCTGTCCATTATTCATTTTCTCTTTTCTGGTTAGGAGATACATGCAGATATTTATTGCATCTTATATATAACCGGTGAGTAGTTGCATAACCAAATTTTTTTTTTTTTGACATTTAGAATGGATCATCTTGTCTAGTAAATTAAATTATTTGGTCCAGTTTACGTGTAGATTAGTCCGTTAAGTTCGATACAACGAGCATGCACGTGATGCCATGGCCTTTTCTTTGGAACAAAAGGGACCAAAGAAAAGTTGAAATCATTTGATCTTCATATGTATAAAAAATGGGCCCATTTGTTGACCCCGTTAATTCTTAGCCCAACAAAGTTGACCAAATCTATGAAAGCTAAATAACACTAAACGTACAAAATAGCTTCAGTTCTGCATATATTTTTAAAGAGGATGTGTTAATGTTATAACGTACGAAGCTTATCGTCTGGTATTTGAATACCGAGGAGATACAGTAATTGTTTAACTATTTTTCTAAGCAATTCAAAATTTGCTAATACATTGCAATGGACCCTACTCAAGCGAATAGGAGGCTTGTCGTTTTAAAAATATATTATAATCATAGAAAATGTTTATAAGAATTAAAGTGATGAAAACACATAATAATTTCCTCTATAATTATTGATTCTCTTTTTCAATTAATTATAAGGAACTTTCTCAGTTCAAAAATATTATAGGGAAACCTGATCACGTATGGTTGTGGGCCTTGTGGCGTTTTAAATTTCAATACAGCAAACGTAATTTGGATGCACGCGGATTTTTGGATCCATATAATAATTATCTTAACTTTTCTAAAGCCCATAATAGTATACCATAGTAGAAATATGGGTATGGTTTTAGATCACTAGTGATAAGTCCCTAAACTTCCACAAATGCTCTAAACATTATCATCATTTAGTTCCTACCTTGTAAAGAACTCAATTAGTTAATTAACTATATAAGAACAATGATGTAAAGGCGTTAAATTCGGAAAAATCGAAACGATTTGATCCAAGTATAAAGGTGTTATATTGTTAAAATATATATAAACTTGAAACCAAATGTAAAGTTTAAACCGAAGAGAATTAAGATTGTACATCAAATACATATCAAAATCACTTCATATTGCTTATAAATTTCCTAAATTAAACTTAAACTGTTCTAAACTTCAATGATGATGATGATGATGATGATGATGGTGCAATTAATTATATAGTATTAGTTTTATGTCTTGGACCAACATAATTATTTCAATATTTTGATAAATCAATATGCTTATTCAAATCATTATTGTTATTGGTTAGGCATCATTTTCCCATCATAAATAATATTTGGTAGCTTTCAAATTAATCACACACTGGATCTTTAACGAAAAATATACAGAAAGTGTAGATTAGCATAAAGAGTGTTATAACTGGTTAGGGAAAAGAAAGAAAAGCATATACAAATGGAAATGGAAATTGGAAGACTACCAAAATGTTGTGGACCGTCATCGTAAGAGGGAAAGATGGACATGTGCATATTCACATTTTCTTAACGTCAAAGTCTCGAAACCGCGTCAAGAACACGATTTTGCGAGTCGAAGAAAAAAACAAGAATAACAGAATTTGCAAGTCAACATGTTTCCGACTCGTTATTTTTAATGGAATCAACAAAATTCCAAATATTAAAGGCTCGAGACTTCTAATTCTTGTGGTTTGATTAAATCAGTTGGGGTTGGGATACCGTGTTTGTAAGTGTCAGGAATAAAGTCGTGAACTCATATGAAACTGATATTCCATTATGCATGGATGCATATATACCTGATACATCCAATTGAATATGTTGTTGGAATATATATGTAATCCCATTAAAAATATATATATATATATATGTAATCCCAACGATTAGTCTAAATATCATCCAAAAAAAATTGATCATAAAAATTGCGTAAAATAATATAATGTAATTAAGGATGTTTTGAAACAGAAGTATTGCATCATGTGACACTTGCATCACTCTAAGTACACCTAAGAATTTGTATTTATATAAGAAAGAAAGTGAGCCATCAATGTGATTCGGCCCTACCAATAATGAACTTAATGGGTTTAGTTGAGATTTAAAAATACAGTTAATTTATAGCTTAATGAGCGGTTAGTTTTTTGTTAAAAAAAAATCTTTCATTACAAATTTTGATTTGGCTCTGATCATTGTAGCATCAAATATTTTTCTACAGAGAGGCCTTTTTGATTTATATAATATGAGAGATCATCATTGTATAATTAACTTCAACATATTTTTATTTTTAGGTCATTTGCAGAATGAGTTCAGTCTGATTAATTAACGGCTCAAATATGCTGTTTTTCTATCTTGAATACGGCGTTTCCTCTACTATGATTTTGAATGGTGATAGTCAACCCAAAACGAAAAAAGAAGAAGATGAATTTGATTAAGAGAATAAACGCCATGAAAGTTATGGAGCAAAGGTTAAATACACTAAAATTTGACTACTTTTTTAGTAGTTCGAATGACTGAAATTCCTATTTCTTATATAAATTTTTTGATTAATGAAACAACTAATTAATTTTTGTTTATCACTTATATAGTGAAAAACCATAACATTACACCTCGAATTAGCTGCATGGATATGACCGCACATAGTCAATCTTTTAGTGATCAATTTTAAATATGGTTCAACTCAGAAGACAGATTAGGAATCGCTCTCATTAGTCATTAGCGTTGGCAATCCCTCACTTATAGATTTACATTTATGTATTTTCATACTTTTATGAACAAATATGTTTTGTCGGAAAAATGTAAGGTTTTTTTTGCCACCATATTGGAAGAACAATGGGGTTTGGAACAGTGATGGTTTTTCTTCTTTTAACTATGTAAACGTGGGGACTCTCTTTATCTTTGTTAGGTGTTCCGTGTTCCTCTGCACTCTCCAAAATGTAGAAAATGGCTGAACAAAAAAAAAGATTCGGTGAAATACATGTTTCCATGGTCGATAAATCTTCTTGAAATTTCAAACTATGACTTGCATGAAATAATAACTTACAAGCTCAATCGGATATATCCTAGAAATAAAAGGTAGGGTTTGATGAATAAATAAAATGACTAAAAAAATATTATCAAATTATGACAGACATACTAAGAAATTTATATCACTAATTGTTATTAGTTCAACTAAATTTGATAATAGGTATTGGTCCATAATTTTTTTATTTATAACCCATAGGTACTATATACACCAAAATCCAAATACAGTTGAACCCATTGAAGGTCATCTGGCTGATTCAATTGGCAGACCGTACGTAGAACATTGAAATTGTGTTACATGTATGATTCTGATATTTAACAGTCATATAAAAAAAAAGTAATTACACATTGCGTGACACAAAAACGATATCTCAAATTTTCTTTAAATACGCGATTTGTTGAATAATTTTGTAATGCTGTTCGACATTCTAATCTTATATACTTACGTAGGTGTATCTATAAATATAGTAATAAGTAGCCTTTGATGAAGGCTTTTTCATCTGTCCATGATCATATATGCCTTACGAAAAAAGAAATCACATAATAAAAAAAATTGTTGCTCCTTTAAAATTGAAAAGTAGATCTTTTTAGGGGAGTCCCTAACGCGTTAAGGAGAATTCAACTTTATCATGATGAATGCATTGATTGCATAAGTAGTCGGCATCATCTTATATTGGCCTAAAATTTGATGGTAAACAAAAAATAAAAAAATGTAAATTACTTGAGTAAATTTAGACAGACAATAAAACCGGATTATTCGATAAATTTAACCAAAGTAATAAAAAACAATGTTATGTACTATATTTTTTGGTTGGACCAAAAAAAATGTACTATATTTTTTTGCTAACTGATTTTTAAAACAGTGTTATATTGACTTATTATAAATTATAAACTAGTATGTTGTCATACGTTACAAAAAACTTGTGTAGCAAAAGTTTGTAAAAGTTTACAAAATGACGATTACTTTTTGACATGGAAAAAATATAAGAAAGTTTGTTAAAAAAAAATATAAGAAAGTTTGTTAAAAAAAAATATAAGAAAATGAATAAGTCATGCGAATTACACCATATTCCAAATTTTCGTTTGTCCACTTTTTCTATTCAATTCTCAGAGGGCAAAATGGTAATTGAATTAGAAACAGTAGGTCGACAAGAGTTGTACGTGAAGTTGTAATAAATGCAGAAAGCTGAAACTCTTTAACTTCTTTTCAAACTTGCACTTTTTTTGTTTATCGGTCTTTGCAATAAAACTATTCTCTTGTTTGCGTCAGCTTTTTTTCCTGCTCTCTCGCTACACGACAATTTCCGTTTTACTGGAGACCATTATTTTGGACCCGAGAACCCAAAGACCCGATTGTAGACATCTACAGATAATTCGGTTTGCAATCTAAACCGGGAATATTAGGAGATATAAAGATAGTTCAAATCTTTATCACTGTGAATATATAGTCCAATAGTCCAATATGTAAAAAAATTAAGTTCCATTCAGTCTCGATTTTAACCAAATATTTGAAATCTGAAATAACATTGATTTCACATGTTATTATCTTTTTATTGCGATTTGCAGTTCTTCTGGAGAAAGAAGTCGTGTCACCTCTTTCTAACTGTGAATATATAGTCCAATATGTAAAAAAATTAAGTTCCATTTAGTCTCGATTTTAACCAAATATATTAATCTGAAATAACATTGAGAAATTTGAACTTTGATTTTGTTCGTATAAAATCATTTAGCAATTAGCACATTATATCTCGTAAACAAAATTTAATATATTACGACTAAGATCATGTATATGCAATAAATAACTCCATCAATGTTTTGCAGTTCTAGTGTATATAGTTTTGACTTATAAAAATAACAATCTATTTGAATACACCTAAGACTCTATTTTAGGAGCGTATATGATCTTTGGGTGGGGTCGTGGTCGCGGATATAGCCACGATGTTATAAGAATCGGTATTAAACAACTCCGGTCAGTAATTTCGAATTCACTAATATTATAGATAATATTTACTATAGAATGTAGCATCTTAAGTATGTATGGCATGCGTAGTTTTTTTGGGTCAAACATGTCTCTGCCTAATCAACTTTTCGTTTTTGCCAACATGCATGGGAGTATTATTTAGTTCCTAATCATATAATATTCGCAATACAAAGTAGTTAAATGAAATATTCGAAAGAGGGTGTGGATTTGGACAAGAAAAGAGTATAACAGAAAAAAGTTTGGTGTAAAAAGGCTGCAAAGGAGTTGTTGGTTCAAAAGTGAGTGAACTCGATAAACGCGTAACCCTAAAGGCAAAGCGTGCGTTACTCTTACCCTAATTAATTTATCTTTTTCTATCTATAAAAAAAATAATAGTGCGAGAGGACCAAAATTATTACAGCATTCTTAAAGCTATTTTATTTACATTTACGACGAATCAAATAGATCATCATGACTCTAGTAAATCGCATGAAAGTAGTTTGATTCGAGTACTTGAAGTTGAACCCTCATTGTTTTAGAGTTGTCAACAACTATATTTGCTCATTGATGAATATCTCATGACTCATATCATGGTAAAACTTTTGAATGGAACATGAATATATATGTAATTAAATTTCTTTGTGTCTGTACTCTGTAGTCAGTAGAATTATTGGTTCTCATTTCTGAATATTGAATCTTACGTAGACATATAACAATGATGAGAGGTAACAAATGAAACAAAGACAATTAGTTTGGTGTAGAAGTAAGAGTCTTTTTGCACAAAAGAAGATTGTGTATTAAATGGTCTCTGAATTTATTGGGTCGGCTCGCACATTGGCACATGTGATGACCTTACCGTTTTTGTCTCTGCATTTAATATTCTTTATCCAAATAATGAGAAAAGTGAATTAATATTTGTTGAGTTGGTAACAAAAATCGACGTTACAATCTTTGTATTTTCTTTCCTTGTTCCAAAAGGATGTCAAGCTGTCGTCCAGCATTTGGTTATTGTGATTTGGTTTATTCGAGTTTATCTTAAATTGGATTAGGGGCTATCTTGATTTTATTAGTTTGGTTATATTTTAAGCTGTGGATGTTTTTAAGTTATGATTAATTGAAGACCTTTGGACCGAAACTGAACATCTCTCTATGAAAAATGCAATAGCCCTCACAAAACCTAGATGATACCATTAATCCAAAACTTACTTGGTGAAATTATAACAACTTATGTGACGTTCACGTTCTTTCATATATTTTCACATTCTACTGATATAAATTTATAGTATGTTCTTTTCAAAACGATTGTGACACTTGGATTATATTTCATTCCGTAATCTAAAAGCAAGACTGGCACATATTGTACATTAATAACAGAAGCTATAATAGTTGAGGCAATAATTGACTAAAAACTTGTAGTCTCTCAGTTCTTTTCTTTTTCTAATTAATTTATAATATATTGATTGTAGTATAAAGGACATTATGATGATCTTCATGTAAAAAATATCGACTCGTAAAATGTATGTGTTGTATCTTTTCATTCTTTTGCCTCAAAATTAAGTTATATGTTGGCTGCTTTTCGTCGTTCGTTGTAAAAGTTTCAATTGTGTTTCATTACAAAATATAAACAAAAATCATTATATAAAAAAAAATAGATAAGTAAACGACCACCCTTTTTAAAACTCAGTTAGAATTTTGCAACCGATGGGTTAAAAAGAAGACAGCTTTTTAAATCGGCGGAAGAGAGAAAAAGGCAAATACGAAAAGGTGAAAGCTTTTTGGGGCGATTCCTTTTGCAGGGATTGCGTGTGAAAAACAGATATTTCGTTTTAAAAGGTAAAAAACCCAAAAAAAGATAAAAAAGGAATAAAAAAGAAAAAGTTTTCTTTTCACTCACACGTTATTTAATGGCGCGTGATTTACACTACTCTTCCCGATCAGCACTCAGCTTATGATCACGAACCACAAAAGCACTCAAGCGATGTCGTACACGCGCTACTTTTAAACGCGTGAAACTATTTTGTCTCATTTCTCTGACTAGATTCAACTTTTTATTTCGTCATCAAAAAACTTTATTAGTTGTACCTTTTTTTTTTTTCCCACACTCATCTGAAAGTTGTAATTAATATTTTGACAAACGTTTTTCATTAGTAACATCAAGTATCTCATTCAATTCTAATATTTTCCATGAAAGTAAATTCTCAACCGTATAGCAAAAAACTACAAGAATCAAATTTTGTTCTATTATAACTATGATTCTTTATAACCGTCGAATCTGTGAATTATAATAATGATTTTACACTACACCACAAATAAGATTTATGTTCATTAACTTTGGAAAAATGACACTGAAAACGAAGCGTTGTACTTTTTATACCTATTGAGGTACTAGTAACTAGCACCTAATTTCAGTTATTTTTTTTTTCTGTCTAAACAAAATGTTAATCTTAAAAATTACGAATATTAGTGGGATATGTATGGTCCAAAAAGGAAGAACCTAAGCAATTTTCAAACCAAGTTAATGACTTTGAGGCATTTGTCCCATTATAGCTGCAGACACAAAAAGGGTAGCTACGTAATTCTAATGATGTTATTTAAAATATTTGGCGTCGAATAAATTCAAATAGATAAGACATTGAAAAACTATGAGAAGTTTTTAAGTTTTAAGTTCTTGTGAATCATATGATCCGATCTTTCCTTTTCTTCACCAATTTCTTCTGTTTTTTCACACGCGCTCAAACACAGACACTGCAAATCCAGAGTAACTCAAGAAGAGAGAGACATAGAGAGAGAGATTTCAGAAAAGCTTCCTTTTTTACCTTTCTGTTGATCGCTTTTGTTTTTCTGTAAAAAGCCATCTTTTGTGTTGATCCTTTTTTTTTTTTTACCTCTTAAACAACTTTCTCTGCCAAAGTTTTCTGCATTTTTTCCGTGACCCTTTTTCTCTTCTGAAATTTAATATCTTGGCCGGTCCAAAAAGTTTTCTTCTTAATGAGATAACAAAGTCCAGAAAAAATAAACAACAAAGAAGACTTCTTCTTCTTCTTTTTTTTTTTCTGGTTGAGAAATTTTATTTCTTTTGAGATGAGAGCAGATTTAATTACAATACAGCAAACGCTGACGCCGGAAGCAGCGACTGTTCTCAACCAGTCGATTGCGGAGGCGACACGTCGCAATCATGGCCACACGACGCCGCTCCACGTGGCGGCCACTCTCTTATCTTCTTCCTCTGGTTTTCTCCGACAAGCTTGCATCAAATCCCACCCAAACTCCTCTCACCCACTCCAGTGTCGAGCTCTCGAGCTCTGTTTCAGCGTCGCTCTCGAACGCCTCCCTACTACCACCACTTCCGTCGCGTCTTCTCCATCGCAAACGCAGGAGCCGCTGCTTTCAAACGCTCTGACCGCAGCTTTAAAACGCGCTCAGGCTCATCAGCGGCGCGGTTGCCCGGAGCAGCAGCAGCAACCGCTTTTAGCCGTGAAAGTCGAGCTCGAGCAGCTTATCATATCCATTCTTGATGACCCGAGTGTGAGTCGTGTCATGCGAGAGGCTAGCTTCTCTAGCCCCGCCGTGAAATCCGCGATCGAACAGTCGCTTTTCGGTAATTCCGCTAGTTCGAGACAATCCGGGTCACCCGGAGTCGTTAACCCGTCTGCAATTGGGTTCGGTTATCGACCTGTACAGGTACCGGTTAACCGGAATCCTTATCTTAATCCCCGGTTACAGCAACACGGCGGCTCGGGTCCGCATAGTGGGGTGATGCAGAGGAATGACGAAGCGAAACGGGTCATCGAGATAATGCTCCGTTCCCGGAAAAGAAACCCGGTTCTTGTCGGCGATTCAGAGCCTCAAATTTTGGCGAAAGAGATTCTCGGAAAGATCGAGAGCGGCGAATTCTCCGACGGACCGCTTCGCAATGTCCAGGTGATCCGTTTAGAGAAGGAATTAGCCTCTTCGACGAGGTTCGGTGAAATATCCGGGTTGGTGGAGACCCGGATCGGGAATTCGGATTTAAACGGCGGCGTTGTTCTCGATATCGGCGATTTGAAATGGTTAGCGGAACATCCGGCAACGAACGGCGGAGGCGGAGGAGCTGTGGCGGAGATGAGGAAGCTTCTGGAGAGATACAAAGGAAGGTTATGCTTCATTGGTACGGCCACTTGTGAGACTTATCTACGATGTCAAGTTTATTACCCTTCAATGGAGAACGATTGCGATCTTCAGGCTATTCCGATCGCCGCGAAATCTCCACTTCCGACGATCTTCCCCAGGTGGGTCTTTTAATTTAATTGAATTTGTTCTGGTTAATACTTCTTGGATCAAATTTTCAAATTGTTAATTATTTTGCTTTGCTTAGGCTCGGGAGCAACATCAACAACAACAGCAACGCTATGTTATTAAGCAGCAGCAACATTTCAATGGAATCGATATCTCCGATGAAAAGCTTTCAGATTCCGACGGGAAGAATGAGCTGTTGCTCTCGGTGTCTGCAGAGCTACGAAAACGACGTCGCTAGCTTGGAAAAGTCCTTAACCGGAAATAACCGGTCTGTCTTGCCACAGTGGCTGCAGAACGCTAAGGCTGACAACGACGGTGACAAGAAACTTGTAAGTTTTATTTTCTATTGCTTCCAATATATTATTAAGAAACAGGAATGTGAGAATTGAATCTTGATTTTTTTTTTTCTCCCGTAGACAAAAGATCAACAGATTGTGGAACTACAGAAGAAATGGAACGACTTGTGTTCGCGTTTACATCCGAATCCGACTGTGTCCGAAAGTGTTGCTCCTTCTTCGTTACCTATGATGAAATCAAATACAAGACCAGACATAATAACTCCACCAGGTAGTCCGGTCGGGACAGATTTGGTTCTTGGACGACCAAACAGAGTTTTATTCTCACCGGAGAACAAGACCAGAGAAACGCGTCTCGAAAAGCTAGGGGAATCGTTCGATATCGATTTATTCAAAAAGCTACTAAAGGGCTTAGCGAAAAGCGTTTGGTGGCAGCACGACGCAGCGTCCTCAATCGCAGCAGCGATTACCGAATGCAAACACGGAAACGGGAAATCAAAGGGCGACATATGGTTGATGTTCACTGGTCCAGACAGAGCCGGAAAGCGCAAAATGGCGTCTGCGTTATCGGATCTTGTCTCCGGAAGCCAACCGATAACCATCAGCCTCGGTTCTGGCTCAAGGACGGACGATGGTCTAAACCTCCGTGGTAAAACGGCCTTGGACAGGTTAGCGGAAACGGTTAGGAGAAATCCGTTCGCGGTTATTGTAATGGAAGACATCGATGAAGCGGATGTATTGCTGCGTAACAACGTGAAGTTAGCGATGGAACGAGGGAGAATCTTGGATTCGTATGGACGCGAGGTTAGTCTAGGGAACGTCATTATCATCCTTACCACAAACTCATCGCTCGGTCCGGAGAAAAACGTTGCTCCTATCGATGAGACGAGACTAGAGAGTCTTGTGAGCAAAGGATGGCAGTTAAGGCTCTCTGTTTGCAGCAGCAGCAGAACGCGAAAACGAAAACCGAATTGGCTTTATAGCGACGATGGCACAACAAAGCAGAGGAAAGAGATCTGTTTCGATTTGAACGAAGCGGCTGAGTTCGATTCATCGAGCGATGTAACGGTCGAGCATGATCAAGAAGATAATAGTAACCTGGTTCACAAGCTAGTGGCTTTAGCAGACGACGCTATAGTCTTTAGACCGGTTGATTTCGGTTCGATCAAGAGCAAGACCGCGGATTTTTTGAAGAAACGTTTCTCTAACGGTGTTGCGGATGGATTAACGGTGGAGATTGAAGAAGATGCTCTGGAGAGAATCGCCGGCGCGATTTGGCTAAGTAAGATAAGCTTAGAAGAATGGATTGAGGAAGCAATGGGTTCGAGCTTGAATAGCGTTAGAGCTCAAGTGTCTTCTTCTGAAGGTTCTGTGATTAGGATTGAGCTTGAAGATGATATGAGTGATAGAATCTCTGGAGGATATCTTCCGAGTAGTATCAGAACGGTGATCGTTTGATTTTTGTTTTTTTTTTACGGTGAGGTGGTAGTTCCGTAATTATGAGAATTGGTGAGGGTACAGATGTAAATATTATTATGTCTCAAAAACCGTCTTTGGCGGGATGGGAAAAGTTCGGTAAAACATTAAACAGTAGAAAAATGGACAACGGTTATATTATCAAAATCAACGGCTGGGAATAATTCACAGGCATTATATTATCTTATAGTATATGAAAGTAGAAAGTAGATACTTCCATAAAAAGAAAAGGAGGAATCTTCTAGCGATATAAAAAATACAATATGAAAACCGATAATGAAATTAATTTAAAAAATAGAGGTTTTATTGGGGACATAGTGGATGTTTTTTTAATATATACATTTGATTATTCTTTCGTATGTTTCTTCTTGGAGTTTTATGGAATATATTATAGTCTCTTAGCAGATGGAATTTTAGAAAAATTATATTATATACATTTTGTATTATTCAGATGACATTTATTTCAGTAGAAAGTTGTACTTTTAAAATATTAGGTGGGTTCGGCTAGTGTGTGGCTTGTCTTTATTTCACCTTTTTAGAATGAAAGCAGCAAATCCAACCACTCTCATGGTCCAAATATTTGTTAAAAAAAGTATTTCCCCGATATCAGATTACAATATTAACTTATTACTCATAAAAAAAGTATTAATACAATATCTTCTTTATTGGAAAATTTAGCTTCTGGTTTTATTCATTCGAAATAAGCTTTGGGCGAAAACAAAGTAGTGATACTACTGATAAATGATGGGAAGAGTGATCATATTTCTTACTTGATATTCAACTCAAATAGCATCGTGCATGAACACACGTTTTTTCTAGTGTTACCTGATTGGATAGTGTATTGACAACAAGATTTATACTCTATAGTTTTCAAAGTATATAGAATTTAAATTAGAACATCTTGACACTTGTGTTGAAATTTCATTGGATTTTAACCCGTCTTTGAGTTTTACTTGGTCAATACGCGATTGATAGATATGTGACTTCAAACAAAGTTGAAAACTACCAAACCGGCTTTGACAAAAACGTGTTCAAAATTCAAAATGTAAAGCGGTCGGTCGGATCACGCGTAGTGATCGGTCCTTTTGTGCTCTTGAGGTCATACTTTGATTTATCATTTATGACCATTGATTCAAAGCCTCAACCAACAAACCGGTCAACCACCAATAATAAATTTAAACCTAACTAACGTATGATAACAATAAACGACTGGGACACTAGACGTCTAATGATCTTAAACTACATGACGCCATTGATTTTAATGTTCAGTTTAAAATGCTAGATCTACTTTAATTAAACCAAGTTATATGTACATCACGCACTAATGATTTCTTACTCTCGTTTTTAGTGTACCAAGATTTTTAACAGCTAATATGAAGGATTAGTCATAATCTATTTCATAGAAGTTGGTTATTATATGCATTGGACATTTATATCTAAAATCTACCACTTAACAACGAACATGCGTGCCAAGTGAGTTCACATGGTTCATGATATTTTTCTAAATTACACAAAAACTTTCTTTTGCTGCAATAGTCATGAATTACTTTTGGCTTTTATAAGTCAAATAACTCCGGTTCCCTGCTAGACACTTGAAGACAAAGCCTTCAAAATTGCTTTTTTTTTCTTCCTTCGCCTTTTTAGATATTGCAATATATTATCATTTTGGAGTGGAAGATAAGGGTGAAGTTTTGTGGTACTTACTTTATAAATAATTAAGACCATATCCAATACCTTTTTTGAGTAATATAATAATACGGATTTGTTTGAAATAAAGCAGGTCTTAACCTAATTATTGACAACAAATAATCAAGGGGATATACTTTAATATTATTTTCAAATAAAAGTATTTTAGCCAAAGAGAAGCACTAGAACAAGGAGAAGACAAACCAAAACATGCCTTTATATCATTCAATTGTTTAGTTATATATCTAGACCTTATGGTGTCTCTATCTTTACAGTGGATTTGCATTATATGTCTCCTCACTTCATAGTTAAATACATCATCGGCGAAAAGTAAGAACGATCAAGGCATTAGAAACTGCAGTAGTTGAAAATTCTTATATATTAAATCAGATTCATGATCATACACCATGCCAATACTTGATCTTGAAGTGACAAAAAGAAACTCATAATAACACCAATGTGGGAGTGTAATTGAATAATCTTCAAGTGGAAAATAAAATAATGCAGCAAATGCTGCAACTTTACTCAAAGACCTGTTTCCTATTAATATAATTTTTTAGTTTTTTTATTTCTTTAATAATTTTAATTATAACCATGAAAAGGACGTGAAGATAATGATTTAATTACGAATATAAGTAGGTATTATATATTATAACTAAAGGGGTCACAGATCTCCACCTTACATGATTGATCAACCTAATGTTGAATTTGAGCTTTTTGGAAAGGGGACATGAACTTAACTTCTGTAGTGAGCAACTACACACTAAGGTACACCTGCTATGGTATTTCTTGACATATGCATGCATGATGCATGTCTATATATATTATACTGTGTAGGTTATCTTTGACAATTCTGTTAAGCTGTAGAATAACTATTTAACTAATATACATTTTTGCCGTTTCAAAATTAATTATAGATGTTTAGGAAGGCCATATCGACATTGTCATTCTTTTTTTGTGTGTGTCCTTATGTGCATAAACTGCATAAGTGCATATGCAGAGGATCCCTAAATATTTCTATACTATTTGGGACTCGAAATTTCTAGAAACTTTATAATTATCGAGTAATATATTTAAAAGACTTGTTAAAATCGTCTGCTCAAAAATCCATGATTACATTGAGCCGGTCTTGTTGCCATTATGAAAAGAAAAGCCCAATATGTATGTAATCCTGTATTAATATAAATTATAATTAACTTGATCCGACATGTTGGTCAGAAAAAAAGATACTTGAACATTCTAACTTTTTCCCAGGGACCAAACTCATCATTTGTGCCATGTCTTAATGTCTATGATTATGTCAATAGACGTTTCTTTATATTTTATGAAGAATTTTGTTTCAGTCGCAATATGCAAAACATGCTACGAAAATAACCTTTTTTCTTACCATGCATTTTTGTTTCTCGACGCTACAAGAACCACGACATAACAATGTGCAACTCTTCTTGAATTCTTGTCGAAAAAAAAAAAAATTGCAACTCTTCTATGCGCAGAAATCCCAAGGCGTCAACTTTGAAATGAAACTGTTAATTATGAAAAGTACATGCAACGTAGTTAATATGATCACTAGTAATCATATACTAAAACACTAATAATGTTGCGTAAAGATTTTTTGATTTACATCTGTTTATGCTAACTAAAACTTTACGTAATTACTTTTTGTATGATCTTCTCGGAGTAGCTTTTTAAGATGTTTTTAGTTTTTAGTTTTTGTGGGATTTCGATTTACTGATGGCCTATCTCGGATGAGTGTACCCCCGTCTCACAAGTTTGTTCTTCTTATATGATACAGAAGATCTATTGGGCCTTTCACAAATGGGCTTTAGACATCCTCCTCCTTCCTTGTTGGATCCATGAATACCGCCTTCCACAAATGGGCTTGATGACTGTGATTTGTACATAATCCACACCTACTACATTCGGAGACATTAGAAACGAGTTCTTGTAAAGTATAAATTTCCAAGCTTAGATTACAAAAGATGTTTTAATGTACAAAGCTGAGTTTCTTCTAACTCACAAGGGACCAAGAAACTCGGTCTATAGTGTACATATCAATAGAATCTCCTGTCGAACTCAACAAAAAAAAGAGTCAGCTTCTTTTCAGTGGTTTGTATAAATGAGTCAATCATCAGGCTCAGCAGAGAAATCAGGCTCTTCGGGTTTCTTAAACCGAGGCAAGTCGACGACATCCTTAACTCTCTGAGCTGCAACACCGCGTCTTGTGTTAGCTGCAAAACGCGAAGCCAAAACCATAACTCCAATGTTCATCTTTGTTTTTGGACTCGACCCAACAACACTCTCTTCTTCTTCTTCTTCTTTTTCTCCTACTTCTACTTCTTCATCTTGCTTTGATTCAAACGCAGTGAGATGACTCTCCATAGCTCTTCTCTTGTACCTGTGCCATGCGGCTTGTATGAAGCAAGCAGCCCAAGTCCTCCAATGGTGAGAGTAGAATCTGAAAGTATGTTGAAGCTTCTTGCTGTGTAGCCTCCTAAACTGGTTCGCAACAAACTTCAAATCCTCAGCCCGGAGAGCGAATGCTTCTACTTCAACCAAAGCCTTAACCGTTCTTGTGGAAGACGGTAAATTCAAGGTTGATTTTGGAAGCAGAGCCCAAGAAAGAAGCTCTTCCCCGCAGAAATCTCCAGGTCTTAGTATAATCGAGTTGAAGAAACCGGATCTTCCTCCGTTTGTTGTGGAACTCTCGAGTCTACCTCTGATGATAAAGAGCATCTCTGTGATCAAGTCTCCTTCACGTACAAGGTAAGTCCCTTCCGTACACAGACAAGAAACCAGACGCTCGCATATCGCATCAAGCAACTGATCATCCATTTGGGAGAAAAATGGGACCTGCATGATTCAGAGGTCACACATTTTACAAAAGTTGGGATATGATCAAAATGCGCAGTTATGAGATATATTCTTGCAACTAGCTAAGACCAAACCAAACTCTGGACTGTAAAGTTAAACCCTTTGTAGGATAAACAAAATCAATAGAAAAACTTACTCTTCGAACAAGGTCTAAACATAGGTGGCGTTGAATATCACGGCGAAGATCAGTGGGTAAACTTTGTAGGAGAATCTCTTCGTCGACTCCTCTCGTTGCGAGCCACTTATACTGCTCGTATCGCCTCACGCGGTTTCTCAAATCTTCAGGAAGTTGGCGATGCCTCATCCACTCCTCCGTGTCTCTCTTCTTTAGTCTCCATTCCTCGAGCCGTACAGTTAAAGATTGCAGATATGTCTACCAAACAAAACAAAAAGGGGAAAACCCACGAAACATAAGAATCAAAAGCAGAGACTTTCACAACTTTTTTTACTGGACTAACTGCAGTCGAATTCTAGCCTTCGAGTGTAAAAGAAGAAACTTTATCTAACTTTGTTAACAGAGGAATCCATACCTGCATATTCCCAATGAGATGCGCAAACAGGACAAGACCAAAGATTGCAATGAGCACAGCAAATGTGGTTTCACCGATGAACGTGGTCGTTGACAAATTCTGTCCGTAAGAGCTGTGATATGATCATAACAGGAAACTTTAATAACTCACAATAATTTGACATCTAAAAGCTGAATCTTTGATGATCCCTGTCATTACCTAAGCTGTTGCAACCCCCACCACAAACAGTAGAAATATCTCTCGTTAAATTCTGAAGACACGACCTTCTTCGTGATTGCGTTCCCGAACATCCCATACTTGAACTCCCCGTTCCGTGCATCGCAGAGTTTGAACACGTTCGTGACATTTGCCCATTTCTGCTGCGTGGAGTCATTAAGCGAATCACAGTCCAAGTAATAGAGATGACAATTAACGTCTCCAGCTTCTTTGTTGCATTTCGATTTCCAGCATGATGTGTACCTATCAAACGAAAGTATATACCACGCCGCACCAAGAACCTGCCCAAAAAAACAAAAAACAGAGCTTAGCTATATATCATTTATATCGAATGAAATGAGAAAATGGTGATCCACATACATGACTAGCTAACATGTACAGCAAGAGGTTATAAGCAGCTCCAGCCCAAGCAGTCTTTGTAACCACACCAGTCGCTTTAACGATCTGAGAGCTTAACGGTATGATCAGGTAGAACCTAGGGATGTACTGTAGGAGCACAATCAAAGCAAGATCATTGTTGCTATGATCAAACCGGTAACTTCTCGTCGCCGGCATAACGAACCAGATAACTATCTGAGGAAGCGGTAACGTCGCGATGAGGTCGATGATGAAGTCGGATTTAAGATACCTCCAAGCAATTGCCTTGGGATCCATCACAAGCTCGCCTCTGCCAAACACTCTGGTGGTCGAGTTCGGGGCGATGAAACCGGTCCTGAACTTGATGAAGATGTGAAGCAAGTAGAAAAGATCCGCGATCGTTCTGAAGAAGGTGACGAGGAGCCTTAAGCGAGTGTCGGTTCTTGCGCAGGGGTAAGCCACGTTCCCTCCGATGGCCGGCACGAAGAAATACAAAGGGTCGATGAAGAGAGCAACCATACACGAGACGATGAAGACCCAGTTCCATTTCAAGACGATCTCGCTTCCTGGATCAAGAATCGTTCTGTACCATGAGACTCTGCAAGATTTTGACTTGTTGCTGCTGTATCTAATTCTATTCCCAGCCAAGAGATTGTCAGGCTTTAGCGCTGATGGTAATGATAGTTTATATGATTTGCTCATTGGATCATTCACTGCCCATATCGATTCTTTGCTTTCTTTCCCATCTGAATAAAACCTGCAAAGATTAGAGATATTTGTCTCTAAGAAACACTATTTGAATCTGCTATATGAAACCCTAATTATAGTTTAATAACACTTTCGAATCTGTAACATGAGCGGAAAAAAATAGGAGCTTGAGGTTTGATTTTAATACAAACTCCACTTGTGTTGTATCAAGACAAGACAGAAGTCTAAAGCAAAGTATAGGTTTTTTTATTCCTGGGCAGACCTAATCAGTAGACTGGAAAATTTCACGACTTTGAGGAGAGCTAATATGACCCGGAAAGCGAATCTAACGGAGAACCCAGAAGAAGATAGAAAAAAAAAGTATAATGAAATGGAAGAAATTGAGAAGAAAGAATACATAAGAAGCTTGTCCTTCCTCAACTCCATAGACGATGAAGCTTAAGCTCGAGAAAAACTTTCTTAGATTTGTGCCGCCTCTGACACTCTCACTCTCTCTCTCTCTCTCTCTCTAAATCTGAGAAAACTGGTTAATTTCTCCTGGGAGAATTGAACGAGGGAATAACTGAGTCACGGGACGAGTCAGAGAGCGTATCTTCTTTGCTTTTTTTTTTTTTTCACCATTAACAAAAAGAAAATCGAGACGGAAGGATTTTTGTTTCTTTTGGAATATTTGGCCCATCGATATAATAAGACAAGAAAGTCAACACATTTGACCACATGACTTAATTAGCTAATCGATGCCATTATTACTACTACTTTACAATTTTCCGTTAATTATGAACTAAGTAACCAATTAAACAATGGTACGATGGTGACTCACTAATGAAATATCCAACTACCAATAAACACCCTCCCTGAAACACTATTACACCACTAGATCCAATTCACTGTAACGAAATTTAGCTTTTTATGTTCGATTACAAAGTTTTAATAGCACTCGAAAAACAAAAATATTTGACATAACTCAGGAGGTGAAGCTGGTGAACTGAAGTCACAAGAAACCAAACTTTACTCGCTTCATCAACAAGGACAAGTCGAAGCAAAGACATTGATGAAGGAAAAAAAGACTAAACAGTGAGCCTCGAGTGAATTACAGTAAACCATTTAGGTAACAGAAGCAACAACAACACAGTGAGTAAAAACAGTGTTAACACTTCAGTTCCCAATCTGTAATTTGACAAGAAAGAGTTCCACAAGTGACACAGTAATCGAATTCGAATGATCCAATCTTAAAACTATGTTGAAGCCTACAGAGAAATCCAGCTAAAAGAGAACCAGTTCATCATTCTCTGTGTGGTCACAAATCAAATGGATAAAGGAACAAACAAGCTTCAATTAAGAGCTGTGTAAAAACACTGTACATGATTATTGATGAAAAGCAACATTGCTAACAAATTACAAATCTACAAAAATAAAGAAAAAAGAAACAACTTTCTTCTCCGATCAAAATTTCACACTCTGCTCATTCGTCATCCTTCCTCCAACCTCAACCCTATCCCTGCAAATTGGGCAAGTCGAGACTTTTATCAACCATAAGTCCACACACTTACGGTGAAACACATGGCCACATCCAGGTAATCTCCGACACCACTGTCCTTGTCTGAATCCGTCGATACAGACCACACAGTCACTTCCGTACTCTGTCGGCGCAGAGAACTTGAATTGGGGAAGGCTCTTCACGCATCTGGGAGATAACCCATCCGAGGATTCGTGACGGCGATGACGGCGGAGGCGACGGCGGTAGTTTCGGTGGAGAAACCAGTAGAGAGCGAAGAAGAAGACAGAGAAGCCAAGAGACATGAGGATGAAAAGCAAAGCGGTTACAGCTACAGGGATCATGATTAGACCTACGAGGATTCTATAAAAAATCTCCGTGGATAGATTCCTCGTGTTAGCCTTCGGTGGCGCCGGAGACAGCGTTGGTACACCGGAGATTGGGTCATCGTGGAGAGTAGGTATCGACATCGGACGGTTGCGGCGGAGATAAAAATCTTCTCTTTTCTTGTTTGTTTCGGGTTTTTTTTTTAATAGCTATATAAAGTAAAGTGAATAGGAAATTGAATGCTGAAGATCGAAAACTATGGATACAAGTACAACTAGGTTGTGTATATATATGAGGGGAATATTCGGACATTTTTACTAGTTCTTGCCCTATGAATTCGTGAGCAAAGTCTCTTTTAATAATACTTCATCTGTTTCACACAAAAAAAATGTTAAGTACATTGTAAACTCGTTTGACAAATAATGTGATACAAAAAAATTTATGTAATCAATCTTAGTTTTGTAAAATATAATTTTGTTGGAGGTAAAAAATACTCGGTAATAATAATTTGTGTCACGTGTCCGGTTCTTGTGAGAGGCATCAGACTTTCTGTGAGATGATTAATAATTTAATATTATAGTTTTTTTTGCATCAAAAAGAAAAACTGGAGGAGAAAAACAAAGGGCGAAACCAGATTTCATTTAAGGATAGAGAAAGGAAAAGAATTAACGTAGCCCATATAAATGTGATGAACTTAAAAATAATAGTAATCTTCGGATCCAATAATAATAATCCTGAGCCTGGTAATGCCGAGTGGGAGAAGGGATAGGGACAAGCCGACAAGGGCAGCTTCCTCGGTAACATCATTTCCCTTACGTCACCATGCCATACTTTGCAACATTTTTAATCTTATCTCCTTGGTTCGTTCCTCTCACATTTTCTTCCGGTTCATTTTTCGATTCCAATCCGGTTCTCTAAACGGTTGAAATTGGTTTTGAATTGTGTCTCTTATGTGGGCTTTCGGCCCTTTATCTTTCGCATTCTAATCCGCTTAAGAGGTTGCAGTTTTTTTTGGATTGCCTATTGAGTCCATCAATTTTGATTCCACTTTATTTTAGGCTCAAAGAGATAAAGTGGATCATAGTCATAGAGCATAATCTATTAAGGAAATACTTGCCAGAGACTTAATAGTCGCACAACACAACTTTGAACAAAAATAAGGATTAATAAACATGGGAATAGTCAGTCAAGATATGCTATTAAAACAAAACAAGACAGTCAAAGAATTCGTAATGGTAAGTCATTACAATGCATGCTTATCATTGTATATATAAATAAATATGCAGCATATCGAATCAATACAATCTTGTATAACTATTTGCTTAGAGAACAAAGAAGAAAAGAAAAAAAAATTAGTATCATGGGTAGAAGTATTTTGGTTTTCTATGTAAGAGCTGTGTAAAAACACTGTACAAAATACACTCGTAAGACTATAATTTACATTTTATTTCTATGTTACTACTTGTATTATGAAGTTATGAACCTAATAAGAAAACATGAAATAACAAACTTTGTACATATACCTTTTGATATCTAACTGACTAACTATATAGCAAAATGTTACAAATTTTTATATAACTGTTTCATTTTGTGATTTGATAGCATCGGCATGTTACGGAGGTGCACAAGAAGGAGTGATGATAGCTGCTGCGAGTGACAAATTATGGGACAATGGACGAGTTTGTGGCAAATATTTCACCGTGAAATGCACCGGAGCTCGTAACCCCGTGCCTCATCCCTGCACCGGAAAATCCGTTACTGTCAAAATCGTTGACCATTGTCCCGGTGGATGCCAATCTACTCTCGATCTCTCCCGTGAAGCTTTTGCTCAAATCGCTAATCCTGTCGCTGGGATCATTAACATTGATTATATTCAACATTGATTGTTATGCTACGTAATAATTTTATCAAACTTTTTATCATCTATATATTTTTTGTTTACTTAACGTCAATGGAGTTTCCAGGAAAAATGATTCACGAATCTAAAAATGTATACTCATATTACATGATTGTGATAGTATTTCACAATAATGAATAAAACTCTCGTGATTCCTAGACAAGGTAAGATTGCATATTTGCACATATATTTATAGATTTTTTTGGTGTAAATGTTAAAATTCATACCATTTTCGATTACATTGTTGTTGCAAGCAACTTATTACAAGACATTAAAGAAAGAAAGAGAGGAATAAGAGAATTTAGCTTAGCGAACCAAGAACCCGAGAATAGAGTTTTAAAAGGGAAGGAGACATATATTTATAGATTGACTCATATGGTTTTAAGAATTGGACAATTACGAGGGATGATGTTATATCAACGAATCTAAAACCATAACAAAAAAATACGCGAGCAGAAGTTTTATCGTAACAGATAAAGCGCACCTGTCATGTTCTGCATAAAAATTATAATACAATTATTAGTCTACCAAAAGAATATGATGTCTCTAAATTTATGGTGAAAAACATAAACAAAAAGTCACCAAATGATGATATGGTAAAGTATTACAATTCGTAGCTATGTGTTGTTTACCAAAATAAGATAGAAATGTGACTTTAAATCGCCTGCAAATGCAAACATTAGTCGGGAGCTTTTTATTTTGAAGAACAAAAACATTATAACGTGGTACACATTATTTTTCGTAATTGTTATTAAACACCAACAAATATTATCATCCATAAAAATTGTGTTTACGTGTGTTTGGAAGAGAACCAATCAACATTTTAAACTATGGTAACAAATAAAATAAGAAAGTAAATCAATCAGAATTCATGATATGGTATGATATTATATATAATGCGTAGATGTGTTCTTTTGACTACAAATTGTAATATAAATTAGATAATTGGTGTTACTGGTTTTATGATTTTAAAATTTATATTTAAATTTTATGTTATAGGTTCATGATTTTAAAATCATGAATTTGATTATAAAGAAAATTTTAGTGGATTCTGAAAGATTTCCAAGTTAAAAAACACAAAGTTTCAAATCCAAGATTAAAACTATGATTTTGTAAAATCAACATGTTAGATGGAAAAATCAATAAATTTTTACAAAGATTAGATGAATTCTTAAATCAATTTAATACATAAACCAATAACACCCTCTTAATAGACACACAACACAATTTGAACAAAAAGAAAGATTAACAAATACAAAAGAAAAGATAGGACCAGTAAGTCAAGAAATGCTATTACAACAAACAGTCAAAAGAAATCGCAATGCTAAGTCACTAGTCATTACAATGCATGTTTATCACTCTATAACATAACACGTATATAAATAGATATGCAGCATATCGAATCAAATCAATCTTATATAACTTTTTGCTTATAGAAAAAAGAAGAAGAAAATCTAGCGGCATGGGTAGAAGTATTTTAGTTTTCTCTGTCGTTGTTGTTTTTCTCTTCTCTGTTGCATATGCAACTCCCGGAATCGCAACTTTCTACACAACTTACACTCGTAAGACTATAATTTACTTTCTACTTCTATGTTTACTACTTGTATTATGACCCAAATAAGAAAACATAAAATAACAAACTTTATACATATACATTTGGATATCTAAACTATATAGCAAAATGTTATACTATATAACAATCACTTATTTCACTTTGTGAATTGATAGCATCGGCATGTTACGGAGGTACACAAGAAGGAGTGATGATAGCTGCTGCGAGTGACACATTGTGGGACAATGGACGAGTTTGTGGCAAATATTTCACCGTGAAATGCACCGGAGCTCGTAACCCCGTGCCTCATCCCTGCACCGGAAAATCCGTTACGGTTAAAGTTGTTGACCATTGTGCCGGTGGCTGTGCTTCTACTCTCGATCTCTCCGGTGAAGCTTTTGCTCAGATCGCTAATCCTGTCGCTGGGATTATTAACATTGAGTATATTGAACATTGATTACTATACTACCTACGTAATAATTCTATCAAACTTTTTATCATCTATATATTGTTGGTTTACTTAACGTCAATGGAGTTTCCAGGAAATAATGATTCACGAATCTAGAAACCCCCAATAAAAAAATGTATACGCGCATATTACAAGATTGTAATAGTATTTCACAATAATGAATAAAACTCTCGTGATTTCTAAACAAAAGAAGATTGTATATTTACATATATTTATAGATTGAATCATATGGTTATAAAAATGGACAAGTACGAGGGATAATGTTATATCAACGAATCTAAAAACCATAAAGCAGAAATGTAATCGTAACAGATAAAGCGCACCGGTCGTTTTCCGCATAAAACTTTATAATACAATTATTATAGTCTACCAAAAGAATATAATATTATGTCTCTAAATTTATGGTAAAAAACAAAAACAAAAACAAAAAGTCACCAAATGATGATATCGTAAGGTATTACAATTCGTAGCTATGTGTTGTTTACCAAAATAAGATAGATATATGTGATATATCTCTAAAGACTTAAACTACGGTAACAAGTAAAATCAGTCACAATCCATGATATGGTAAGATATTAGAATGCGTAGAAGTGTTCTTTGACTAGAAATTGTAATATAAATTTATGGTCCAATCAATAATAATAAACGCATAGAAGATAACGTTGGAGAGAAATATTTTGGTTCCAAGCTGCAATTGTGTGTTCTCTATGCTCTGTAGCTCATGCGATCCGGGGAAACGCAACATTCGGATCATTTGGTAAGTAACATACAATATGATAATAACATTTATTTTACTAAAGATATTCTATAGATCTCAACTTATACATTCCTACTTTTTTTTTTATGCTTTTGCTGCTGATTCTGGCTACTTGATTCACAACTCTCAAGAATCCAAGTCTCTCTTGTCAAGAATGCAAATAGTTGTTGATCTCAAAACGAGATTGTGAGATAACTAAACGATCAAAGTTGAAAACTTATATAAACACACAACTCTGCAGCAAACAAGAAGCTTCCATGATTGCATCAAAATTTTACATGAAGAAAGAAGCTTTTCTATATAATTGACCCATTTCGTTTAATATTTACACACAAAAAGAAGAAGAAGAGAAAAACGGACTTTAATACGGCAATGTATCCTGAAGTTTGTCTAGATCGGATGTTTCTGCCTAAAACATCCGAAAATGCAATTAGAAAGCCGACCTTTCGACACATAAACCAAACTCTTGGTCATCGCCATGATCATTCAACTAGCGTCTTGTCCCGTTCATTCTAAATTTCTCATGACATCCTGCGAGTGAAAAAAAAACCAAACCTTTCAAAACAAAAGCAACTATGAAGTTCTTGGCTTCAAGAACACTTGCTGTAAAGATCAAAAGAGTAACACTTTAAGACTTACGAGTAGGAAGAATGGGAGTTATGTCGATTTTGATTTTAAGAGCGTCGATAATTGAAAGAACTTCTTCGTTTCCAGATGCCATGAAGAGTCTCAGAACCCTCTCGTTCAATTTCCCAGCTTTCAATGTCCTCTTTTCATTACAAAAAAAAAACAGCAAGAGGATCAAATTAGAAACAGCATCAACCTTATGTAACATTGATAATCTCATATCGATTAATGAACAGACATCAATAACATAACTAAGTAACCAACTCTTTTGGAACCCTAAAGCTAAGCAGTGTCAACACAAGACAAAAGCTTTAAGCTTTCACTTATATAACTTCACAGAATCAAAAGGGACAGAAACAGCATCAACCTTATGTAACTTGAACTTTGAATATCTCATACTGATTAATGAACAAGACATCAATAACACAAACAGCTATTCTGGAACCTTAAGCTAAGCAGTATCAACGCAAGACAAAAGCTTTAAGCTTTCACTCACATAACTTCACAGAATCAAAGGGACAGTAACACGAATCTTCTTCATCCAAAAAATTTCACAATTGTGACACTAAATTCGTAAAACCCAGAACCAGAATCACACCAACTAATAAAAAAAAGAGAGGAGGATTCATCATTTATACATCAAAGAGATCAAGGATGATGTGATCAGGTAGGTGCGAGAGATCGTTGATGCGAGAGAGGTTTAAGACGGCGGCGTTGACGGTGAGGGAGAGCAGAGACGGAGGAGGGTTTCTCATTCAATCAGTCGGAGAGTAACGAAATTCGCAAGGCTCTGTCTTTGATTTGATTTGGTGTTGGGTTTTTTTCTTCTTTATCCGCCGCCGAATCTGAAATTTCCACGATCGATGATAATCTATCGGGTCATCGAGAGACGTTTCCAGAGAAGCAAAAGGGCCAAAGGGAGGCAATCGTTCTTCTCTCTTTTTTCCGCGTCTGTCTATAAAACGCAAAACGTATTGTCACCGGCTCGCGGCGTTTGTAGCAACCGCAAAAAAAAAAAAAAAAAAAAAAACATTTCTACAAATTCTCCTTTTCATTTTGCAAAAATATTTTTTAAAATACTGTAACTATAAATGGAATGACGGTAGAAATTTCTAGACTTAGCCTATGTATTAGAATTGTTCATCCTTATTTTAATTGGTTTAAGATATTAATCCTAATTGTTCATCCTCAACAACATAACTTCATCTCACTGTATAGTAGAAATACAAATAGTATATCAGTTCCACATGGATCTGAACAAACAGGGAATTTGCGAAATTGAAAGATTCAGACAAATCTAAGTTTGGTTGGCAGTGAGACTAGCTACCTCATAGTTGGTGTCTCAGCGATGGGCCGGAATTAATATAAAGCGAGCAATTTTGTTTTTATTAAAATGCTTTTGAAATGCACTCTAAAGCCCAATAATCTTGTTTGAAGTGCAATCTAAAGCCCAATAATCTTGTTTGAAGATTAGAAAGTTAATCCAAAATTGTATATATGCTACAATAAAACCGTTTAAATGAGAGGATGAGACTTTTTGGGAGGTTCGACATGGGTGAATATGTACTACATTACATTCGTGTTCGAGTTTTTTTTAACAATAATATAAAGTCTTCGTTTGAATGATGATATTTCAAGTTTTCGGATAGCTTTGCTTAGGAGAGCACTATACTATATGATATTTTACATATTTATTATATAGATGGACAGTTAAGCAAGGGTCTGAAATTTATTGACGAAGCAATAAATGTTATCTGTATAGCACATGCACATGGGGATTCTTTTCCTCTATATATAAGGTCCAATTTCTCATTAAGTATCTCCTAAATGTGTTTTCTGACATTATAATATTGTTTCGTGAGAAAAGGTGTCGATTGGAGAAAATTTCAACAATCGACTAATTTCTTAAATTCAAATTTAGGTGGATTTTATTCAATTTTTTAAACCATGTAATGACAAATTAGTGGTTACAAGATTGAGGGAGATCTAACTTGAAAATTCATCGCCCCATTGATCCCAACCCTAAAGCTGTTTCTCATTATTTCACATTAAAAGCATCATTCAGAAACCCAACGTAACTGATCTGTGTTTTTGTCTACTCTTGTATATGAACTCAGTTTTATTATATTGACCGCTGTTACTAAAAACTAATCTGCAAAACTATGATATAATTTTGCATATACTTTTATAGTAAATGCTGCTAAACAAAACAAGCAGCTGATTTTTGATTTAGAATTTGCTAAGGAAGGATGCTGAGCAACAATTTTTTTTTACAAAAGTGAAGTCAATCCTAACATGTTTGGGTGGATGAATTTAAACGGTTTCTTTTATGTAATTGTTGGTAGTCCTTAGCGTAATAAATCCTGAAATAAGGCGAGAGCCACAACCTAATAATACCTGTTTTAAAACGTCCAAGGTTTGTTCCACATGCTATACTATCTACGATTTTGACAACTAAACATATTTATATGTATACATACAATATTTATATGTTGACTATTAGCCATCCTGTGGCTTGTCTCTATCCATCTTTGAGCTATGAAAGCGGAATGTGTACATTTGAAAGGGGTTTATCGAGTTTCCTTAAAATTTAATTACGTTTATGATAATCTGACATACAATGTAAATAAATACGACATTTCCATGTGGTTGTTATGTTAGCAACTCGATTTTATTGGTCAAACAGAGCAGGTGGTTTTGAAAGAAAATAACACGTAAACCTAAAATCTATATCTTTTTTTTTTGTCAATCATACAGCTAAATTAAATGACTGGATTTGCAACCTAAACCGAGGTATTAATATATTAAAAGTTAATGTATTCAATAAAATAGTATCTCTTCTGGAATGTAACTTTCTTACGTGTTTTCCTCCTTCGAGTTTTTGTTGTTGTCTTCTAAAGTTTCAAGTTATTAAAATATCTTGAAATAGTTAAATAATTAGGTAGAAAATTGTTGGATAAAGAGATATACGTCAAAAGTAAGTGGACTTTGTATAGGTCTACAGCCAAAAACATCGAGCACCCAAATTTCACTCATCAAAAGTGCATAAGACAAGAAGATTCACCTCGAGTCATAAACATGAAAAAGGCATGGAACCTTCTTATAATGCTGATTTCTTGTTTCTCAGCACAGTTCAAAGTTAATCTACTTCCCAAAAACAATGACAATAACGTAGACTTATAGACTTCTCGTAATTGTAACAACCTTTGAGAGTTTCATGTAAAAAAACTAAAATAGGTTTTTGTGTAAAAAGCAATGAAATTATTTTCTTTCAGAAAAACGAAAAAAAAAGTGTTTTCTTCTGGTTTGACTTAAATAAGCTGGGACCCACCAAATCTCGATAAACAGAGTTGCTCTGCTTCTCGCATCCGTGTCCTCCTCCTCTCTTCTTGTCCTATGTTTCCGTTCCCCATCTTTCCATTTCTACAACAACAAATGTTTATGAAACTATTTCACCAACACTAATGTTAAATAAAAATACTGTTGGTTCGTTCCAACTTGAGGACAAAAATTTGATATTTCTTCGTTCAACTACTATAACTTACTTTGTTCCTACTTGAAGTAGCATAATTTATCCGGGCCGCTCGTATTATTTGAACACCATAACACGAAAGCAAATAAATGAATAAAATATAAAAAATACATCTTAAAATGGAAATAATAGTTTGGAATTTGGTTGTCTAGCTCAAAATTAGGAGTCATGTTATACTCATGATACTTTATTTTTATTTTATTAGTATTTGTATAATTTGTGTGATGGGTTGTTATTTTATGTGTGAAAACTAACAAGTTTCTTTTTTGGTAAAAAAAAACTAACAAAATTTTAATAAGCACAAGCAATGATTTTAACAAAAAAAGGACCCAATACATGATTTTTTGAAATTACCCATGAAGTAATTTTCTTTTTCATCTTGTGGAATGTGGATTGTGGTGAAGTAGTGTTCTTTGTCTTGTTGATTTAAATGGGAGAGCATAGGATTTGGTGAGATGAGATCACAATAAATTTATTCACGGAAACCCAATAAATTAATTTGCTTATTTCTCTGATTTGTTTCTTCGTTTAGAGTAGTCTTTGATTGACTTTGCATGTCTTGAGCTTATTCAGATCCAATCCCATTATTTATATACTTTAGTTGCAATTAAATTAGGAGTTATATTATAATTTCGGAAAACCTGCAGATTCAAGAGGCACACCCTTCCTTGGTGTAACTGTTAAATCTTAAATGAAATTTTTTTCTCTTCTGTCATCATCAATGGTCCAACCTGTAATTCTCTTATTCATCACTCTCTCCCTATCTCTTTCCTCTTTCAAACCAAATCTCAGAAAGAAAGAAAAAAAACAGAGCATTTTCTCCCTCTCTCTCTCTCTCTCTCTGAGGGCTTCCATGCCTGAAACCAACAACAAAGCTTGACTCTTTGTAAGCAACCCTCTTCTTAATCTTCTTCTTCTATCAAACCCATGAAATTTTCTCGGCAAAATATGAATTGGGTTATCTCGGAAATCAAAACAACCCAAAACTTTCTCTCTCCTTCGTCACTTCCACGACCACCACCGTTATCTATCCGATCCAACGCAAACTTCGATCTAAACAGCAAAATCAGCCCAAGCATTCTCCTAATAATCATAATCCTCTCAATCATCTTCTTCATCTCCGGTCTCCTTCATCTCCTAGTCAGATTCCTCCTCACACCGTCGAGTAGAGACAGAGACGATTACTTCGACAACGTCACCGCTCTTCAAGGCCAGCTTCAACAGCTTTTCGACCTCCACGATTCCGGAGTCGACCAATCCTTCATCGACACGTTACCAGTTTTCCACTACAAATCCATCATCGGTCTCAAGAATTACCCTTTCGATTGCGCCGTCTGTCTCTGCGAGTTCGAAACAGAGGACAAGCTCAGGCTTTTACCCAAATGCAGCCACGCCTTTCACATGGATTGTATCGACACTTGGCTTCTCTCTCACTCGACTTGTCCCTTGTGCAGATCCAGTCTCCTCTCCGATCTCTCTTCTCACCAAGATCCTCGTTCCTCTTTTCTCCTCGTTCTCGAGTCCGCGAGTGATCATAGCTCGAGAGAGATTGTCGGAGACAGAGACGGTGCAGCTTGTGTGACTGCAAATGATGCTGATGATGTGCAGCCTAACGCTCACTCACGGTCCAATTCTCACCATGGTTTTGTCGGAAACAGTGATCTTGGATCGACCCGTATCGAGTCGGGTCGTGGAGGTCAATACCCAGATGGTGAATTTGGCGGTTCGGTTGAAAAGATTGTTCCTTTTGCAGTTAAGCTAGGGAAATATAGGAATAACGATCTTGGTGAAGGAAGTAACAACATCAGTGATAGCAGCAATTTAGACGAAAGGAGATGTTTTTCAATGGGATCATATGAGTATATAATGGATGAAGAAACAGCTCTTAAGGTTCATGTTTCAACCAAGAAAGTATCAAGCAAGAACCGTCGCTTGCCGGGCCACAGGACCGCTATCTCCGAGTGCGGTTTCGATCCAACGGGGAGACTGAAACTCAATGGGAGCGGATCGATGAGGATCGCTGAAGAAGCAACCGAGAAGAATGTAGTTGAAAGAGAGAGCTTTTCGCTATCGAAAATTTGGCTAAGGGGGAAGAAGGAGAAGCAAAGTAAAGTCCAAGGGAAAGAGGATGGTTCATTGGTTTCGTCGTCTTCGGGAAGAGCATTCTCTTTCGGGTTATCAAACCAACGGAATCCTCTAGAAGAGAAAAACGAAAGCGGCTGCGAGGAAGAGAAGCAGAAGACCGACAATTCGGAATCTTTAGCGACAAAAACGCCATCTTTTGCTAAGAGGACTATGCTTTGGCTTGCAGGGAGACAAAACAAGGTTGTTCATTCTTCTTCTGCATCTAATGTTTAGTTTCTTTATACTTTTTTCGTTTTCAAATTTAGTTTTCTTTTTTAATTGTTCTTTGTGTTAGTCCTCCTCATAAGTGCAAAAACAAATGAATCATTGTAGAAACGTGGTGTGATATAAATATATATCGTTAGACATTAGATTGAGAACATTTTGGTGCGTCATATTTTTTTTTGTTGGGCAAATCCTTTTCAGTTCTTAAATATATGGCCCAAACAAATTTATAGTCGATTTAAGCTTCCCATCTAACCAGAAAACGACTCAATTAAATGTAATGAATAATTGTATTATGTGGTGTCCAACTTTTTGGAATGACGACTCTACTTCTAAAAGTACAAGGGTGAGTACCATTCAAATTTACCATAGTTATATTTTGTGGTCAGATTTTTTTTTGTAGTCGGATTTCATATAAATCTCATAATTTGATGTTGTTAGGTCAAACAATCTTGAAGGAGTGTTTTTTGTTTTTGTTTTTTTGTTTGGTCTTTTCATCTCTTCTGAAACATTAGATAAGAAAGTGGGTGTGGTGGTGAGACAGTTGCATTGAATTGAGGCAATTCTTCATACGACAAAAGAGTGACATCTTGATTCTTGTGCGATATGCTATAAGTATATACTACTATAAATGTATGCGTGTATGTATATACGTATGTATGTTATAATGTTGAATGGCTAAAGTTTTGCATTAACGAGCATGGAAGCAGTTGGATTACATGCCCACTAGTCACTTGGTCTTTATTGCGTACATACTAGTTTTATAACGTTAATAACATTGGGTAATGTGCAAATTAATTCAAATCAGTTTTGATAAAGAAAGAAGAAGATTACATTAACCTTAAACCAAAAAAAAAAAAAGAAGAAGATTACAAGTATATGTTAAAAAATTAAACATATATATGGCGTCTCTTTCTAATTTTAGTGAGATGCATGTTTTGTGCAAGTGATTCTTGGTTCTTTCTTTTATTTTTCGAGTGGGTGTAGGTTTCCAAATAGTTTGAGATAACATTTTTCCTAATGTTTGACTAACCATTAATATTATAAGTCGTTAATTATTTACTTCATAAGTATCCTCAAGGCTCAAGGCATTAAAAGGAAAAAACTACTTGTCGTTTTTTGAGTACTGTAAAACGTCGAACGTCAAGCAGTGAAGATAGGCGTAGGGGAAAAGCGCAACTTCGCGTTGTCTCTCTTTTCTTCATCTCTTCAATCGATTGGACTGTATAACAAGAGCCCAACAGTTTGACAAAACACATAAGAGTCTAGTTAACGACTAACTGGGCTGGGCCTACAAAAATGTCCACTTTTGTTACAATCAAACATAAAAAATATTGCGCAAATACGAAATTTGAACCAAGCAAAACTGAAATTGTAGATCTAATTGAGACTCATATTCATATGTATCCATGCACACACAAATGTAACTGAGAATCATATTCATATGCATCTATGCACACGCACACAAATGGATAAATAGGTTATAGATACAATCAGAGGGGGGCATGAATCGCATGAGAGACAACATCAATAAGAAAATGTATTAATTTGGCCAGTTAAAAAAATAAAAAAACTAAAGCGAGCATGAGGAATAAGGGAATATGTATGTTCTCACTTTCTCGTTGTCATTAAGCGTCTTCTTCCTTATTAGATGCTGATTGATGGAACGTGAAGTATATATGTAAAAGCCAAAAAGAGATTGGTTGTACACAGGTTGAAATTGAAACTATTTTTTGTCTGGCGCTACTATATCCTTTCAATTAAAAGAGTCAAATATATCCCTTCAAAACAACTCAAATAAGGACAACTCAAATGAGCTAATATCATTATCTCATAGTACAAGTCAAAATCTGATTACATGTGTTACACTCTCCAAATATGTTCGATGAGATGTTTGTATGTTATTAACTAATAAAACTGTATCAGATATTATTATATTACGTATCTTATATTGTAATGTATTTCCCACAGATTCGATGTTCTTTTTCAATTTCTTTTTCAGTATATAAATGTCCTTTTTCTTCTTTGAAAAAGAAAAAAAACATGCCAAGAAAAGCAATCAAGGCATAAAAATATATTACCCTAAATTCATACAGTTGTAAATTAAATGCAAGCAAACGACAATCATAAGTTCATAACTACACAACACAAAAGAAAACAAAAACAAAATCATGCTAGCAAAATGTTTCAATCAAAATCACCATTAAGGAATAGAAACTTTCTATAATTGCTTGTATAATATTTTTTTTTATGTACAATACGGCGAGTACTATAAAATTCTCTCCATCTTCATAAGACAATTGCAATGTCCGATCGAGATCATTTCACAAATATATAATCTATCCGCAAACAAAAAAAAGAAGAAAAACAAAAAAAATCATTTACCGTTCAATTTCGGCCTCGGCAGCATCAACAATACTCCTCATAACATTCACTTGCGTCTGAAGTGAGACAATGTAGTCTAAGGTTTCTTGTAACAATAAGACGTCATTGCTCATAAACTCTCCGCCGGGGACAACGCTTCTTAACCCTTGAGTCCGCTTTTTGACGATCCTCTTTGCTTTTGCTGCGGCCTCTTCGCTCGCTGATCTCGATTTCCTCCTTGAGATCTTCTTGCTTCGCCTCACGATCTTTCTATGACACACAACCTTTTTCGTCAACTTCTTGTTGATTAACGTTTCCGCTTTGATGCCGGAGAGCACCTGACGTACGAGGAAATTGTCCTCGGTGGCGGATTTCTGGATTAGGGCTCGACTCCAGCAAGTTGTTCCTTTTCTTAGAGACGCCATTGCAACGTCGGCGGAGAGCTTTATGGCTTTCTTTCTCTCGGAGACGTTTGTGTTATCTATCGAAGGACGGACTATCTCAAGGCCCATTTGCCATTTCTTTAGGAATTCTTCCTTCATTGAGCTCGTAGGTTGCATCCTAAATCATAATCAAGGAGAAATACTCAATTATATGAATAATTCTCTTCAAATTCTAAGAAAGTAGTTATCCACGATGCCTTTAAATTTCTGTGCACCAAAGGGATGTAATATACATCAAATCATAGCTAAACTGGTCTATATTTCCGCCTAGGGTTCCTTATAATAACCAAAAGAGACATAAACAATTACCTTTTTTTTATAGAATTTTTCTTCTTCTTTTGCAGAGTGTCAACGATTGCTTAGAGGAAATCTGCGGTCACCTCACGAATTACTGAAATTCGCGAGAGAGATAGAGAGAGACAGAGAGGTAAGGGAGAGAGAAAGGAGAAGGAGATGGTCCATTTTATTTGTTTCAAAAGGAGAGGGAAAATGGTGGGGGCAATAGGAGATAGGAGAAGCACATGCATGCACATGCTATGTATGGCCCACGTACCCTTTTGTATTACCCTATAATTTAGGAAACTTTTGTCGATTATTATCTGTTTCCGCCGAAAAATTTGTGATGAATACGTTTATGATGTTTTTTTTTTTAACATTTTCTAATTATGAGGATCATATGTGTATAAAACATTTTATGTGTAACTTCGTTTCGGGATAATCGGGATTTGTTTTCTTTTTACAATGTGTGACCGTGTGGCTTTCTCACATTGTATTCATGTGTGTGTGTGTGTTCACATCTTTGATTTAAGTATTTTAACATGTGAGTAATTTATGTCTGACAAGCTTTATCAATCAGCGCAATCACGACAGCTCCAAGCAAATAAAGGCCTATATATAGGCAGGCGAAATAATATCATGCTGCTAAGCTTTAGTGAAAGCGTCATTACTTAGCTAGAACACAATAATTGAAAAAAAGTTATTCTCAAGTTTGAGATTTAAATGTTAAAGAACGTCAAATGTTATAAGTTGTTTGATTCTCCCATGTTGTAGATTGAGTCCTCCTCCATCAATGTTTATTATAATAAGATATATATATATATATATATTTTATTCCGGTTAAATCGTCTGTTTATAAATAATAAGGTCCGAGCATCACAACCAAGATTATCAAATAAATTGTGCAAATATATAAATGTAACAAAATAAGTAATGAAAAATTGTTACAAAAAGTTATAAAAGCAATAATAATGGACTTTTTCTTCATTAGAATTTATGGCTGAGAATTGGGGGATGGTTCTGGAAGAAGGAAAAAATGGTGTACAAATTAATTATTTTGTGACTAGCTAACTATACCGATCAATACTATTTGTTGAATTGTTGGGACCGATTATAAATCATTAATATGTACATACATAAAATGAAAGTTTTTAAACTTTCTGCTGCCTTGCAGGCTTGTGAATGATTTCTTATTTTCTTCTTCTTAATAGTGATACATTCACTAGTATATAAAAACGCATGTCACACGTTAGCTGTACGATAATTTTTTTTTATCTGCATACAACAATGGTTAGCAACAAAAAAACAAAAAAATTAACATCAATGGTGTTTAGTGGTAAAAACGTGGCGCGATCCGCAAACTTTGGGAAAGCCTGGTTTCGAAAAGAAAAGAGAAAAAGCAATAATAATAATTTCAAGAAGATAAATAATTATCATAGCAACAAAAAAAAAAGAAGATATAATGAAAATTTTATTATTTGGACATTTTAATCCAGAAAACGGAAAATGATATTGATAGGTGTAAAACAACGTTGCACATGAATATTACACATGGACGATAATGATATTGATAGATGTACAAGAATATATAGAATTAAAATTCCGTTCTATAAGTTTTTTTCTAAAATATTACTAAAATTTTAGTATTTTTGACTAACAAAATACATCGAACATGGATCGTCTGGTGCGAGAATTTCTTATCCAATGGACCTCCGTAATTTACGGGAATCTTCACAATCATTCTCCGAACTCTACACGCCCACCATCTCATGTATCTGATTTATTTTATTAGAAATATTGTCCCCCCCAAAATTTAATTTTTTTTTCTGCCTTTAACATTTGTTACACAGAGAAATCCTCAACGACGTCGTTAAGGTGAAAGGGGGCAACGATCTTGCACGCACGCGTCCACCAGAAGCGCATGTGCACACGTGGAGGGACCCTTGTCCATCAGAGAATGTGGGACCCTCTCCGTCTTTTTATTTTGCTCAGTAAAAGAAAGAAAGATTGATTTCAACGACGAGCCCCACTCTCTGTCTCTAAGGAGGACGGCTGTGATATGCTTTTACAGCATTATTAACCTACATAAACCGGGATATTTTTCATTGTGTAAATACATAAACCGGTTAAAATACACAAACCGGGTTATTTTTGTTATTTATATTTATAGACCGGGATGGTGGAGGTTGTTACTTGTTAAAAGTCTGTCTTTGGCTATAAAAAGATGGTCTTCATTTTCGTACTTTGGCGAGGATCCGAATATATTATTTACGATAAACTATTCGAATCATTCAAAATTTGTCTGATATATACTATTTACGATCTTCACTCTACTCTTATCTACTAATATATGAATTAAGTAACTTGAAGTTAAAACGGTAGAACCGACGGAATGGTGAGTGGGTATATTATTTAGCTTCAGTTTCATGACACCTAGCTACTATGAATCTAAGACCGAGACAGCCCAAAAGTTAACTAACTATATTTATAATTGGATAATGCTTTGGGTATAATCAACAAACATAATCTCCTTTTAATGATATGTTTGTCCCCCTTAAATCAAGGGAAGACTAACTAGTGGCTTCTGCCGTACTCTTCCAAGGACAAAAGTAAAAACTCCCCCTCCCTAATTATGTAAATTAGAGATGTTTATCAGAGAAGTTTGAAAACGCTTAATTAAGACTTTACTACAAAGCGAAAAAAATTAAGAAAGAAAAGTTGCCGTACGTCATTGTATATGTGCTACATATATGAATGAATTGGTAAATCGAAAGGTATAAATGTTTACAAATTACAATGGACGTAGTTTACATTTTTTGTTTTTTTGTTCAACACAATGTAAAACATGTTAAAAACTTAGTTTCTAGAGCAGAACGTTACGAAACAAAACAAATTTTCATTTGTGATTTAATTTTGTAATCCTTGTTAACTCTGTTAAGTAACATTGGAGAAGTGTGGCCGGTGTCTCTCTATATACGAAGTTTCTCTCGTTAAGGGAAGCCAACAAAAGGTTGACTTTGGGTCGCTTGTCCGTTTCGTAGTTGGTAAATTCTGTTAAAATATCCCGCGTTGAAATTATAGAGATTCAATACTTGTTCGTACAAAATATATATTTTTACTGATTTGTTAATTGATCTTAAATCGGAAACTCATAATTTACTGACAAGTTAAACTAGGTAAATTACTTGTCTCTGTCTGTTTTATGTCAATTTTTTTTTTTTTTGAAAAGTGTTTTATGTCAATTGGATGATCTTAGTATGTTGAATTGCTATAGTTATTTCCAATATATATTTCTTCTACCCTGCTTCTAACGTAGGTTTTATAGTGGTATTATTAAACAATACGGGTTTTTAGGCTGAAATCTACATAGTTCAAAATCATCTGAGAAAGATTATCTAAGAATGTAATCACAATAATAATTCACCATATGTTTAAAAGTCAACATTATTTATTATATATTGTTTTGAAGCAGACCATATATATAATTTGATATAGGCTTTCATCAGTTTATGGTATAAATCCTGAATTGCGATTGTTAGGGAGTTGTGGCGCCGACGCTTTGGTTTATGTTCCAGGCTTGGGCTATATCGAAGAGAGGCCCCTTTGTTCTCGATAATAAATAATCCTCTCTGTGCAGTCATTGTTACAATCTTGGCTTCTCTGTTCCTCCAAGAAGAGCTTTTCACCGGAAGGTATAAAAAAAAAACAATTTTCCTTAATATAAGATGATTACTACAATCCATAAACATCATCTTCATATTTTTTTGATATTTTATTATAAGCTATTTAGCTTAGTCGGAGTGATTATGTGTGATAATGGGTCTTTACACTGTGCTCTGTGGGTAAAGCTAAAGATGTTATGAATCAAGAATAGAGAGACAATAATCATAACTCAGAAGTATTGATAAAAACCAAAGTCTTGCTTGAATAAGAAGACACCCTTCTTTTTGGTCAACAAGAAGACACCCTAATGTAATATTTTCCTAACGATAAAAAACCAAAGTCTTCCTTAAGGATTTACTCGCTGCACTATCCCAAGACCAAGTCTGGGAAGAACTGACATGTAAAGATGATTAGATCTGTTGTACTAAAACCTCTTTTTGGGTCAGATTTGTACCATAAGATCTAAGGTTTAATTTAACCAGGAAAAAGATATTAAGATTTAAAATGGTGTGCCAGCTAATATATTCATTAGAAAAATGCCATATTATGTAGCTTTCTTGTTTCAAGTAGCCACAAATGATTGTTTAACAAATATTAGTGGTATAAAAACGAAATGAGATATAAGGGTTGAATTTAGCCGCAATCGTATATAAATGCTATGTCTGTGGACCATAGCTATTGTAGGTATTTGAAACCAATCATAAAATACAGGTTTGTACTTTTCATAGTGATGTGAAATGCTTCAAACAGAAAGAAAAAATAAAAAAGGAACTTTAATGATTGCATAACGGGAGGAAAAACTAGTTATTTGTTCCAACTTTTTTACCGTATGCCAGCACCACTTGGTTTTATATGTTCCAACTTCATCTCTGTTATTAAAATAATATCATATAATTCGATGGAATAGTTTCACGAAACATTTTTCTTAAATTTGTATGTTTATAGTTACAAAATATATATCTATACTTCGCAAAGATTACAAAATGTTGATTATTTTGAAAAATTTATATATCGGAGATATATCCATTCAGTAGTTTTACTTTCAATCACACCACGCTTGCGATCAATAAATCACATGCAAATGTCTTTTAGCTACTGCATACGCTCATCATGATTCATACGTAGCCACATTTCTTGCGTTTACACCGATCGGGTCCCCATAGACGGATATATATATACATACACTATACACTAGAGTACTGTGGTTAGATCTTTGTATTAGAAATGACTTTTGACAATAGGCTTTTTAATGGATCTTTGAAATTGAAAACACGAAATATGATTGTAGTACCTTTTTCAAGTACAATTAAAAATTTCTGCACAATTTCGTTTTTATACAAGAATATTAAACACACAAAATAACTGAATCGTTTAACCTTTCAAGGATTATTAATTCACTCCACACAAAAAAAAAAAAAAAAATTTGATTCCAATTTCAAAGAAGATCACATGAAAATTTGAAACCACGATACGACAAAGAAGTACGTGTACGCCAACCGAATCGTTTTGGTAATATTATTATTTTAGCATAGACTGTACTATTGAAATGATTAATAGTTTATAAAACAAGATCGTCATCGCAATATATACTACTACTAGTACACTTGACATAATCATACAAAGAGAACAGAGAGAGAGAGGGAGAGAGAGAGTAAGATTCACGAGGAGATGGGGAAGTTAGAGGAGTACAAGCCAGTAATGGCGATGACTGGGATTCAACTGTGTTACGCAGGAGTGACTCTTTCTGCAAGAGCTACTTTGGTTAATGGGTTAAGCCCTCGCGTTTTTATCTTCTACAGGCAAGCCTTTGCAACCATTTTCATCTTCCCATTTCTCTACTTCTCAAGGTACTTTACTTCACATCTCAATCCCCCTCTCATCTCTCTATATGCACATGAATTTGTTATTAATTAGTTCTTGCTAATTTCTGTGAGGGTCTTTTTCTTTGGATTGTAGGAGAAAATCAAAGATATCTTCTTTGGATCTAAAGAGCTTTTCTTTAATATTCTTGGTCTCGCTTATAGGGTAAGTGTAAACTCATGTATATATAACAAATGTATATCTGATTTTTAATTCTCAACAACTCTAGTTAGATTAAACTTGAACCATCTTACCTTCCTTTTTTTTTTTGTTTTGCAGCATTACAATCAATCAAAACCTGTATCTTGAAGGTCTTTACTTATCTTCATCGTCGATGGGAAGTGCTGTGGGCAACATCATCCCTGCAATAACCTTCATCGTCTCATTTCTCGCGGGGTATACTATATACATTGTATATATATACATATCTCTTTATATGTTACTTTAAAAACATTTATACATATTTCTGATCTTTAGATACGAGAAAGTGAACCTTCGGAATAGGAGAGGCTTAGCAAAGATTCTAGGGACGATCCTCTGTGTAGCCGGAGCGACCTCCATGACTCTGCTTCGTGGACCAAAGATTCTCAACTCAGAATCCGTCTTACCGATCGCTAAATCGTTACTAGGTGATTTGAAAGACCAGAAGATGTGGCTGTTTGGTTGTTTGTTCTTGTTCTCTAGCACTCTTTGCTGGTCCTTTTGGCTTACCCTTCAGGTAACCTTTCATTGTACAAATCATAGAACATAATGTTTTTTTTTTTGGGTAAGGAATCTTGCCTTGGAAGAAAAGCTAACATTTTTCAACAAAACTCTAGGTTCCAATCTCTGCCTATTATCCAGATCACCTCTCTTTATCAGCATGGATGTGTTTATTCGGAACTATACAATGTGCAGTTGTCACTTTCTTCCTTGAGAAAGACCCAAACGCTTGGATTCTCCATTCCTACTCCGAGTTTGTGACATGTCTCTATGCAGTACGCACTCTGTTTTCTGTGTGTGTGTGTGTGTGTTTCTCTTTCTTTAGCAGTCGATTAATCCAAAGATTAGCATAAACCGTAATAGTGAAATGCATTTGTTAGGGAGTTGGGGCGTCAGCACTTTCGTTTACGGTCCAAGCTTGGGCTATATCGAAGAGAGGTCCTGTGTTCTCTGCTTTGTTTAATCCTCTCTGTACAGTCATTGTCACAATCTTGGCTGCTCTGTTCTTTCAAGAAGAGATTTACACTGGAAGGTATTAAAAATATACTTTTTTAGAAATTTATGATAACTACTACAATCCAAAACATGATTTGTTTTTATCTTTTTGCTCTTTTTGGAATAGTTTAATCGGAGGATTAGGAGTGATAATGGGGCTTTACATTGTGCTATGGGGTAAAGCAAAAGATGTCATGATGAATCAAGAACAGAGAGACAATCAAAACAACTCAGAAGTGAAGATTCATATCGAAGATTTGTCAAATACAACAAACCGTAACAAAGATCTCGAGAATCCCCTTCTGACCAAACAGAAATCAACTGAAGAAATCCAAACACAGCAAAACTGATTCATGATTTTTTTTCGTTCTTCTGTTTCTATGTTTGCTCTAATAAACGTAAAAAAAAAATGATTTATTAATGAAAATAAAGTCCGGTACTGAATAAGAAGCATACTCGAACGTGTTCTTGTCCTAACCGGCGAATCCATTAGAACGGGCATAACTGTCTTCTCTCTTGTTGTTCCTGACGGCGCAACATCCCATAGCGTAGACGATAATGAGGATTACAAGGAAGACGATGTCGACAATAGCAACTACTTTCCATGAGGCCTTGAGGTTGTCGATAAAACCGGCCTTGCAGGCTTTGCAATTGTAGCAGAGCTTGTCTTTTTTGTTGTCCCAAGTTTGGCAATCTGGGTTTGTCTGTGTTCCTTCTGTTTTGTTCCAAGTCGTTGGGTTTATGTAGGTGAAGTTGCAGTCATTAGAAGGCTTGCAGCAACCAGACTGTATACAACATACAATCAAGATTCAGTCATAGAATTAGAATCAAGATTCTGATACAAATATTGTAATTACCTCAAGAATATACAAACAATCAAATGACTAAGATTATTAAAGGTTTTAGATTCATAATAGTGAATCAAAAACTTTTGAAAAATGGTATAATGAGAAGTGGATTCATGATGAGACAAAAAAGGGTCAGACTAAAACCCTAAAAAAAAAGGGTTTCAAAATTGAATTAGGGTAAAAGAGTTTCAAAATTGGGGTTACCTCAAGAGAACCGAGATATAGATTGTAGAAATCAGAAGCAGGCTCATGACCAGAGAGAATCTCCAAGGGCTTACAGATCTTGCTCTCGTAAAGACAGCTTCGAATGTTCTTCCAATGCTTAGCGTTGCTCACACGCTTCTGCAGCCAAGCTGAGTAATCCTCGAGCCTATACTCTTTATAAGCCTTTCCAGGGATGGATACGCCTGAGCCTTTACTGGTGACGGCGAAGGCGAAGATGGTGAAGCAGAGGATGAGGAGGATTAAGACGAACATCACGAAGAGGTAGAACCAGAGGAGCCACGTCACTCTGCACCAAGAACCGACGACTCCTGCGATTGCGACAATCATGAGGAAAACGCCGAGAGCGATCATGGGTTTGTCGAAGAATCTCTCGCACTGCGTCGAGCCCTTAACGCTGAGCCAGATTCCGCTGCCGAGAATCGGAATCGAGAGGAGCAAGACGAGGAGGTTGAGTATTCCTACGAGGTTGTTACTGCAACGAGCCATGGTGTGGTGATTGATTGATGAATAAGAATTAGATAGAATCAGATAGATAAACTCACAAATGTGGAGAAAAGGATGCTATGATTTGGTTTCGATGGGAGAAAGGTTTATATAGTGAAAGTGAAGCGCGTAGAGGAAGGTGAAAAGATTTGTAGTGAAATTTCGTTATTTCATTGTATTTAATGTCTCTCTTCTTCTTCTTCTTCTTCCTCAGAGATTTGTTTCAGTTACAAATTCAAATCGGATTACTTATTTTTCTTATTTAATAAAAATGTAACAATGGAAGATCTTACATCGTAAACAGATCGATTTTTTTAATTAAAATATCATTTCATTTACATACTTTTGATTAGCGATTTAAAAAAATATATTAATTTTTGCAAAGTATGCACAAATTAGTAATGTTTTTGCAATCTTTCCTTCCTTTTTTAGATATAATAGAAAAATATGTATTCAATAAAATTTAAAAACTTGTAATTTTACAGAAAAAAAAATTGACGTATACAAAACGTTATTGAAAAGGCAATAAATATATTGTACATAGCAAGCTTAGTTTTTTTCTAAATATAAACTTCAATTTACTATTGTATAGTAAGTTTTTTATAGTATGTGTTATGAAAAACGAGTTTTCTAAATAGTGAATCATTAATATTATATTCAATGATTTTCAAATCATATGAAATAAATATCGATTATATGTTAATAAAACAGAATGGTGTAAGAAAAACTCATATATCAAATAAATAGCGATGTGTATTGTTATATAAGTATGATTTTCTTTTTGGGATGTCCAACGATGAAACCGATATACAAATAGGTTTCAAAAATTTGTTACAAAAAGTTTGAAGAATTCAAACGATTTTGTAAGTGGTACTTATGACAGTACCGTGTTATGTTAATTTTGGCGAGTGAAAGAATCTCAGTCTACGCTAAACTGTTTGTCGTGTGTGTTCCTACCTAAGCTCACTTCCCCATGCTTATTTTCTTCACACATCAAAAATTACCTTTTTTGGTATAACCTCGACATTTCTAGAACAACAACATCATTATTCAGTATATAACTAACGAGAATATGAAAATATTATTATGTACATTTTTTTGACTGAATAGGTAATACATATCGAAGAGTCTTGTACCGTTTTGTACGTAAACAACGTTGACAGCTTACCATAGCCTTTTGTATAAATATATGAAAAAACAAAACAAAAATTGTTGGGAAATATGCAGCGAGATATAGTTTTTTTCCCCATATGTATGAGAAAAAATCTAGCAAAAATGACAACTCCGAAGCACTGCAATGCACGAAACTGAGAAAGTAAAAATATAAGATAACAATTATGCATGATATGCTTTTTCAGTGTACGGAGTCAATACCATGCTGTTTTCATCTAGAATCTACTATAACAAATGTATTTGGCTACAACAATACTTTCACTTTTTCAAGATACTGAAACTCCAAAGAGTCCATTAAATTTTTCACTCATTCTAAACGTTGCAAAAAAAAAAAAAGAAGATAAGAACTCATTAATTAGCATTTTTATTATGATTTTGCTCACCAAATTATAAGATCTCCACCATATAAACCAATCTCAACATCCTTGCCAGATTTCACCTTAATCGAAAGTAAACTTATTTTCCAAATACTCAACCACCACATTTTAAATCGCAGATCACCAACATCCCTATAGTAAAACTCAGATCTATGCCCTTTAGTTAAAAAAAAAACTCAGATCTATGATTAACCAATCTTTAGAATGCAAAACGGTTTTGCCAAAACCCATAGTTAAAAGTCGACGAAAAAAATAAAATAAATAACCTGTCGTTTCTTAATCAGAAAACTACAGAACTCAGAGACCCAACACCCAAGAATAAACCTAACATTAAGTGAAAGCGAGTTTGAGGTTTTCTAACCAAAACGAACCGGCTTCCTCGATAAGAAAAGATCTAACATCCGAGCATAACCGGTTTTTTCCATTTGTTCCCTCTCTACATTATGATCAGAGATTCGAAACCGACAAGCATAACTCATAATATAACACAATGATTATAAATATGTACCAATACTAACACTATAGACGGTACAAAAGTCATTTTTGCTTACAACCATCGATATATTTTTTTGACTTAATTACAAGATACAACTAACATTTGTTAATTTTCACAACTAATAATATATTTTTGGTCACTCTATCACGTTACCACAACATTGATCATTTTAAGTTGTTAGTTCGTAATACAAAAAAAAAAGACTCTCCCGGTGCTGCTTTAACCGCATGTGCAATAACGGTTAAAGTGTAACTAACAAACTAAATCATCCAAAAACAAAGAAATGGTACGAAGTGTCTAAGTTTTCGTCTGGCCGACATCACCAAGGGTCTCTAAATGGTAAGACATTTTTTTTTTTTTTTTTTTTAATCAAAATAGTTTTTTTTGTTTGTTACATCTAATAACTTTATTTATGATCTGTTTTGTCCTTCTAAGTTCTATCAACCAACATTCATAAACTATGCACTTGTGTTTCACCCAATGACCCACAAATTTATCCATATATATGCTAACTCCTTTGCTTGAAGACAGTTTGAGTTTTGTACTTCATAAGTATATAGTATAATATGTTTAAATCTAAAAGACTCCAAAAAAAACTTCAACACCCTTGCTTCTAGTTCCTACTTCCTACATACGAGACGAGGCTCTTGGTTACCTTCAAATTACAAAATGATGAATGGTTTTATAACTTTTTATTGTACTCGTTAGTGTCGGTGGAGAAGATAACGTGGCATGAGAGTCTCTTACTTACAGCTGGACCGTAAGATTACGACTGCAAAATTAAATTCCTCAGCGGATCCAACGGTTACCGTACAGCTTAGGTCTTCACCTTTATAAACAAGTCTCGTGGACCCCACAGACCACTTCAAATCCCCCACTTTCTCTGCTGTCCTAATCTACCAGCTGTCGTCGATATTCCTATCTTTAATTAATTTGTCTTAAATTAATACGAATTATCACGATCCCCTAACTAAACACTTTTGGCAGTAGATCAATTTATTTTAGAAAACAAATTTATTCGCTGTCTTCTCTTTTGGTTTTTGAATGTGTTTAAGGGAAAAGAATATCTGGATTTTATTTTATTAGTATCTTCCCCAAAATAAATAAAATTAAATAACTAGAAAGGGTAAGAAACGAATCATCATCATAGTATTTAAATGTAGGAGGTAAAAAAAAAAATTAATTCGTTTAAAAATAAATGTTCACCGTTAATGTACAAGCTTGGCTTTAGTATTGTATCCGTAATAAGAAAGATACCATCTAACGAACTTCTTCAACCCGGTTTCCAAATCGGTTGTCGGTTTGTACCCGAATTCGTTTCGGGCGGAGCTAATATTAGCGTGCGTGAACGGAACGTCGCCGTTTCCAGGCATCTCCACGAAGTTCCTCTTCGCCTTCACTTTGAGATGCTTCTCCAATATATCCACCAAGATCGGAACCGTCACCGGTGAAGTGTTCCCGAGGTTGAAGATCCGGAACGGCGCGGATCCTCGTTTCTTCCCACCCGACCCGGTACTCTTACCCGACGAGTCGAGAGATCCTAAACACCCTTTGACTATATCGTCAATGAAAGTGAAATCCCGCGCCAAATCGACCCGGTTTTTGCCCCGGTATATCGTGATCGGTTTCCCTTGGAGGATGTTTCTGGTAAAGGAGAAGTAAGCCATGTCCGGTCTACCCCAGGGTCCGTAAACCGTGAAGAATCGTAAACCGGTAATGGCAAGACCGTAAATATGGTTGTAAGTGTGGGTGATTTCCTCGCCTGCTTTCTTCGTCGCTGCGTAGAGACTCGCCGGTTGATCGGTCCGGTCAGATTCGGAGAAAGGAACCTTCTCGTTGAGGCCATAGACGGAGCTCGACGAGGCCCAGACGATCGCCGGCTGAGGATTCGCCGATTTGCAGGTCTCGAGTAGGTTAACGAGCCCGGCGATGTTGCTGTGAACATACGACTGAGGATTCTCCATGGCGTATCTGACTCCGGCTTGAGCGGCGAGGTGCATCACGTGAGTGAAGGCGACGACGTCGAAGAGCTTGGCCAGTAGCTTAGCGTCGTTGAGGTCTCCCTCGACGACGAAGATCCCTCTCGAGGAGAGGAGCGATCTCCTCGCGCGCTTGAGGGAAGGATCGTAGTAGTTGTTGAAGTTGTCGAGTCCAACGACGCCGTCTCCGCGTTTCCTGAGGGCGAGTGACACGTGGCTTCCTACGAAGCCGGTTGCGCCGGTGACGAGCACGGAGATTCCGCCGGAGCGGTGGATCTGAGCGGAGGTTCGGACTTGTTTCTCCCACTGGATACCGCCCCAGGAGGCGGTTAAGTAGCGGCTGCCGGAATCGACGAAGCTCTGGAAACTCAAGTAGGAAGCGGTGAGGGCGATGAGGAAGAGAGCCCAGAGGAACATGGTGCTCGTCGAAGCGAAACATCGGTGGAGCTGACGGTTTGACCGGTCGATTTTGAATTTACCCGGCGTTGACGGAAACAGCTCATCTTCTATAGAAGGCATATTAACTCGATAGATTCGTTTCTTCCCTAAAAAAATCTCCAGAAAATTTATCGAATGAGGATTTGGAAAAACAAAAATATTGGATAAATTTAGAGAACAGAAGAATCAAATGATCAATAAGAAAAAGAAAAAAAAAAAAGACAGATGCAGATTTCTTTGGAATATAATTTTTTTTTTTTTTTTTTGGTATTTTCCAAAGCAATCTGCTAAGGAGAAGAGGAAGAGACGGAGAAGCATATATACAAGTGTAGGGGACAACAAGACGCGTAAATCTGATTGCCAGATTGGCAATCTTTGTTTAAACTTCTAATTATTTGTTTATAGCAAAAGAAGAAAATAACAAAATCCCTGTAATTTTTTATTTTTATTTTTATCAGTTAAATCTACCATAGTCCTTTTTTTTACCAAATTACCGCAATTTGAGGAGGAATTTAAAAACCCTTGGCAATTGACGAGCGTTTTGGGTTTTTTACATACTAAAGTGTGTCGACCAGAAAACTATATTATAATAATGAGATTTGTTTGGATATTTTAGAAGATTATTTAAAATTTGAAGAAGTCATTTGAGATTTATATTTCGATATTAGATCGGCAAAGTCTATAATTTCTTCTTCTTTTCTAATGACAATTATATAGTATTAACTACTCCACGTTGTTATCTCTTGTTTGTATAGTATTAATGGTCAATCATGAACTGTTTAGATTGCTACATACTATAATGTGGATACGTATTTTAGTTAATTCAGTTTCAATGGAAGAAGTTATGTTGTAATCTAGTATCGTTACGGCAGTCGTACTTATGACATCTGGTGTGGTGCGTGATATATGTAGCATCCATGAATCAAGTTTGGTTGCAATACTTATATAGCTAGTCGAGTCATTAGTTTATGATAAGGGTTAAAGTAATTTCGGCAATATGAGTTTTTCTTTTAATCGTCTATCGCTTCACACCCTATAATACAATTTTATAACATCCAGATTTAAAATGTACAATTAGAAAAACATTTAAGTTACAGCACATTACTACTTAATGTGAAAGAGGCTAAAATCTAGTATTAGCTAAAAAATCATCAATTTCACTCATTCAACAATCAACTCATGTTATCTCTCATGTTGTCCCATGTTATCATCTCATATAACTCATTCAACAATTAACTCGTCTTGGTTTAGAGATTTGTCTTAAAAAAAAAAAAAAATCTCTAACCAATATTTTATTCTAAGATTTGAACACAAGAACGTGCGACCGACTTCATACTAACGTTGTTTAACTTCAAAAAAACCATATGATTAGGTCATTTGGGTATGGTTTTATCATATATATATAGAAAAACACTTGTATCAATCGGTGGCAGTTACAGTTTAGTAATGTATCCAATTCGTATACATACAAATTATGATACTCCATACGATGTAAATCGTGTAATATGAAATTATATCCCCTTGAGAAGGAATCAAAGAAAGGTGAATACGTACAATAGGATTAAAATAAAAACAAACTCTTGTGATATATAATAGTGAATGCATTGAGAGTTGAGAGCAATGTCGAATTTCAGATAGCAAAAGAACAGAACAAAAAGTTGTATTGATATGTGTTATTACTTAATTAGCAAAGTAATTTAGTACTATAAGACTAATCAGTACTCTCTAAATGATTTTGCCGACTGGGACTGGCCCGCACACTGGGTCAATTTCAGCAGAAAGAAAGACGTGTGAGTTCATTTATAATTTCTCAATTTACTGATAATTGAAATAGTGTTTTTATTTTTATTTTTTGGTGAAAAAATAAATGTAAATTTTAAAACAGGATAATGTAGAGAGGAGGACGTGCGGACCACAGCATTCACCATTGGCTGTTTTGGGAAAGCGATGAGAGATTGACTGACATCTATAAACTGCGTGCCGTTTCCACGTATCTCTAGCATTACCGCCTCCCCAAGTCACGGTTTCACCATAAAAAAGAAGGTATGGGCCACCTCTTACCGGGAAACCGGAATGATCGGGAGTGACTTTAGTGTTTCCGGTCCTTGTGAATACCGGTTATACCCGGTACATTTGGACGGTGCTTTAGTTATGTACCAGTACTACTACCATTTATTTTTGGCATATTCATTCTTTACTTCTCTGTTCCTATAAACAAAAACATGTACCATCTCTTCTAGTAAAAAAAGGTTAAAATTTGGTCATTATCTCATGCTAATGCGTGACTTAATTGATAGGAATATGTTGACCAAAATAAATTTAATAAGAACACAGGTATTCTTGTTTTTTATTTAAATTGGGCGGTGTGGTTGTATTTGATATATTCGTTCTTCAATTTTTTTGTTACTAATTAGTAATTAACAACAGATTATTTATATCGGAAAACAGGTTCATACCCTTCCTTGATTTAACTCTTTGATATATGGTCAGATTATATTACAAATGCGTGAATACGTTGATAGTAATTTGTTTTTCGGTTTATTCTTTACAAGAAATGTCGTCTCTGGCTATTTCATATTTATTTCTTGATTAAGTTTTTGTTTATTGGGGAAGATTCTTTGTTTATAGACTAAAGATTGTATATGAGCAAGAAAAAATTTGCGAGATCCTGCCTGATATACAATTTTTTTTTTTTTTATGTTTTATATAGGGTCTACCAAGTTTTTAGTACTTAAATATATAGCACAGGTTAACCATTGTTGGAGTCTTTGTCTATAAGCTTCCATGAATAAATTATATACATTTTCATTAGAGTTTTTTTTTTTTTTACTTTTTCTTTCATATGCATTGCTTTATTCATTCATTACCAAAACAAAGATTCTTTAACACTTTAATCATTGGGTTAGGTTTTGCAGAACAAGATGTACCTAAAGTCTGGATATGCCAACATTATACTGAGTTTGATTGCATTCTACGAAAATGAGTTATCTTAATTACAAGCCTTAAAATACTTGTACAGGTAATTTTGTTGGTAATCATTAGATTTCCGGCTTAATTTATTCTTAAAGTGGACGCTTGTATATGGTCATAAAGATTTTTGATTTTTTCCTTTCTAAAATAAGTTACTCTAAAAAAAATCAATTTGTGAGACTCAGTTTTACCTTTTAGCGACGTTTATCGGATTTTAATTGAAATCTAATTTGATATTTTGGTTTAATATTTGTCATTTTAGTATACACGACAACAATTCATCTAGATTTCGTTTAGTATGATTTTAGTTTGTATTACGATTGGTTTATAAATATTCATAATCGACTTATCGACATATGCAGTCGTTTCTATTTTTTTTACTTGGGATTACAACGAAAATGTCAACTTTATTTCGTGAACGTGTCTAGTACGAATACAAACACGGTTATTTCAAAATTTTAAAGTTCACATTATGTATTTTATCGTTAGGTGCACTAACTCGATTAAATATAAAGCTATAATCTTGTAGAAACAAATACACAAAATCCTTCTTTTAATTGGAAAAGAAGTCATTATTTTGTACTAACAAAAATATTGATTTTTTCCCCTAAATGACAGAACATTGAATTTTAATTGAATTTTAAGAGTTAAGCCATTTGACATAGATTGATAAATACCTTTAATAATAATATTCATGAGTATATAATTCTAAAAAAAAAAAAGTTGGAATACAAAACATCTGTTGACACTCCAACAGTTGCCACCAGATTTTGGTATACAGATGACAAATAACTTTTTTCTTTGGACAAACGTTTAAATTATATGGGAAATTAACCGCTAGTCAAGCTCCATAGAAGAGGACAAACAAGAGCACACAGAGACACGACTATACAGACAAGAACCAAATATATCATGTATGAAAAAGAACTTTAACTTTAGATTTCTATAAATTATTCGATAGGCACAAGTCACGTCTGAACTCTGAAGATAGATCTTTGGTGACGAATGACGATACCACGAGAGAGACACGACTATCGACTAGAACCAATATATACAGTAACTTTTGTTTGGTTTCAATGTTAGAAAAGAAAAGGATTTATTTTTTTAGTGTAGTTGATCGTATTAAAAAGTTTTCCTTATTTCTACTGTATACATACGATATTCCAATTCTCACTCTAATTAATTTATTTTTAAGTTATAAAATGTTAAATAGATTTGGACGTTTTTAAACTACTTTTTGTTAGATTTCTAAAATAGAAAATATAAGTTTCATATTTTCGTTGTGTTTCCACATTGAAAATTTTAGAGTCGTGTTTCCGCTGTATTTTATATATATATATATATATTTATAAAAAAAATATAATTTTTGAAGCTTTTGAAGCAGAAAACAAAGCTCTAACAAAATTTTCCATGCAACCTAAAATTTATTAGATATTTTGAAACTATATTGTTTTTTTTAAAGATAATTCTCAAATTCAAATTACCAACTTACGATTGCACATGCACTGGTCCAAATCTAGAGAGATTATACAGCCGACCAAGGAAGTATTCTTTTGGATCAATCGGAAATGATGATTTAGAATTTTGGACTCATAGTGATATGGACACTCTAGGACACACTCAAACTAAACATGCATAACTTATATATGGCGACAACTTATTCATCAAATTTCGTACACACGATACTAATTACAACAAGCCAACAACATACAACACACTTTTAGTTTTTTTTTTTTTTGAAAGAGAAATCACACACTTTTAGTTTCACACTAGTAAGCAGCAAATGAAATTGTACTTTATAATTCAGTTACCAGATCCTGATCCAGCTCTAGATCCAGCAAATGAACCAGCAGATGAACCGGCTTCTGATCCACCCGAACCACGAGAACTCGAACTTGATGACGAGCTAGAGCTAGAGCTAGATGATGATCTGGAACCTGAACCAGAACCTGCGCCTGCACCAGCACCGGAGCCCGACCCGCCGCCAAGACCAATCCCCAATCCAACGCCCAGGCCGATTCCAATCCCACCTAGGTCAAGCCCCAAGTCTTTTCGTGCAACTCGGCTCTCGGTTAACATAACCAAACTTGAAATAACTAATAAACCAAGAAGCACTAGACCTTGGACCTTAGCCATATTTAAGAATTCTTCGTGTGTAAAAATTTGCCGATCGATGTGTTTGAGTTTATATCTTGTAGCTTAATTGGATACGAGGGAGATTAACATGTTCGTGTATTTATAGAAGCTTTGGGATAGAGTGAGCCAGCGGTTACGTGTACATCACTAAAATTTAGTTCAACCACGTTTATAATTTCATTTTATGTTTGGTCATATATATAGTTTACTCATAGAGAACCACTAATTCTAGCTAAACACATTTCTAGTCTAGTTATGTATAATTTATGATTGGCAATATGCAACATGATGAAATTGTATTTCGAGTTGAGACAGTTACAATTTATCTTAATAACAATAAATATTTTTTTAACCCAATTTATTAATTCGCTGAGGTTTTTCAAAATTACTGATGAGGCACAGAAACAAACTTTTTAAGAAAGAAATTGTTTGGAATCGACGGTTTCCATTAATACGCAAATTATGAAATTACAATAGTGATCATTAAAAAATGCATTACAATTAAGATTGTTATCTCACTTAAACGGAACTTTAAGGATAATAGAAATGACTAACTGCAAATATTTTAAATGTTGATGCAGGTTGACGTGTGCATTAATCTTTTGCTGCTGCCAACCCACCAGAGTCGAGGGTCCACTAAGTTGAGTGGAAGAGAGTGGTAGTGGTTTATCCACGCTGAAACTAATCACTCATATTTTTTAATGGTCACTATTCTATATAGTTCCACTATGAAACTATTAGTCAACCTAATACACGTGCTTAAATTCATTCTTCGAGAGAGATCGAAATTATTCGTTCACATGAATGGCCCATAATGTTCACTGTTCACCCCTAAAATAGAAATAATATATATAAGCTATTGAAGTTATTCCGGCTGCCACGTACAAAAGCATATTAGTGAGTGACAGCAATACTTATTGATTGGTTTTAAAATAAATAGATAAATAACCATATTTTCGATTTTGAATCCGTGTTTAATTTTCATAAAACAAGAAATGCAAGAGTAATTATCCTATAGTTCGAGTTACGATAACGATCCCTTTAAAATGCTATTTTCTTAAACTTTTGTCCGACGTCCGAAGTTCAATTTTGTAAATGTAATCAATACAACTTAGTGGTAAATCCATTAATTATAAACAACTTCTAAGTTTTAGGTTTCAGTTTGATCCCAAATTATAAGATTCTGAGTTCATAGAGAATACATATCTAAATTACGAATGGTCCGGATCGGTTTGTTTGTCCTTTTTTAGATACAGTTTTCTAAATTACGAATGGTGCTGATCAATTTTGGAAAAGTAAACCGTTATACTGTACACATAAATGTTGTTATTTTTTTGTTCTTCTTGATAACCGCGGAATTCAAAAATCTTTGGTTCGTATGTCAATTAGTAAAGGGATTTGAATGCAGTTGGTAAAGCTCACTTTTCTGAAGTCCAGAGAGTTCTATGTATGTTGTTATCAACCATATCGAATGTAACACATGACAAAAAACTGAATGCAAATCGAATGCTCCAAACAAACAGATCTGGATTGTTGACGATATATTGTCGTTCTAAATATTGTTTGGTTGATAAACTTTCCATTTCATCGTGTTTGCTATTTGATACACGCGAAAACTGAGAAGAGAAAATAAAGTATAAATGTGCAGGAAGATAAAAAACACTATACATCGCATTTATTTTCTTACTATTATTATAATTGTAAAGTTACAACTTAAATATAGTACACAAGTGAAACATCTACATGCAGCACCAAGAATCCATTAATGGAAGAGTACATAATTAACCAAACAAGTTAGAAGCTTTTTCCATCTCCTTTATACTCACCCACTTTAGGAAATTATTTTTCAAGCAATTTAAAAAAAAAAACCAAAATAGTAATAATAATTACGTAAAATACACAGCACCGATAAGATATTGCATGCATGCGATATTATTCATTCAGTCGTCGCCACCACCGTATCCTCCTCCATATCCACCGCCTTCACCGTACCCTTCTCCGTTACCGGATCCACCTCCTCCACCACGCCCCCCTCCTCCTCCACCTCCTCCACCACGACCCCCTCCTCCTCCACCTCCTCCACCGCGACCTCCTCCTCCTCCACCTCCTCTTCCACGGCCTGACCCGGAACTTCCTCCCGAACCAGACCCGGCACGTGACCCCGCGTATGATCCAGCTTCTGATCCCGCGTCACCTCCACCACCACCGGAGCTCGAAGAACTGCTGGAGCTAGATGAGGAAGAAGAGCTTGACCCTCCTCCTCCTCCGGATCCTGACCCGGCACCAGCTCCAGACCCGGATCCACCTCCACCAATACCTATGCCGATGCCGACGCCAGAACCGATCCCTATCCCACCGAGGTCCAAACCCAAGTCTTTTCTTGCAACGCGGCTCTCGGAGACAAGGCACGACATCGCCAACATGAAAGTGATTAGAACAAGTGATGATAAATTACTCGCAGACATAGTTATTTGTGTTTGGTAATACTTTTTTTTCTCTCTTTTCAATCCAAAGTACTTTGGTAGTGCTCTTGATGAATATGATACAATACGTTGTATGTATTTATAGGCGTTCATGAGCATGTTAATATGGTAGTGAAAATTCTACAAGTCAAAAGTTGTGTCCAGTGTCCACACACCAATTACGATATAGAAGTAAATCATTAATTTAATTGGTTATGAATCATATATTGATAATGATTAAAATATACCAATGACGATAACCTTAATCAGCACGTTATTACCAAGACAACCACTATACTTGGTTATAAGCTAAGTATAACAGAAAAAGAAAACAACTTTTAAAATTAGAGGCATGACCGACCTATGAGGAGTCCACTTACAGAGAGATTGATAGTGGATCAGGCACCGCGTGGTGTTCGTTGCAACGTTGTACATTTTTGCATCCACATATTTATTTTCGTGCAAAATAATCATTACACTATAAGCACTACTTATAATAAATTTCGGAAAATCAATGCTGTATATGGTTCAGTGGTTCATCTTCTATTATGAGCGATTATTTTTGATATTTTTTTAAAAAATTTGTTTGAAATTTTGTAAAATAAGACTGTCTCTGTAAAACAGAAAAGAGGAGAGTAACATTTAGATAAAAAAATGTATTCTCGACCAAGTGGTATAGAGAACAAAGGTCGGGAAAGAGCCGTCCAAAACGCCGTCTTATTGAATTCCCAAAGGAACATCCATAATATTGCATAATGACTTGAACGGTACGCTCTTTAATTTGTCACTTGGTGGCTGCAGTGATGTTCCGATCCGGTCAAAAGAGAGGCATCTCAGCAACGGCTTTACTGCGCCTGCACGTACAAATTTTCACAAATCGTTAAGCGACTTCATATATACATGTGTATATTTATTTGAAGGTTAACTCTAGATTCCCACCAAATTAAGTAATATAACGAGTCATCAGATTGGATCATATCGTGTTTAATTTTAATAAATGATAACATAACATAAATACTTCTTTAACCTTTTAATTTTCAAAGCACGACAAAGAAGAATATACTTTGGAAACATGCCTGATGTTTTAATCTCATATGCTGCAACGTGCAATGCGGTATTGCCTTCACGATCTTTTTTGTTTAGGACTTCATCCTCAGTAGACGCAGCATCGCTTTCTAGTAGAGGCAGTTTGATGGATCTTAGCCCAATACAATTAATTAAAGCCCATATCGAAAACACATTTTGCAAAGAATTGGGAGAACGGAAAATGCGAGCGACACACGTCAACTTTCTGAATTAAAAAAACAAGAAAGAATCTGAACACTTTCGTGTGGTCTTTATCAAATCATGATCTAGATTTACGAACACGTGGCTCTAAGTTAGTTCAGTTCATTAAAGTTGGTGCAGTGTGCGTTACCAATTTTGAGTTTTTCACTAAAGGATCCTTCTTGTTCAGGACGACACGCAGTGTTCATCTATATGGAGAAAGTGCAAGACCTCTGAGACTTTGACACGTGCATCACCCGGCTGACTTTCACCACAACCCTTTTCACTTTTCAAAGTTCCACGTTGGTACGCATATTGGACCCCATGGCTTCTCATTCGTCAATCTTTAGCCACATAAATTTTTTATTTATTTTTAATTTATTTTTTCAGTCTTTTTGTAAACAGAGGTTGACCTATACAATAATACAGAATTAAATGCACATAAGGCGAATAATTTAATCATCACTACGTATTTGTATTGGAAAGAAGAGTTATATGTTTGTTTTCGTTAAAAAAAAAGAGTTAGGATACATATTAGCTAGAACTAACATTTAACCTAATTTTATAACTGATGCAATCACATTGAAACATATACACACATCAATAAAATATCTCCATAATATTTAATACATCTTTTGGATCTTCGTACTACAATCAACGATTATGTAGATATAATACATCGTTCGTTAATCATACAAAGTTATATAAACATTGTAATATATAAATGTCATGGATACAAATAGTTTATAGACGTTGTTGGGTTGTGGTTTGTGAAGTTGTGCTGAAACTTCCCCACGTAAATTCTCTTCTCACCACAATCTCTACCTACTAACTGCTAACTACTTTACGTACAGCGCCCTTTCGCTGTTTTTGCTTTTATTATTTCTCTTACATGTTTATGTTCTTACAATCTTTAAATTCGACTATATTATCGTTTGTTTTTACAAGCCACCTTTGTGTGAGTTTCGCTTATGCGATTACCGACCCGAGTTTTTCCATTAAGCTGGCATTGATCTCAAACCTAAATTTACTATGAATTATGAGAATTAGTAAATTGTCATCACCCCAAATTTAATATTCATTTATTGAAATTATTACGTATATATGTATTTACATTGAGATATATAAATGTGATGCATCATGCACATTTTTATCTTTAATTTCTACTTATTCAAATATAAAAACTTTGTAAAATCTAGTATCTAAGTACAAATAAATGAAATGTTCTAAATTAGCTTGGATATATACGAACTATCTACGAGTTTTAATGTACAGTTTGGCAAATGGCAATAGTGTATAATATAGGTAGATTTTTGATTTAAAATTTTAAAGTTGATGGTCGATCTTGTTGCAAAAATTTATAGCAATTTTAGCCATTTTTATTTAGTTTATTACTTACATCGGATTCTAATTATTTCCCCCAATTTTATATACATATTATATATAATTATGATTTTGATGATAAATATTCTTCAATTGATTTTATTTTCATAAAATCTGAAACCATTTCCTAAAATGTTAGTGTGTATATATATATGTACACTTTATTAACTAATTTTCGACTTACATACATTTGAAATTTATAATAATCATAATCATTTAAACCAAACTGATCATCTCATAGGAGTAATTAATTAAGAGGATATTTTCAATTAATTGTTTAATTTATAATTACATTTACTCTTGGCACATGTCAGAAAACATCTTTAGAAAGAAAAAAACATGTATCTTGAAAGAGTTACTCTCATCTTTAGTAAAAATTGGAATTTGGTTGTATATATTTTGTACTCGTCAATAGGGAAGAAAGTAAGAAGATTATGGAATCTGATACTAATATTGGAGTGTTTACGAAAGAAAACACACGTTTCCAAAATGATTAACGCGTATACAGAACCCCAATAGGTGCTTGACTTGTGGATATTGGATAACCAAGTTATTAATTAAGATGGTTAGAGGAGATCCAAAAACATTAATTAAGAAAATTAAGAGATGAGACAATAAATAAAAGATGAGTAGCTGGGAACGTGCAACAGAAAAATAGTTCACCCAACTTTCTCCTATTAATATTTCTCTCTTCTCTTCCAACTTCTAACCTTTTTCAGACACACACATAATATACACACGCTTTCGATAAAAAAAACTCTCTGATTTCAATAATAACAAGGAAAACAAAATGGATCACGAAAAGTCCACCTCTTGTTGCTGCGTTCTCGATGCTTCCACTTATGTGGGTTTCTGGATTCTCAAGAAATTGCTTAGCAGAGGATACTCTGTTCACGCAGCGATTCGTAAAAACGGTACCTTTCGCTTCTGAGTACAATCATATGTTTACCTTTTTATTTCGATTGAGATTTCGAAGCAAAGGGTTCGTTTTTCTTCCTCAAGTTCTCTTCTCGGTACAATTTATTCCGATGATTTCGAGGAAAAAGAGGGATCTTTTTGCTGTTCATTGATTCGATGGTTTGTGGTAATTAGGAGAAAATGAAATCGAGGAGAAAATCAGAGAGATGGAAGCAACTGAAGAGAGACTAGTGGTGTACGATGTAGATGTTCTTGATTATCAAAGCATACTTGTCTCTCTCAAGACATGTAACGCTGTCTTCTGCTGCTTAGATAGCCCTGAAGGATACGATGTAAGTGACTTCATCAATCACCGTCTATATATATGTGTCTTTGGGTTTTGTTTGAAGCTGAAGATTTGAGATTTTGTGTGAATCATCATCACAGGAGAAAGAGGTGGATTTGGAAGTGAGAGGAGCGATCAATGTGGTGGAGGCATGTGGAAGAACAGAGAGCATAGAGAAGATTGTCTTCTCTTCTTCGCTAACCGCTTCAATTTGGAGAGACAACATTGGAACTCAGAAGGATGTTGATGAGAAGTGTTGGAGTGATCAAGACTTCTGTCGGAAAAAGAAGGTTTTTAATTTTTCTCCACTCTCTCCTTTATTTTGTTAATACTATGAACTTTTGGTTAACCGTTATGGGTAGTATAAAAGTAAACTTTGGTGAATTAATTAGACCAGCAATTTGAAATTTACAGGCTGGATTGGAATTACTAAGATGTTTCCTGAGATTTTGTTTACTGTAGCTAGCTCACATTTCTGCAGTATTTTATTAGCCAGTTCTTATGTTTGATTTTTTTGAAATACTAGAAATTATTTTTTCTTCCCCATAAATTTTGGGGTGGTACCTTTCTAAATTTTTTAATAGTCAAAAGTTCATCAACAGTATTGTCACACTATCTCGAATAATTTGATTGGGGGACATTGAAAATTCTTAAGGGGGCAGCCGAATTGAATATATCCAATTCCTGGCTCATAAATACAATGTACAACTCCTGATTCCATTATAGTTGCCTTTGGGAAAATTAAAGGGCATAATTTATATATTTATTGAATAATTAGATACAGATGATTCTGTATCATTATATTAAATGTTGACATGTTATAAATATATATATATATATTGTTAGGAACTTACGATCGTCATAAATGAACTTATCTAACTTGTGCAACAAATTATTCGGAGACAGCATTAACGTGTATAGCTGTATGCCTGTATGACATCAAATCGAACAGTCAACAAAAAGTCGAATCAAGACACTATTTCCTTTTTTTTTTTTTTTTTTTTTTTTTCCTGTTGCTACTTTTAGGAATTTACTCTTTTTCGTTACTATTAGTAGTAATATATATACGCTCAAGCTCCAAAACTCACGTGTGTACAAATTGTATGTTGGATGCAGTTGTGGCACGCATTGGCAAAGATGTTGTCGGAGAAAGCAGCTTGGGCACTAGCCATGGACCGTAGGCTCAACATGGTCTCTATCAATCCTGGTCTTATCGTCGGACCATCAGTCGCACAACACAACGCTAGGCCCACCATGTCCTACCTCAAAGGTACATCATTACACTCAAATCTATCTGTACATATTTCATTAATGCACATTCATAACTGCGTCAAACTATTGCGACTTCACCACTTACACGTCTAAACCAACGGTATAGTTCGTAAGTATGCACTTGAATTTGACAAAATGGTGGTGGTCACAGGAGCTGCACAAATGTACGAGAATGGAGTGTTGGCGTACGTAGACGTTAAGTTTTTAGCGGATGTTCATATTAAAGCATTCGAGGATGTTTCAGCTTGTGGTCGATATTTCTGCTTCAACCAAATCGTCAACACAGAAGAAGAAGCTCTCAAGCTTGTCGAGAGTTTGTCTCCTTTGATTCCTATGCCACCGAGGTATGCATTGATTCCTATAATCTTTTGCTGTTTCATGAGAATATGTTACTAATTGTAAATGTTAGTCAAATTAATGCATCTTAGTCTAATGCTTGATGTATATATATGTTATGTAGGTATGAGAATGAGATGCAAGGAAGTGAGGTTTACGAAGAAAGATTAAGGAACAATAAACTGAGCAAGCTGGTGGAAGCTGGCTCTGCCTGTTGAAAAGAAAGAATTAAATTTAGGAGCTATATACAAAAAGGGTTATAATTTGTATATTGATCTTCTCAATTTATATAGTACCATAGTAGCACCTGTTTTTCGTGAACTATATATAAAACAAACAATCACATTTCCTGTGATTATATAATAGTTTATGAGTAGTGTGAGTAGATCCTTTTATATATCCCGGGCAGCTCAATGTCTATGCTTGCTATTTTTTTTGTTAAATTTTGAAAATCATGTAAATCGAGGATGAAATCAACCTGCGTTGTTATAAAAAAGTTTATGAATTTGATTTATTGTAATTTTTTTTTTTTTGATTCCGCTGAAATAGCTTTTGTTCAAATCATACACTAATGTAAAGTTGTGGATTCACATGATTTAATGTTTTTGTGCTGCGATATTAATCAATTACATATAATTCCCAACAGGTTGACTCATATAGACAAATGATATTTGAAAGAAAAACGTAAAGTCTACTTAAAATATTAGATGGGCCGATAGTGGGCCTAAGATTGTCTAACGCAGACCAAATAAAAAACTCAAACCAAGTTTAATAAAACGTCAGCGTTTCAGTTGGTATTAAATGGGCCGAGAGTGGGTCTGAGATTGTCTAACGCAGACCAAATAAAAAACTCAAACCAAGTTTAATAAAATGTCAGCGTTTTAGTTGGAGCATCCTGAACCTTCGTCTTCAGTGCTTTTGATTCTGATCGACGACGATCGGCGGTAAGTTGAAATATTTCTGCAAACTCTCGGAAGAACCCTAGATTGAAAGATGGTGTTGATCGAGTCAAGTGAGAGTGAGGAAGAGATACTCGTCAAAGACGAACCAAAGCCATCGTCCTCATCCTCACAGCAGCCCGAAAAGACTATGGCTGCGACGGAGGCCAAATATGTCGACTGTGACGAGTCCGACGGATTCGAGACTGCCAGCGAAAGGGAAATTAGCGACGAAGAAAGTGAAGAAGAAGATGATAGCAAAAACGACGCCGTTACGATCCAGGAGGAACCACATCTGTATGATGAAACGGAGAAGAAGGAAGAGCAGATTGAGCTAACGAGAGAAGGAGAAGCCATTGCTGAAGTCGGATTAAACCAGGTAAATCCCACATTAGCTCAGTAGTATATTGAACGAAAAATACGTTGCTACATTCATCTTTAGGGTTTTCCAGTTCTGGGTTTACGGGAAATTTTGAATCTTTTGGATGAAATTAGTAGAGATTGCTTAAAGTTAGCGTTGACAGATATTGAAATTTGTCCCCTTTTTTCATATGGAAGGAGGAAGCCATGGCAGAAGCAAATGAAGCTAAAGTGGAAGGAAACAAATTGTTCGTAAATGGCCTTTACGAAGAGGCATTGTCAAAGTATGCCCTTGCTTTAGAGCTCGTTCAGGAGTTTCCCGAATCAACAGAGCTTCGATCCATTTGCCATTTAAACAGAGGTGTATGTTTCCTCAAATTGGTATGTCCTTTAGCATGAGCGATCACACACGCTTACAGTATTTGATTACTTGAATATCTGTTCAAGATTATTTGATAGTACTCAGGATTTCTCTGAAACGTTTCTCAGGGTAAACATGAAGAGTCGGTCAAGGAATGCACAAAGGCACTAGAGCTAAATCCTACTTATACTAAAGCCTTGGTTCGAAGAGCAGAAGCACACGAGAAGCTTGAACACTTTGAAGAAGCTATCACGGGTGGGTTCATGAGTATTTATTTATTTTAAATGCAAGCAATGACTGGTTTTTATTCCTCTTGAGGTGTACACATGAACCATTTCATTAGACAGGATAGTTAGATTTTGGTTGTAGTATAGGTTTAGTGGAAGAGTCCACACTGAGTCTCTCTCTTCTCATATGCAGACTTGAAGAAGATCATAGAACTTGATCCTTCAAATGATCAAGCTAGGAAAGGGATTCGACGGCTTGAACCTCTTGCTGCCGAGAAGCGAGAAAAGATGAAAGAAGAGGCTATAAGTAAGTTCTGACTTCTGATTGTATTCCATCATAAACCTATACTCTGCTTTGGGAATTTATTTCATCGATTATTGTTGATATGCCGAATATGTTTTGTGTTTGTAGCTAAGCTGAAGGAGATGGGAAACTCGATTTTGGGTCGATTTGGGATGAGTGTGGACAACTTCAAGGCTGTTAAAGATCCCAACACTGGCTCCTACTCTCTTTCTTTCCAAAACTAGTCACCATTATCGTTGTGGTCTTTTAATGTTTTGCTTCTACCACTTATATGTTTGGCAACAATCTGGTTCTAATGTGTTAAATGTTCTTGATGAAAAGATGCAATCCTTTGATATAGCTGTAAATTCAAAACTCAATGTTACAACAATGGATGATATTTCCTTTCCATGGTTCTTTATCAATTGGTTGGCGATTATTGGCTCGTGATACATAAAATACAACAAGTTATTATAGGATTCAATTGAATCCGTGAAAAGGCAGTAGTAGATCCTGTATGTGTTTTTTTTTTATGTTTTATAGATTATGTGTTATGGCATGCTGCTCCAAGTACTCTTTGCTGTTCATTTCTGTTAATCTGCACGCAAAGAAACAAAATTCAAATGATTAGCAAAATCCAATTAAGCTTTCAGGCTATATATTCTGTGACAGAGACTTTTAGTTACATTACCTACTGATGGTTCTATCTTTTGCGAAACCTAACTCGTTGTCAACACAGAGCTCAGAAACATCGTTCTTTTTTGATCTCGACGATGTTCTTGGAGCCATCGATTTCGCCTCTGAGATTGTTACAATCTTTTCCAACAGTTCTTGGGGACTTGCTTCAGCTGTACACAACAACCTTGCTCTGTTCTCATACATCACCTGCAACTCTTAAACCATAATCAGATTTGATGAACGGTTTGTTTGGCCGTGCCATCTTAGAAAACTAGAAACTTAAGAGATGGAATAGGGCACTGCATACATCAACTAGCGTGACGAATCTATACGCAGCAGTCCGGTTATGAAGCCCGAAAACCGGAATTCCTTCCAGTGCAAGAGTATGAAATTTCTCTGCAACCATCAGGAAGAAGAAGAAAGAACGTTTTAAGACGAGATTTTCAGATGAGTGAGAGAGAGAGAGATCCAAAGCTGAGTAACTTACTGAACAATCCAAAGTAATCTGCAGCTCCAAGAGGTCGGTCGCATAACTCTTCAAAAGGAAAGTATGCACATCCGTTAGCACCTAATTGAACCTGCTCATGAAACAGCACTGATCTGATTCAGAACTCATATAGATATGGACACAACATAAGTTGATGTTAGGATTACACAGAGGCTGGTATTGATTTGCACCTGTAATGTTCTTCCCATGACCACTTCTACTACCTGTGGATGCGCAACAACATTGTCTCCAATCAGTTGTTGGAACTTCTGTTTCAAAAGGGTCGAAAGATCTTTACCAATGAAATAGAATCCTTGCTCAGCCTGCATCATTCAAGAAGGCATGCCGGTTACTTAACTCTGTTTTTGGCTTGAAGCCAACCTAAAGGAGTTTCTAGAGGGAACTTAAGAGCAGTACCGAAGTTAGTTTCCGGTAATCAACGGATGAGCCGATCTCATGGACCACATTCCGTTCCTGAGAAAATGGAAGTTCTATGATAGTCAAGAATAAAAGAAAAGAGACTGAAAATGGATTAGTGGAAGTGATGGAGATACCTTTAGTGATGCAATGAAAGGTAGAAAGAGATCTCTCTGGAGTCCTCCTTCATAGAGTTTATCAGGATTCCGATTCGATGTGGCAACAAGAATCTAATCCGTTTTTCGCAAGAGTCGATCAAAGTCAGTTTAATCCAAATGAGCAGAGAGGATTGTAGAAGAGGAATGTCATTTAAGATCACACTTACGATGCCATTGCTGAAGAGATGCCCGAAGAGTCGGTTAAGTATCAAAGCATCTGCAACATCAGTTACCTGTAACAATAGAAACAGAAGCCGAACTCTCAAGATGGGTTGAACCAAAGACGATCACTTTCAAGAAGATAATACATGTATATATGTGCATACCATGAACTCATCTAGGCATAGTAAGATTGCATCGTGAGCTATCTCTTGGGCTACAACTTCAAGTGGATCTGATAAACCCTTGTGCTTCTGCAAACATTTTGACCCCAAAATCAATCGGGTATCTCAAAAGGCTAATGCTTTCTAACTAAAACAGAGAGAGAGAGACAGAGAGAGAGAGAGAAACATGATCCTTACTTGTAACCGGCTATGAACAGTCAACATGAAATCATGGAAATGTATCCTCTGCTTCTTCCAAGTGCAAGGCCTAATGAAAACAAGGGAAAGATCATGATCCCGCGATCAAGAAAAGATAAGAGCTTGATCATACAAACTTACAACTGATCAAAGAACAAGTCCATCAACATGGTTTTTCCTGTGCCTACACCTCCATAGAGGTATAATCCTTTGACGGGCGAGTAAGAAGACTGAGGCATGAGCCGTGACCAGAACCAACGGCTTCTGCTTCACACGCAAACAAGGGTTTGCGTGAGACTTCAGTTCTCAATCCTAACAGAGAAGGAAAAAGAAAAGAAGACTCAAGGTTTAAGAGAAGAGAAGAATCAAACCTTGATGACTTATCAGAAGTGTTGTACCGATCTAAACGACATGTACCTACCGATTCCACAAGCTCATCATGTAGTCTCTGAAGCTCTCTCAATGCACTAACCTGCAGCATTTCAACAAAACCTTCAGCCGCAAGTAACACGAATAATCTTTAATGCCACAAGCTTCGATGAAGTAGAAAGGAGTGAAGTTTTTTTTCGTACTTGGCAGATATCACCAGTCATGAGCTCACCATCACTGATTCTTCTCTCATACTCAACAAGAGGACCTGTTCTGTTGACATCTGCTATTTTTCAAGTTACAAAATCATTCATTATAGTAAACTCAAACAAAAGAAAAAAACCTCTGAGATTATAATCGAATTTGATTGGAAAGAAACAAAACCTGAGACAGAGAGCCTAACAGCATCAGGTGCTTCCACAGCTTCTGCTGACAGACCTCTCGAGAAACTCAATCTCGAATACGAAGTTGAATCATTAGTGTTAGTGTTCACCAGAGCTTGATTTTGATTGACACCGATTAAAAGTTTGCGGCTTTTGGAGTTAAAAGTCGAAGAATTGCGTTCTTGATTCCTCAGAGCCCATCTAAGTCTACTGAGAGACGATGTTCTAACGATTGGTCTCATCTACAGATCAATGCAAATTGAAATACGCAGAATCAGCTGCTGAAACCAGGAGAAGGAGAAGAAGAAGATTCTTTCTTTAAAAGCAGAGATTCGTAAAGTATGAGAATTCTTATCACTACAACGACCACAAACTTATTAAGAGAGGATGAAGCATTATTGAATGCTATTCTTCATTGAAAAATTGACAAATAGTAGTATTATTTTGCATTTTACAAGTATTTTCGCTACAGGTGACGTAACTCTCAATAACAGCAATAACTCTTACACAGAGCAATAATTGATGAGGACTAACCTTTAACTATGAACAGCTTGAAAATTGCCCTTGATAAAAGATTTCCAGAAAAAAATCTTGCTTCCCGGGGAAAAAGGGAAACTTTGTGGATTCAGTTACGGAGTAAATACAGAACCCAAAGAACGAAATCTTTGAATTAGTTTGTGAGAAATCGGATCCGGGAGAGAATTTGGGCACAAGAGGAAAACGTGAAAGAAAGAATTTGAAAAGTTGTATGTAATGAGATGATACTTGGATAAGAGAGAGAGAGACCCAAGAAAAACGGAGATATTATCAAACAAGCAAAGAGATCGAAGAAGAAAAGATTTAAACAGTTGATTAACAGAGCAAATTGGGATATACTCTTCTTTTTATTGCCTGAGACACGTGTGTTTTTCAGTTATTTTTATATAATTTTCACTGTAAGCTAATGTATAAGCGTTGTTGTATCCCTCTAATTAATTGTTAACGTTGACTGTATTAGTTGTTTTCCAGATCATGAGAAAAGATCAATTATTTTTGGATTTTCCCCCCTAATTAGAAGAGAGTTGACCTTTTTAGTCTTATAAAATATAATTAAGTACATTGTCTTCATATATCTTTTTACCATGAAAGTAAAATTTGCTAAACTTACCCTACATGGACGTCTACAAGTCAAAATAGAGATTTTTATTATGAGAAAATCACAGAAATATAGGAAAAGAATTGTATAATATTCAAAAATGAAGCTTCTCGATGCTGCGTCGTCCCCCATTCTGGTGGACCTAGCAACTAGCAAATGTCTATTCAAGGGCCAAGCATCTTCCACGTGGTCCCTAATGATGATCTAGCGGTCTATATTTCATACCTGTTTTTTCAACGCCCATCCAAAAGAAAAAGAGTTTGGTTCTGTCAAAAATTTATTTTATTATATATATATATATTTTTCGTTTTGGAATACAATAATACTACTATATAGGAAGTTGAAATGATTTGAACAGTCTAAATCTTTGGAACAGCATAGATTATTAAATTTTTGATTTCATATATCAGGGACACCTTAATGGTGACTGGTTGCATTGCGCATGCTCCCACGTGGCCACGTCACTTCATACATTGCAAACATGTCTGTTTCTTACCAACCCACCGTAGTGCCATTTTTATTTGATTCCCTACCTAAACGTGATGTTTAGTCATATATGGGCTGAAAAAAAAATCAAATACGGGCCACAAATAGAGTAATGGGCCTAGGCCCAAATAGTTTGATGTCTTCAGTTTTCGTGTCTCTTATTCATCGGAACTTAATTACGACTGTCGTCTTCTTCGATCGCTTTTCCCTGGCCGGTGATTTCACGGAGACTTGTTATTAGGTGTGGCTTTAGCTGACCATAGAACGAGACACACGGGAGGTGGAATCGGAGACTAATAATGGCGAATCAAGGAGCTAAGAAGCGCAAGGATGAGAACGCTCGACACATGGCCAAGCTCCGTCGAATCATCATCGCTTGCAATGTACTTCCTTTTTTTTATCCTGATTTCTCAGATTCTCGAGCTTAAATCACTTGACTTTCGATAAAATTAGATACGTAACTTCGTTGATTTCGATCTTTCGGAAATGAATCTTCAATTGTTAGGCCGAGATCGGATGTTGCTTTCGATGAAATTGAGGATTGACTTTGCGAGATGTGGTCGCAGGTTGTGTACGTCATAGTGAGGATGCTGATTTTCCATTCAAGCTTTACCTGGAAACATTGGATTGGGCTTGTGGTAACGTCGTTGGGCTACGCGATTCCTTATAAGTTTCTTGATTCGATGGCAAAGCCTAGTGTTACTGATGATGGTGAGCTTATTGATGGTGGCTTCGACATGAGCACTGGTGGAGTCTGTGGGTACGTTCTCGGAATCGATCAATAACAACAGAAAGTGGCAACTTTTTTTTTGTCTCAGTGTTCTGTATGGTTTGATTCTGTCTCCAAAGCCAATAGCTTTGTGCATGGATCGTCTGTTATTTAGTCAGTAGCAGCGTAAGGAGGACTGTTTCATTATCATCTGTTTGAAAAAGTGACGTTTGAGCCAACATTCTTTGCGATTCTCTCTGAGTTTTATCATTTATCAGTTACTGATTTGATTACTGTTTGATTGATGGAAAGTTGCTACGTGATCATCATATTCTATGATGGATTCAGTTGATTGTGGTGGATTGGATTGATATAACAAGCCTAATGATCTCTCGTCCTTGCAGATACTTGCACGATGTGCTCTACATCACCTGCTTCGTGCAGCTTGCATCGATCATCTCTGGAAAGTTTTGGTACACGTATCTAGTGGTAGGCCCTTCTTCATTTGGAAAAAAAAAAAAAATTTGAATACTCCTTTAAGGCAAACAATACATTGCAGCGTCGATGATGCGATCATTTGGTTTTATCTGGTCTTTTTTAGATTCCTGCATTTGGAGCGTACAAGGCTTCTGGACTTATTAGAGGATTCATGTCTCAAGGCTCAGAGGTAATCAACTTAGTTTTGAAATACTCTCAAAGTGCTATGGGAAAACTTGAAACATTATTAAAATAGACTGTATATTGTCTCTGTGACTCTGAATTTAGGGAGGTGAAGAGGATGAGAAAACTCGCAAAAAGAGGGAGAAGATGGAGAGAAAAGCTTCTAGAGGGCAAGCCGTCAGGACAAGAACCCGATGAATGTCTTAACATCATCATCTTTAGCAAAACATAATTTGGAAAAAATGCAAACCAAATGATTTGCAAATCCTTGTTGTACGGATGTAGTAGCTATTTGAGTTAAAACACGGAGATTTCTAGTTCTTCAGAGTAGCACACAGTGAAGATAAAGATTTTTCTGTTACATTAAAATTCGTGTGATATTATGGTTTTGTTGAGCCATTTTACCGACAGCTGCAAAATCTATTATTCTTATTGCTACGTTTGCTTTGTGAATCAGATTCATAACAAATTGTTATATCAAAAAGAAGCTGATGTCCATAAAGACTCATTCTTGTTATTAATACTTAGGATATGCAAGCACAAGATCGTTCAAAACCCAAATGCTAATGTTGTTAATACCAATGCACAAAAGCCAACAATAATTTTGACTAAACCGTAGCTAAAGACTACAAAATGTAAAAACTATCACATGATCGTGCATTGTAAATCTCCCATGACAAAGTTTTTAGGCGGAGGTGGTGTCGGTGGGAAACTCTTAGCCACAGGCTCCTTCGGCTGATACGTGTACGGTGGTGGAGGCGCCGGCTGCGGATGAAGCTGCTGTATATATGGCGCGGGAAGAGCATAACTTTGAGGGGGCAGTTGAAACTGATTCATCATGTTTGGTTGATGATAAGACCATTGATTTTGTTGTTGAAAATTTGGTTGAGGATGAGACCATTGTTGTTGCTGATGATGATGATGATTTCGTTGAGGAGGATACGAGATTTGTTGTTGTTGATGATGACTGGAGAAACCATTTGGAGGAGCATTCATGAACTCTTGTTCCATAAAATGGTTTCTTCGATTTTCCACTGGCTTTTTGCTTTTGTCATCGCTCCATATAATCTCTGCTTTTTGGCCTGCCTTTGTAATCTTTTCGAGTATTTTCTGTGGATCGACTTTCCCATATACGTATACCGTTTTACTTCTCTTGTCGATCGTGAAATTCAAATCTGCATATACATATTTATATATTAAAAATAGAATTAACTTATGAATTTTAGGGAATTGTTTATACAAGAGATAGTGTGATAGATGATGAAACCATTAATGGTGTTGAACAATTTTTCCAGAATCTTCCTCCATCCTTTGGTTGGAGATACTATCTTGAAAATACATACCTGTGAAGATACTTCAACACATAAGATACACACAAAAAAAGTATAACGTAGAGACACTAATCTTACAATCTATTGTGATTTACGAGTGATATACCTTGTGATGAGAAGAAGAAGATGATTCCATTGTTCTTAGATAAAAAACGCTTTGTTATCGTTCGTTCTTGAATATGTAAGCGAAGAAACAAAAGGTTTTCCCTATCCAAATTGGATTATTGTATGATGGAGCATATTTTATGTCAATAAATGGATATATGGAGATCTATGGCTTTCTATATCTTCTGTAATGAATTTGTGAAATTTTGTTTCCTTAATTATGGAATATTCAGATATGAGAAATATTTAGATAAAGATTTTTCCTCTTACCCCTCGTTTGAAGATAAAGATATTTTGTTCATTGCATCCGTGAGATACTCTAGTTCGTTTTCTTGAACACAAATGAAGATAAAGAACATTGATAGCACCAACAAGAACTAATAATATCTGATAAACAAGCAAAGAACATGAGAAAAAAAGAAAGAATCTTGATGAAACTTAAGTACAAATATGTTATTATATACAAAAAAGTAGCTGCCATGATGTACTTTTGATATCTTCTTTGGTATTGTGTTAACATCACCTAGTGGTTATGGAGAAAAGAGATTGAATTCACGTTCCAGTGTCCATAAAGATTCATTCTTGCTATTGATACTTAGCGTATACTCCTGGAAATACCCATTATACGTAATCACCGATACCGTTGCCCTGAAAAAAGGACAGAGTAACAGGAAAAGACCATCAAGCTCTCGAACTCTTCATCTAACCGGGGGAATCCAAAATGAGAACTTACCTAAGAGATGTAAACTGAGATGGAGATGATGTTCCTTCAAGTTTGTCTATCTTCCTAACCACTGCATAACTGTTCAACACAAGCAAGCAACAGACAATGAACATCATGGGGGTTATACAGCCTAACAATAGGTCAAAAGATTATCCTTTTTGCACCTTCTAATTCCGGAAGAAACTGCATTTTGAAGCACGTGATGATGCGCTGGATCAAGTGCATCACTCACGCTGTCGGGAAGAACCGATCCAAGAAAGCTAGTAGACCTTTTGCTTCTGACAAGACTCTGAAAACTGTTAGGATTCTCACACGGTGTAGAGGAAATAAGAGTTTTGGTTCTTGAATCCTCACCTTTGGTTTATGGCCAAACTTAAAGAAAAGGCATGAATGGAGCCTGACGAGCTCGTTGCGATCAGTATATCCGGAAGCTGTGTGGATGGTCCAAAAGAGAGTGAATATATTGTTGACGGGTATGTTCCTCTCCTGAAACTATATGACTGCAAACAGAAGAAAAAAAAACGATTAACTATCTAAGAAAAAACAAAATGTGTTATGTACCCAAAGAGCAACTATTCACCTTAGTTGCTTCTGAAACAAGATGGACTCGGATCAGAGTTCCTTGCTCAGATGCAGTAGCGATATACATTCCATTTGAAGAGAGGGCAATCGCAGCCAACGGAGAACGATGTGCATCTATCTGTTAACCGAGTTTCACAAACAGAGAAACCAAAAAACGGTCAAGTTTGTTAATAATTGGGTTAAGTATGCAACTCAAACATCCAAAGATTAGGTGAAGCATAAAGTAAACCTCACTGTGAGACTGCAACTCCATGACGTTATACACCAAGACAGATCCTTTCGTTGCACTAGCTGGAACAGCTAAGTAGCAGCCTTCAAGACATGGAGAGAACGCAGAGAGACCTGCTCAATGAACATAGACAAGATTATTCTTGTTTTATTACAACGGAACTGCTAAAAATATAAACTTGATGAAGGAAACTTTCCGAGCTACCTTTTGGATTTGGCACTGTGTCGATAGTATCAAGCATGACAAGCGTATTCAAGTCGTAAACGAATGTTTTCTCTAGCAGCACAACAACAAGTCTGGTAAGAATCAATCACAGCAACATCATGACTTACACTCTCAAAAGAAACAGAAACAAAAACAAACAATCAGAATTCTCAAGTTTGGCAAGTAACTAACCTTTTCTTGTTCATACGTACAGCGAGTATAGAGGTTAAAAAGTTCAATTCCCTAAGAGGAGAACCCGTTGTGGTCTTGAATAAACAGAGACGCCGTGGAGATAGAGAAGCCTATATATGCAAAATTTCCTCTAAAATCATACAAAGGTCGAATTCCAATACCGGAAGAAAAAAAAATGTTTATCAGAAGCACAAACCTGTTCACCAGCTCCAACAATTGCAAGTAGATCTGAGCTATACAACATCTCAACAATAACAAAAGCCCCAGCAGCTAACAACAACAAACAAATCACAACTTCAATACATAGTTTGACAAAGAAGAAAAAATATTAAGGCTTGAAATAAATCTAAGATAGATCATGATGATCCTATCCTAATTGCATTGACTTATTACCGAGTTTCAATATTCAGACACTTTCTAATCTAAAATTTTTAAAACACCAACAAGTGTTTGATGTCTGCATTACAGAAAAAATTGTCTTCTATATCAGATCATACTTAGGATTCCGATTAATCTAACCAAAATAAGGTCTTTTGATGAAAACCCAGAATTGAAGAACCGAAAAAGAGCAGAGAATCAAAGTGGATTCGTAAAACTTGCCTCGTTCATAGCAGAGTCTGCCTGTAGTGGAATCGAATATTTTGAAGGAATCTTTCGAGCTTATCGCGAAACCACTGTAAAAAATCAAGCAACCAACAACAACGGCCAAAAAGGTCAAGCTTTTGTGTTACGTTTATCTGAGAAGATCGAACCAGAAATAAACAGAAAAAAAAGCAACAAAATTTTGTGGAAAATCAAACTAAAAGAATCGAATTTGTTATCTTCAATTACTTTTTCCATTAAAGAAAAAAAAAAAGCTCACCTATTATCTTGATTGAAAGAAACACAATAGAGAGGAGATGGAGAGGACTGATTCGCCATGTCGCCAAATTGTAAAAGACACTCTTTCGTCTACAATCAGCTTTTTTTTGTGTGTGCGCTTTATATATGTTCTGTTTTCGTCTTGTTCTTTCTCATTCTCCCTAAAACGCTGTCGTTTCTCTTCCTATTCCTATTCCTATTCCTTTTCGAAACTGGTTTTGTTGTGTTGAGTGATATAAAAATATGTGACTCAGTAAATTGTTGGTTTTGTGATAAGAACTGAAAATGACACATGAGGGTCAAAAGTTAGACAAAAGTCGTAAGGCATTACCATAAGAGGACCACACAAGCAGCTTAGGGTATCAACAAATGCCAAATTCTGATAACTCATAAGAGTATTGATGCGATTAAGAGAGTCAGAGAGAGAGGGAGAGGAAATCAGATTCTGGTCAAAAGCATAGTCAAACAAATCAGTCTCATACATGATGTTTTACCAAACTCAAGAGCTCGCATTCCGGTTATGAGCTCTAGCAAGAGTATACCAAACCCAAACACATCGGTTTTCTCAGAAGACTGACCGGTGGAGAGATATTCAGGTGCAGTGTGGCCAACCGTGCCACGAACCGCGGTTGTGACATGAGAATCTTCGCGAGTTCTCTGAATGTGAAGCTTCTTAGATTCCCAAGTCCTTGAAGCCCTTTCTTCTGGTTTATCTGCTTACACCAAAAGTTGAAACTTAAATCAAGAAGTTATATGAGATATACCGCTTTTAATATTGGTTCATTGTATAAGTATTAAACCCGTTGTTCTTGTGTGTTAGCATGCTATGTCCATAAATAGCATGAGATGTGAACCAGACTATTATAATTGTCAATGACAACTTAAGATGGACATAAAGACTCGCGAGTAGTAGTATATAGTCCGTTTTTTTTAAACAGAAACAACCAATGGCAATTAAAATGGCGACATTAACCAAGAAATTGAAGGAGGGTGAAAGATTTTCCTCAAATCATATCCATCGGCGAATGCAAGAAAATAAAAAAGAAGAGAGCAACAATCTAAACAGGGAAGATAAACTAAAAATCCAAAGTCGAAAAGTCTCACATGACAACAACAAATCGTAAACAACACAACAAGATAAATATTGAATAAGAGGATAAGTTTCCCTACACTACTTTTAAACCAAACACAGAGGATCCTCTTCAAGTCTTCAACACACATAAAGTGTCACTCTCATCTCACGTTTCATTTTCTCTTCTTAGCAGGCGGCTGGCGAACATCCTCGTCGTCATCCTCATCATCATCATCGTCTTCATCGTCCTCATCTCCATCGTCATCATTATCACCCTCATCATCGTCGTCATCGTCATCATCATCGCTTCCTGCTGCACCATTGGCATTGGTCTCCGGATCATCCTCTGGGTCAGCTTCTTCCCCTTCCTCCCCTGAGAAATCTTCATCATTGGCATCATCATCATCCTCATCCTCATCGTCTTCATCATCATCGTTGTCCTCATCATCATCGTCATCAGAGTCGAGGGCGTCTTTGGCTTCCTCATCACTGCGTCTTTTTTTGAAACCCTCTTTCACAGAAAGCCTAGAGACAAAGATAAATTCAGATTGGCTCAATCGATAAAAAGAGAAAAAAAGTGAAAGGTCTGGCCATTATTTATACTCACTTCTCATCTTCAGCAATCAACCCAAGCAGTAAAGATTCTACCTGAGATTATTACAAATAAATGAATGTTAGACAAAAGGTTTTATGTAATTTGTACAACACTGAACATACCATATATGATTAATAATCAGTAGACCTAAACAGCAGAATGAGATAACTATGTCGTTGTAGCAGCAATCCAATGTTGGGAGAAAGCGGAATAAGTTAACAAGGATCATGAAAACGAGATAGCAGATAACAACCAACACCAAAACAAAGTCATGAAAACCTCCAATGGACACCAAATAACTTTCACTGCTGCAGTAATTTTCTATGGATCTAAACCTAGAAAGATTTTATTTGTGTGTTTCCTCTATTACCAAACTCCAAGAACACATATTTCATTACAAAGAAGTACACGAGAGCAATCCACTAGGAATTGGGTAAAAGCCACAAAGCAAAAGTGACCACTAAACACAAGGAGAATCACTTGAAATTATCTGCATTCAACTTCAATTGTGCAAAGACACATCTAGAACCACTTGCGCAGAACTTAAATTGCTTGTCTTAACTGAAACAGAAAATCTATCAAGACAAAATCTCATCCCTAAAACAGAAATCTGAGTAAGCAGTTATGAAGTAATTGACTCAAAACAAATCTATAAACCTTTAGATTCGGGAGCACAGAGTAATCTCCAGTACGGTAAGTTTCGGTTTCGGCCTATAATAAAAGACAAATCCAACAAAACAGAACAATGAAGAAAAAAGCCCTAATTCAAGCAAACAAAGAGACCACATATCGCAAAGTCAATACTCACTTTCAGCGACCTAAAAATTGAAGATTTATTTCCGAAATAGCAATATCAACGAAGTGAAAGCATCTATTTGTATCGAAAGTGAAGGGATTTAAGCTCGAGAATCAGAGAAATCAGGATATAAAGAGGAAGTACATTGCAAGCGAAGACGAGCTTGGCCATGTGTTGGGCGTTCTCATCCTCAGGCTTCTTAGCTACTTGAGTCGCCATTATTAGTCTCCGATTCTAGCTCACGTATGTCTCGTTCTATGGTCAGCTAAAGCCCTACCTAATAACAAGTCTCTTATGAGAAAAAGCGATGGAAGCAGACGACAGTCGTAAGTTCCGAATTCCGATGAAAAATAATTACTAAAAAAGAGATATCGATTGTTTTGGGCCTAGGCCCAACATTTTATTGTAGCCCATTCTTGTAGAGAGTAGAACACAATGTAACAAAAAGATTATTATAGCAAAATAAAATGTAATTAAAGACAAGAACCAGTACGAGTTGGTAAGAAACAGACAATGTTTACATGTTTGCAATGTATGAAGTGACGTGGACACGTGGGAGCATGCGCAATGCAACTCCTATATAGTATTAAACTGTATTTCAAAAACAGTCTTCTTCTTCTTCTTCCTGGTGTTGCTCAGTAAAAATCGTTGTTGGGTTGTGATAAGAACTGAAAACGACACATGAGGGTCAAAGTTGGACAAAAGTAGCAAGGCATTAGCATTTAGAGGACCACAAGCAGCTTATGGTAACAACAAAAGCCAAATTTTGATAACTCATAAGAGAATTGATGCGATTAAGAGAGAGAGAGAAAGAGAGGGAGAGCAAATCAGATTCTGGTCAAAAGCAGAGTCAAACAAATCAGTCTCATACAGTTTCTTCCTTTGGCCCATCATAATGTTAAAAGCAAAAATAGCTACTCTTCCTTTCCCAACTCAAAAACCAAGAAACTCGCAAGAAAATACCTTCCAGAAAGTAAAAATATATATACACATCAACATAAACGAACGCAGAATCTCAAACTTCAGAGAAATTTTCATCAATTCACCAAACATATACATGTCTATATTATAAAAGTGTAGAGCTTTTCCATCGGTTTTTACCGAAAAATGATATCTTTTGTGTCCTGTTGTTTCCTCTGTGTGGTTATCTTGGACCGGATAGTTCCATGGCGAATGAATCTAAAGGCTGTTGATCATCGTCATCATCGAAAGCCGAAGACCCAAACATTTGATAAGTTGGATCATTGCAATGTGCTTCAAGCCTTGAGACAGAAGTAGTAGACAGAGACGAGAGTGTCTTGAAAGACATGTTGGCATGGTAGAAATGCGAATGGTTATGCGAAGCAGCCCATCTCTCGGCTAATCCATCGCCTTCAAGCATCAATACCACTTCAGACATTTTAGGCCTATGAGCAGGAAGATACTGTGTGCATAGCAAAGCCACTTGCAACATCTCTCCGACCTCAATCTTGTCGTAGTTAGTCCCGAGTTCTCTGTCCACCAATTCCTCTACTTTCATCTCTTCGTGCAATCTCCTCACCTAAAATAAAAAAAATCTGTTGAATTCAGTTGATCTTTATATTAGTAATCAAGAAAATGTGATTCTCTAGTCTCATTGCTTACCCATTCAAGCATAGCTCCTTTCTGGCTAACGGTTTTACCAAACTCAAGAGCCCTCAATCCGGTTATGAGCTCTAGCAAGAGTATACCAAACCCAAACACATCGGTTTTCTCCGAAGACTGACCGGTGGAGAGATATTCAGGTGCAATGTGGCCAACCGTGCCACGAACCGCGGTTGTGACGTGAGAATCCTCGTGGTTAAGAAGCTTCGCGAGCCCAAAGTCGCCAACAACAGCATCAAAGCACTCGTCTAAGAGGATATTAGCCGCTTTGACATCTCTGTGGATGATCTTGGGATCGCATTGCTCGTGTAGATACAACAAACCTCTCGCTGCTCCAATCGCTATCTTCTTCCTCATGTTCCAGTCCAAAGCCGGTTTAGCTACAAACAGTGAACAAAATTAGTTAAAAAGGTCATTGAAAAATGAGGATTCGCAACGACTGATTCAAGACTTAATAATACTAACATTTAAGCTTCAAGGCGACGCTGCCATTGGACATGTAAGGGTAAACAAGAAGCCTTTCACCAGAAGTTGCGCAGTAACCGATTAACCGAAGGAGATTCCTATGAACAGCTAAGCTAATCATCTCTAGCTCGGTTCGAAACTGCGAATCCCCTGAAGTTCCATTAACATCCTTCAACCGTTTCACTGCAACCACAGTCCCGTCTCCTAGCTTCCCTCTGTACACATTACCGAATCCACCAGCACCGAGAATGTTCTTGGAGCTGAACCCATCCGTAGATACATGGAGTTCTCTGAATGTGAAGCTTCTTAGATTCCCAAGTCCTTGAAGCCCTTCCTCTGGTTTATATGCTAAAAAACCAAAAAAAAAAAATTGAAACTTTTCAACATCTTCCTATATCAAAAATGTATAAAGCACAAAGTTCAAATTCACGAACCGTTTAAGTTAAGGATCAGTAGCTTTGTTTGTTTGTTTCGGTACCAACAAAAGGACCCGAGAGCAAGGACTAGTAAAGCAACAAAGCCAAGGCTTACACCGAGTGCTATCGCCAGTTTATTAGACCTGTGTCCTACACAAAACTCAAAGTAACCAGAATGATTAATGAAATGATCACTACAATGGTTAGATTCAGGAGAAAAAAACGAGATTTTTACCTGATGATGAGCCCAAAGAAACAGAAAGAGGACTTGAATTGATTGATCCGGAACAAATCTCAGGTGGGTTGATTCTACAAATCAAAGGATTCCCAGCAACACTACATTCAACAACAATGCAGAAACGAGACTTAGTCCTGATAATACGAGGAATTAGTGAAATCACTTGGAGATTTTTTACTTGAAAGTCCTGGCTGGAGATTTAGGAACAGGGCCACTGAGATTGTTGTAAGACAAGTCCCTGAATTTTTCATAATAAATAGAAAATCAGACAAAAAAAACAAAGACAATGTTCATAAGGTTGAAATTTGTAAATAGAAAAGACAAATCTTTATACTCACAAGAAGGAGAGATGAGGAATTTGAGACAAAGAGGCAGGGAAGGGCCCAGAGAATGAGTTGTTGTTCAGTCTCCTATTGAAAATCAGTTCGTACGAGGTAAGTTGATTTATGAGCTGATCAAATCATTAAAATGGGGAACAAGATTGAAGATATGAGAAGAAGAAGCTCACAGATACTGAAGGCTGCTTAGTTGCTCGACGGAAACGGGGATTTCGCCGGAGAATCGGTTGTTGGAGAGATCTAAAGTCTGTAGTTTGGGAAGAAAGCCGAGCTCCGGCGGGATTTTGCCGTATATGTTGTTGTTCTGCAATAACCTGCAAAACCCCACCACAAGTAGGAAATTGAACAAATCGAATTGAGGAGAAACAAACAAAAAGAAAGAATTTTGTTTTGTTTTTGACGAAAAATAATATTATAGAAACTAAAAAAAAAAAACAAGAGGGATGAAGGATCCGAGGATGTCGTAATCTTACACTTGTCGGAGATTTGTGAGATTTCCGATTGACGCAGATAGACTTCCCGAGAGAGACTGGCTTGGCGCTCCTCTACAATTGGAGAGAGAGAGATTTGTCGCCATTAATGAACTTGAGAAGAAGAAAACAAAAAATCGAAGAGAAACACAATAAATAAAAGAAAGAAGAAAAGCTCACAGGCCAATGACGAGGTTGTCGGGGGAGCAAGTGATCATAGCCCAGCTACAAGGATCAACAGAAAACTCGTCCCAGTTGTTCAGAGCTCCATGAGGATCATGCAAACCATTCTTTATATTTATTAACGCCTCCACTGTAACAAGTTTAGCAAAATCAGGAAAAGAAAAAAAATCCAAACTTTAAACCAAAGGAACAATAAAGAAATAATTTTGTTATTGTTCACGTAATGTTACCTTCAGGGTTTCTGGGTTCAGAAGAGAGAGTGAGAGTAGAGAAACAGAGAAACAAGAACAAGTAGAGGAGATGAAGTTGAGTCATCTTCGTCTTCCTTGTTACCACCATGGATTTTTTAGCTTTAGCTATGAGAAGTAAACAAAATTTCTGAAAAAGAAGGGAGACAACATTTACTCTCTCTTTTTGATTTTTGGGTTTGTGCCCACAAACACACATAGGAAAAGAAGAGAAAGCAAAAGCAAACAAAGAAGAAGAATGAAAAAAAAAAAAAAAAATCTCTGCTTTAATTTAAAAAAAAAGAAATCTCGGGTCTACCAAAGAAGTGTTTCTTTCTCCCTTCTTCTCAAACAGTCTCACTCACAGGAGATGAGTTTGTTGCTAAGTAAAGAAGGTAACACATGAGACGTTTAAATGAAGGAGAGATGGAGAGAGGGCGAGAGAGAGAGAGAGAGAGAGAGAATCAGGGGAAGCTGATACGGACTGTCGGACCCGGGAAGGTGGATGCTGGTCTACTCTACACTCTCTCTATCTTTTTCATTGTCTCTTTTTTCTTAATGGCAATGCTACTTCCTTGTATATATTATTAGAACAATATTTTAAAAAACAAAAATTAAGGTTTAGATTTAGATTTATTATTCTATGTTTGTGTTTTTAAAATGTTATCTATTAAATAGTATTTTTTGGTTGTTGAAAATATCATATTTCATAATCTTTATTAAACATCTTTCTAAAATGGTAAAAACACCAAAACAATTTATGATTTTGATAAGTTCTTATATCTTCAAAATATATACCAAAACAATTTTATCATTTATATAAAGATAATTATTAAAAAACAAATGATAAATAAAAGATAGAATTGATGTAATGTACTAGGACTACCAGTGTCAGGGCTATAGGACTGATATGCACGCTAAAATGCGCTTCCTCCTCTATTTTTTTTGGTTTTTGTCTTTTTAAAAACTTTTTCTTCCATCTTAATGGAAACAATATTTTACCAAAAGATGAAATTGAAATTTGCTGTCTCCCTACCTAAATTTGAAATTAATGATAATGATATTTAATGATTCGCGTATATAGAAATTATTGTATAAAAATGTCAAAACGCAATAGCATGAGATAGTGAGTGGTGGTAACAAGAGAAACGGGAAACAAAGCAAAGATAAGCCTGAAATAGGGAGAATCCATACTTGCCTGATGTTACATTATTTTTGATAAGTCCCTATATTTTTGATTTTCTCCTCCCTTTGTCACTCTATTTTCATTGTCATTATATTGGCCCACCTCCTCCTCCTTTCGTGATTATAATTTAATCGAACGCCCTCCTCTAATAATTACATATTTGCCTTTTTCTTATTTTATTACTTTTCTATCTTTTTCCCCCCCTTTCAATCACGTCTTACTTTACTGCAAGAACATTCATGACCCCCACGTTTCGAATGTATGTTTTTTATAAAAGTTTTCGTAAAAAATGCTACAGAATTTAATTAAGTTTCTGTGAAAATGTACATGTACTAATAAAAAAATCAATCATGCATTGCTCATTTGCATCGTACGTAACGATGCACTCAAACTTGTAGTTTATAAGAAACATAGTTTTATGGAATTTTGCATGTAAGAAAAATCATCTTTACTTCCTATTAAAATGCTTGTTTCTTTTCTCTAAAAATATAATGATAATCAACACATTCACCTAATGGATGACAACATCGACTTGTCACAAGATTGTAATTGCATTGATGATTAAAAACGTGAAAATTTTAACGATCAATTTGACCATTTGGATCATGGTTTAGAAAACAACTTACAAAAAAAAAAAAAGTACAGAGATATGGAAGTAGTGGCCAAAATGCCGAATTAGGCTGAGCAAGATGAGGTAAACAGCGAGATGCTTTGCAACCAACCGCCTTATTTTACAATGTCACATATTAACAATGATCCTTACATCATGCATGCATCTTTGTGTACTTGTTCCATATATATTCCCTAATTATATATCGTAATTTTTTTTTCACATGCATAATAATAACATGCATGATGACAAAAATCTATTACCTTTTTGGGATCGTTTTATATTCACACTCCATAAATTAAAACCTATTCTTGCGAGAGAAATATTGTTGAATGTTTTTCACAAATCATTTAGCATCAGAATTAGATTCACGTGGCTTAATCCAAGCGAATTTGTAAGACTTGGTTTTTTTTTGGTCTTTCACTGAAGTGGAGAACGACTCCTGATGGGACAAATCCAGCTGAGATCAATATTATTATGCGTTTTTGGCCTCTGTTTCAATATTCTTGTATATTTTACAAAATTAACCGTAATGCAAAAACGTACACGAAAAAAAAAGGAGAAAAAAATTTGTTTTCATGAATAGATTATTATAATTCCCGATAATTTTCACCACATAAAAGGACATTTTCCTCTTTCTTCAGAAATGTTTGTTTCGTCTTTTTATCCACGGGACCATATTCCCATATGCACCAATTATAATATGCTTTATTCCACTAATTAAAGTCCCTTTTTAATATTGTTACCCTTTTTATTTTTACTTTGTATCAAGCCCAATTATATTTGCTTTGTGACTACTGACTAGTTCTATGTGTGTAGCAGAGAACATTGTTGGTTGTGCATCCTAGCATTGGAGCCTGAGTCATCATCAATCATATTAATTAATGGATCTTGATTGTAGTGGGAAAATGCTGAGTGTTACCAACTGTTAATATTAACAGTATCAAAATGCTGATTACCAGAACTTTATTTTATAGTTGTATGTAAAACAATTAAAATATATATTACCCGACTGATTGAACCTGGTAATCTAATATGCCTTTTCGCATTTGGTTTCGAAAAACATTCTCAGTAGCAAAGCAGGTGTTTTGGTTTGCAGCATTACGAAAAAACGCAAAAGAAACAAAGAAACGTTATTGAATTTTAATAAAAATGTATAACGATATGTAAAGTGAAAAAGAAAAAAAAAAGAGAGAGTAAAAAAGTTTGAAGATAAAATAAGAGAGAAAGCGGCAACAAATCTTCGTCGGAGTGCGTTTATTCTTCTGCGATTTCCCATTCCTCATATGGTCGACCTGATTCTTTCCACGTTCTCTATCTTTTCTAATTCTTTACATGTTTCTTGATTATATCATTTATATATTAATATCCTGAGCAAGTGAGCATTGTTATGATTACGAATCATCTAAATAATATACATGTAGTTTATAAATAAATTTGAACAGAGTGATTTTGTGTAACGATTAGTTTTTCTTAATATAACGATGGAAAGAGCAGTCGATATATACTTTGTGAAATAGTGGGTCTAAGTCTTCTTTTACTTTCGCCAAGTCCGAAATCAAGTTATCTGGTTTCATCAATTGGGCTTAAATAATAATGAAGCATTAGATGGGCCTAATTTGGATAATGGATGCAAAGAAAGAAGATAGAAAAAAGGAAAGCAGAGAACAAAGACATGGGACGAAGCAATTCGAATTTGAGATTTCATTCATCATCATCCAAGAAATGAGCTTTGCATGTGTGTATCTTCTGATTTGCGTTCACATTTTTCGTTCCTATATTTTTGTGTCCTTGCTTATAGTATTGTGTCTTCATCATTCATTTCCTCACACAATATTTTAATAAAACTAATCAAAACAAAGATGATTAGTTTTAAATCATCGATATTTTTAATTTCAATACTTACCAACTTTCAGTTTCAGGACAATGCGTAATTAAATTAAATAAACCATGTCACATTGGAAGATATTATCACATTGGAAACAACTGTACTGTAAAAAAAGAAGATAGATGTGTTTAATTTACAAATGAACTATATAATGAGATATAAAAGCATTTCTATTGGTTAAAATGTAAATCATATAAACTATATTAGTATTTCATTATTAGGTATCTTAAAAAGTTTGAGAAGCCACACCAAACTCTCTCAAATTATATAATTTTGTGTTCACATTTTATTAATTAAATATTTTTGAGAGAGGTTGGTTGAGAGACTAAAAGAGATGTTCTAACGTGTGGAAAGAATTAATATTTACTGTATGGCCCTAGACTTAGCTAATAGGATCATCGCTTCAAATTGAGTGACTTGTTCTTTGGATCATATGTCCAATATTGTAATTCAACATAACTATTTACCTTATATTAATTAGTAAGCAAATTTTCTATGCTAAAAAAATTTGGTATCATTGAGTGCTTCGATTTATCTGAAGTATGGTGCCAAAAATATCATCTAAAGTCTAAACTCTAACGACTTCAACCCCACCAACAAAAGTATAGAGATCAAACGGGTTAGACATAAACAAAGAAATGATATTTGCACATCAATTGTACATAAGATTTGCTTCCTCTTCTCAGAGAATACCATAAACCAGATCAGATTCGGTTTAGCAAACAAAGACTTAACTTAACTTTGTCCAAGCAAACTATAAAGGAAAGAAAATTAGCAAACAAAGATTTAGCTACTCATAATCAACGCATACAGTACTTAAAGTTTGTCCAAATAAACAATTATAAAGCAAATTGGTGTAACACTATATTATTGGCGGTGAAAAAACGCCTGCAAATCTCTAAAAAGAAATGAGAGTAAACTATTTTTTACTGGTTTTTAAGAAATTAGGTTAGGTTCTAAAAAATTAGATTTTTAGAGTTTTGATTTTGAGAAAGTCATTCTCTTAATTTATGAATAGCTCAGACAAAACTTACTTACATAATTAATTAAAAAACTGATGTTGTTATTATAGATTACTACGACATAGATAAAGGAAGATGACACTAATTTTTTAAGTTTTCCACTATTTATAACAGAAAAAAAATTCATGTTTTTATATTTATTCTTTGAATTTCACTCAAACTTAAATATAATCTAATCTTCTAGAAGATATATATATATATATATATCGTAATTTTTTAGCTAGTAGAAAACAAATATAATATTTTACAAGCATAGTAGTATAAAATAATGAAACATTAGATGGGCCTAGTTTGGGCTTAAACAATAATGAAGCATTAGATGGGCCTAGTTTGGATAATGGATGCAGAAAAGAAAATAGAAAATAGAAAAGCAGAGAACAAAGTTTTTCTTTTTTTGGGGAACAAAGTTTGGACAAATGAATTCGAATCTGAGAGATTTCATTCATCATCATAGAAGAAATGAGCTCATGCATGTATCTTCTGATTTGCGTTCACATCTTTGCTTTGATTAGTTTTATTAAAATATTGTATGAGGAGTAGATGAATGATGAAGGAAATGAATGATGAAGAGACAATAATATAAGCAAGGACACATAAATATAGGAACGAAAAATGATTGGAGTTTGAAAAGAAAATTAAAAGGATTTACAAAAGTTTTTAAGGTTGGTGTCGCTTATACTGTTTTCACGTTTTTAGTGGTTTCAGTTTTGTTTGGCTTTTAGTTTTTCCTTTGACAATACGTACCTAAAAGCCAAACAAAAACATTCGTACGTAACTAGACGCTTCTATGGACTATGTTCGAATTTCATCTTTGCAATTTGTTTGACCTTAGTGAGAATATATAACGCCATATTTGGACCGTCGAAGTTTTAAAAACAGTTGATAATGAGAAACTGAGAACCCTTCTTGGAACGGCGGAAAAATGGTCAAAAGTGTGATATACGCAGATTTAATTAATTTAAAGAACAAGTCTAACATGTGCAGAATAAAAAATGCTAAAAAACGTATAAAATCTATTTGAACTCGTTGGAGAAGACGTATAAAATCTATTTGAACTCGTTGGAGAAGACGTACAACATCTATTTGAACTTGTTAGATGGAATCCCAAATTCCAGTTCCAACTTCCAAGCATTAAGCATACATATAACATTACAAAGTCTTCAATATAGTCAAGAAAAAGTCATCAATAACAAATGCTTACCCTTATACTTATCTTTATTCTTATGTAGTCCGTAGATTCTCGGGAAATACCTTTTTTATATTTGAATTTTGATTAAGTCTTTTTTTTTTTTTTTTGCTACAAATTTGGTAATGGAATAGCATTCCTATACGTTTTATATAACAATTATAAATTATAATATTACATCGACAGTTATAGATGTACTATGAATAAAATAACTAAAAAGATAATCAGATGCGCGTCAATTTAATTGCTTTTGGCAGGGTATTCAATATAATATAATTCAATTAAATTTGATTATTTTCGGTAATATTATTATATATTAAGACAGGATTATTATTATATAAAAACTTCAGGATTCAATAATGTGACAACATGGTCAACAATGGTTAGCTAGCTGTCCAGTGTTCCTCTACAATACTATTACATAAAACGTGGAAAATTAAAAACCAAGTAGGTGCGTCGTCGACCATATCCAATCTCCTCATATAAATATTACAGATACATACGTGTTTCTTCTCCATTGCTCTCTCTCTCTCTTTCCTTATCTCTTCCTCTCTCCTAAATTAATCTCTTTCTCTTTCGCCGGAAAAAATGGTGGACCAGAAAAAGTACGCTCTGTTTCTAGCGACTCCAGATTCAGAGTTCGTGAAGAAAGCGTACGGAGGATACCGCAACGTGTTTGTGTCGACGTTCGGAGACGAAGGAGAGCATTGGGACTCGTTTAGGGTTTGCGAAGGCGAGTTTCCCGACGAGAAAGATCTTGAGAAGTACGATGGTTTCGTTATCAGTGGAAGCTCTCACGACGCCTTCGAGAATCATGATTGGATCCTTAAGCTTTGTGATATCGTTAAGAAACTCGATGAGATGAAGAAGAAAGTTCTCGGCATCTGCTTTGGTCACCAGGTTCTTTTCTTTTTCCTATAATCCCCTGTTTTTATTTTTTTTCATTTTTTCCACCAATTTAATTGTTAATTATTGGTTAAAGATGCCCTTTTAAAGAAGTAACTTCCAATTTATGAATGGGTCGTATCCATGAATAATAGGTCAATGATTTATGAATGGAGAAGTGCAGTATTGAATAAGTCATGAGATGACAAGAAATGTTAGGATTTATTAATATCGAATAACGAAATAGCAAGGAAATAGCAAAAGACAGACAACACACACTTTGTGTAATGTTTTTGTGATTAAGATTAAAGATTTCCTCTAATCCGAAAAGTTGGATTTACTTTAGATCATAGCCAGAATAAGAGGAGGAACCGTGGGAAGAGCAAGAAAGGGACCGGAACTTAAACTCGGAGACATAACCATCGTTAAGGATGCGATTAAGCCGGGAAGTTACTTCGGAAACGAGATTCCGGATAGCATAGCGATCATAAAGTGCCACCAGGACGAAGTGTTGGTGGTGCCGGAAACTGCCAAAGTACTAGCTTATTCCGACAACTACGAGGTGGAGATGTTTTCTATTGAGGATCATTTCTTCTGTATTCAAGGACATCCCGAGTATAACAAAGAGATTCTCTTCGAGATCATCGATCGTGTTCTTGGTCTTGGCTACATCAAGGTTTGTTTTATTTCCCCACTTATCCCGTAGTAGTTTACTGAATAAAAAAATATGTAGAAAAGTCCAAATAAGGGTTAGATCTTGGATTAAAGTATTCACTGGATAGAATTTTATTATAAATTAGGGTGTTTTTTATTTATTTTGGTTAGTAACTGCAGTACATGTCAGATCTTGTTGCCTTGCTAGTTGATCATTATATAATTGTTTATGAATTGAATAAAGTAACAATGAGAACAAAATCTGGAATATGTAATTGATAAGTTATGGATTAATTTTTGCAGCAAGACTTTGCGGACGCGGCAAAGGCATCTATGGCGACTAGGGAAGCAGACAGGAAACTTTGGGAGACGGTTTGCAAGAATTTCCTCAAAGGCAGACTTCCCACTAATTAATTATTTTCACTCCCAAATTCTCTATTTGGTTCGTGTTATATTGGAACATTTTATGGATTTGTTATCTTGCTCTATTCCTCCTATTTAATGTATAACCTATTAATCTCATCATGTCATATTTGTGTTGTATAAGGAAATGAGTTCAATAAAAATCATTTGCAGTTTTTGCATGTCATCTTAGGCTCCAAGCGTTCTTTAGTTATCTGATTGAGGAGTCTATTTTTTTCTGTTTACATTTACTTATACTGATCCGAAAGAACCTTTAGTTTTGACTAAGAGACTTAACCTAAGACAGTATATTCGCAAGGTAAACTACGCAAAAAGAAAATACACAGATTGATAATAATCTATACCAAGAAAATAATCAAGAAATGTGTGTTTGAGAGAGAGAATATATCCTAATATCGTGCTCTCTCTGTCTTGGCTACATCAAGATTTGTTTTATTATTCTCCATCTCATTGTTAGTGTACAGAACAAAATATGCAGAGAATAAAACTGAGTTCATAAAGTTGGATTTAGTATTTAAAAAACTTGGATTTAGTAAATTTGGGTCAGAATTGGACTAACACACCCGGACAAATAATATTTATGGATATGTTTTTGGTGCGAATTCGTTTTAGGAAGATATGAATTAGGCTGCTTTTTAGTTAGTCACCTCAATTTAGTACACCTCACAATAGCACTTGATCCAATATTCCATTTTCCGTAACTTATGGGGGTGTTGGTGCCTTAATGGTATAATCTCAGCTATGCTGATTATCATTGTTTTATAACCAAAAATAAAGTACGAATGAGAACAACATCTGGAATATATTTCAGAGATATCAAATCTTTTTTATTTAACATATTATCTGAAATTTGTGGCCACGATGGAGAATAGAGCAGACAATAAAATTTGGGGGAAGATTTGTAGGAATTTCCATAAAGGTAGACTTGCGAGTAATTACTTTCAACTGTGTTTCATCCTTACATATAATTCTTAACTGGGATTGTTTTGGGGGTCTAACTAGTTTGCATGTAAAGATTTTTATTCTGTCTTTAGTTATTGCATTTTCCCAAAAGTTCATTTGATTCGTACTTATATGGTTGTAGACTTGTAGTGTTGTAATCTTTTGGAAATAATTCTCTATAGTGTAATCTTACACCATTACCGAAAGTAGATTTTTAGGACGAGATTCTTTATCCACTTTTACTTATGAATTACTTAAGAAACAATGAGTAAGGATGAGAAACCGCGATTTTGGATATTTAAAAAAATTATGTGAAATATATTCGATACTATACAGGACATGCAATTAAAATATCGGGAGGTCCGATAAGTTTTGATATTTTAAAACTATCTAATTAAATTCTTCAAAGTTTGAATAGAACTAAGAAAAAATTAAATAAATTTGGAGAAATTTTGATTATTGAATTTTCGTTTTTGTTGGAAAAGTTCTAGAAATTTTGGATATTTTTAAATAGTTTAGATATATTTTAAATAATTTAAACTATCCAGAAAGAGCAACTTTGGTATTCTTTTACATAACCAACATGTTACCGTTGCTGTCAAAAAAAAAAACTCAACATGTTACCGTACCCATAACGATTGTATCAAAATGGTTATTAAACGGGTCTAATATATGTGATCTTCATTCGCTTGCTCATGAATAACTGTTTTTGTCTAATGTACGTCGTTGACCAGCTTTTCTAATCCAATGTAGAGAAAACCTTTGTTACTTCTTTTGTCTTCAGATTAGTTTTCAACCAAAATTAGTTAAAGACGGAGAGAGAGAAAATGAGCCCTGAGGTATTCAGTGATTCACATTACATTTATGGACTGAAAATTTCAAGTATATAAAATAAAATAAACATCGACAAAAACATATATATGCATTGATCCACTTACTAGTTAGTTAATGATTACGATCCACAAAGTATCAATGCCAAAATATACACGTTGCGTTGGAATCAAATGAAAATAATGCCAACAATTATCACGTGTGCAATTTAAATGAAACGAACTAAAACCGTTACGTATTTTTGAACAGTTTCAACGATAGTACACCGGAGAAACCTAAATGTTTCCCTCAATAACTCAAGTTAAAATCGATCTAGATGCACAGCTTTTTTACCAGCTTCGAATTCATAAACTGAATGGCTGCGAATCTTGTGATATTCCAAAGATATTTTAAAATTTATCAATGGACCAAACCAAGAACCGGTTCTTATAGATCAAACCAAAGTGTCCTCCTCCTACATATATGCCCTAATATTTCTCTCAAATCTCTCACCCCTCACTACAACTATAGCTCTCTCCCTGACTCTCTATTACAATGGTGAAGCAGACAGGACGATACGCTCTGTTGCAGGCTACACCGGATTCTGAGTTCGTGAAGGAGATGTACGGAGGTTACTTCAACGTATTTGTGTCGGCTTTCGGCGACGAAGGAGAGCAGTGGGACCTTTTCCGTGTGATCGACGGCGAGTTTCCCTGCGAAGATGATCTTGAGGGGTATGACGGATTCGTCATTAGCGGGAGTTTGCATGACGCTTTCGCAGAAGAAGATTGGATCATTGAGCTTTGCTCTGTTTGCCAAAAACTTGATGTGATGAAGAAGAAAATTCTTGGCATATGCTTTGGTCACCAGGTTTCATATATATTATTATCATCCAAATGTTTTTCGATTATTTTAAATAGGTTTTTAATTATCAGGCAAGTAATTCATTATATAATATATATATATATATATTTATAAATATTTCTTAAAATTCTCTTCTTTTTTTTTTTTAAATGAAGAACGTACACGCATGTGTATGTTTATTGTTTTGCCTAACCTCATAAGCTATGTTGTAGACTAGTGCTGAACTAGATGAATCTATATTTATTCAAATATTCATTTAAAAGAACTGTGCATGATTAATATCAGCCTAACTATTAATTAATGTTTCTTTTGGAATATAATTTGAAAAGTTAACAACAGCCACCCCACGGAAACATGTTTTTAAAAGTGAAAATGTTATAAAGAAAAGAGTTATAACATGATATGTATATATATACTCAAATATCACGGAAATAAAGAAAAGAAGAAGATATTCTTCTAAAACGATATATTTAAAAAAAAATCGAAATTGTAAAATGATATGTATAAATATTATTACTTCAAATTTTATTTCTTAATTAGCATGTATTTTAGTACGAATATATATAGTTGAATTATATATATAGTATGAATATGTATAGTACGAATATATATAGTACTAATATATATATATTTAGCAAAGAAAAAACTATATGCCAAACGATATTAATGTGTAGTTGAATTAGTTTCATCTACACATATGGTGGTGGTAAATAATTCTCAAAACAATATATCTTCTTGTTTTTTTTGGATTAGATAATATGTAGAGTAAGAGGTGGGAAAGTGGGAAGGGCTCGTAGAGGACCAGACATGGGCCTCGGTAACATAACCATCGTTCAAGATTTAATCGAACCGGGAGGTTACTTCGGAGAAGAAGTTCCCGAGTCTTTGTCGATCATAAAATGTCACCGTGACGAAGTACTTGAGCCTCCTGAGTCGGCCAAAGTCATTGGATTCTCGGGCAAGTGCGACGCTGAGATATTCTCTGTGGAAGATCACTTGCTTTGCTTTCAAGGCCATCCCGAGTATAACAAGGAGATTCTCTTGGAGATCATTGATCGTGTCAACAAGATCAAATTTATCGAGGTTTGTTTAGTCTCTTATAGTTTTATTCCTACTTTTCATGTTGTTAAACCGTCGAAGCTTCTGATCATATATATCTTGTTCTTGAATCTTGCTTTACTACATCCCTAGCACTAAAAGGATAGTTCGGTTCGGGTTGGTTTTGTTCGGTTTGAGTAAAACTTATACATATAGGAAAATCAAACCAAACTTATCTGTGGTCCAGTTACATTTATTTGTTAGGTTCAACTTTATGTATTCGATTGTACGGTTCTTGTTTAAGTTTGTCTTCGGGTTGCTTCATTTTATTTGACTTCTTATTATGCTCCGGTTTGAATTTAGATTGGTTGGTCCCTTGGGGAAAATATATGTTCCCACTTAAACTCTGTTGTTTATATATATATATTATATAGCTGATGAGTAAAATGGATTTTTGTTTCTTTTTAACAATAAAAATTTGTAGGGGGAACTTTTGGAGAAAGCTAAGGGTTCGGTAGAGAAGATCGAACCAGATACGCAGCGTTTGCACGTGCTTTGCAAGAATTTTCTGAAAGGACGAACCAACTTTGTTTGACTATTCCATGTCCATGGTCTAGACTCTGGTCTCTAATAAATCAAACTACTTTGTGTGATTTCATAACTATTATATGGTACGGAGATACCAAATAATATGACATATTATCAATTACCGATAAGCAAAACAAAAGACTGGTATGTAATTTGGTAGTTTAGGGTATCTCCATCCGTTATATACTCTGAAAGTCTCTTAAAAAAGAAAAATATTAGTATTTAAATTATCAAAAAATCTAAACCAATCACAAGAAAACATATGTTAAAAGAGTTTGTTAAAAAACTTGGAATCGTGTTTTAGAAAGGAAACTAAGAAACGTTTCTTCTCCTTCTTTCTTAGTTTTTATTATTTTATTAATATTTTTTTTTTAAACCACTATCATCGATGGAGATGGTCTTATATCATATTTAATGTATGTTAAATATATAATCAACTTTATGAACTGATATCTTACCTAAATAAAAGGGAACATGGGAGAAAGCGTGTTCAGTATCTAATTTAGTCAATGCAATCTTCATAATAAATGTTTCACACTTTTACTATTAGTATATTATTCCTATACACATAAAACTTGATAATGGACGGTGGGGATTCTCCGAACCTATTTGACTTTTGTTTTTTTTTTTTAAATTGTTTTGTTCTCAAACAAAAAAAATCTCACTTGGCATGTGTGTGAACGTGTTCACCGTCATGATATAACAGCATTCACATTCTCCGAATCTCTCTCCCTCTTTCTCTCCCTCTTTTTCTGCATCCGTGATCTCCGAGGAAGAAGATGGTGGAGCTGAAGAAGAGGTTCGCTCTGTTTCTGGCGACATGCGACTCCGAGTTCGTGAAGAAGACTTATGGAGGCTACTTCAATGTCTTCGTCTCGACTTTCGGCGATGAAGGCGAGCAATGGGATCTCTTCCGAGTGGTCGACGGCGAATTTCCCGACGAGAAGGATCTGGAGAAGTACGACGGCTTCGTTATCAGCGGTAGCCCACATGATGCTTTCGCAGACGCCGATTGGATCGTCAAGCTTTGCTCGGTTTGTCAGAAACTCGATGAGATGAAGAAGAAGGTTCTCGGCATCTGTTTCGGCCACCAGGTTCTTTAATTGAGATTTTTAGTTTCAATTGTTTACATTTTTGATTTGGATCTGGTCAATTGAATTTCTTAGGGTTTTAGTTAGAATGTGTATATTGTGGTACACACATCTTGCTCGATGATAATCCGAATATGACATTTCATTTCTCAGGTCGACCATATTCTATTTTTAGCAATCGAATCAAATTTAGCTCATTCTGATTGATTTCATGATCAAAAATAGTAACTTCTGTATCAGGAATTATCTGGTGAAGAAATAGCTGGTTTCTTGGAATTGCTTTTTCTGTATGTTGGTTTGATTCGTTGAAATGCTTGGCATTTGTTGAATCACTGTTGCGTGCTGTAAATTTGAGCTAATGGCTTTGTGTTTGATCCAGAGAGTTTTCTTGATGAATGGTTTCTTTGTCTCTGCTCCAGATAATTGCTAGAGTCAAGGGAGGGAAAATAGGAAGGGCTCGTCAAGGCCTAGACATGGGATTGAGAAGCATAACCATAGCAAAGGACAATGAGAGACTCGGCGCTTACTTTGGAGATGAGTTCCCGACATCTTTAGCCATTATCAAATGCCATCAAGACGAAGTGTTGGAACTCCCCGAGTCTGCCACGGTTCTTGCCTCTTCCGAGGTTTGCGAGGTCGAGATGTTTTGTATCGGAGACCAGTTTCTCTGCATCCAAGGGCATCCCGAGTATAACAAGGAGATTCTGTTTGAGATCGTGGACCGTGTCGTCAACATGAAGCTTATGGAGGTAAAACAATTGGGCAGTGTTCATGTCCTCGATATCTTTCAGCTTTATTGAACGTTTAAGTATTGGCATTGCAATGTGATCGATTTTTTTCTGCAGCAAGAGATTGCGGATAAGGCCAAGAGTACGATGGAGACTGCGCAACCAGACAGGAAGCTATGGCAGAAGCTCTGCAAAAACTTTCTGAAAGGCTAATCTGAGCAAGTTTACATTTTACTATCAAAATGTGACATCTCTTGATGAACCTGCAAGTTCCTTTATATTTTTTCTTCACCAAACAGAAAGAAAACACATGAAAACAATCAGAAATGATCATTTATATTTAGCCTCCTTTTTTCTTATCTTAACGTTGCAGCACAAATTGAAGCACATATTGAACAATAACAAAAAAAAAGTCAGTTTGAGTTATAAGCGTTCATAGATATATATTTGTACTTGTATACATGTAGTCAGCAACTTTGTTTTTCAAGAATCATCATCATCAGCAGAGAAGTCAGGTTCTGAAGGCTTCTGAAGTTTCACAAGTTCCTTACTAGACTTTGCTGCGATACGGTTCTGGTGAACTTTCCGAAGAGCATTTGCGGCAAACTTTGACGCCAAGAGCGTCGCTCTGATGCTAGTAACCGACCCTTCTCGTTCTTCTTCTTCTTTCTTAAGCTGCTCAAGTTTCTTCTTCTTCACGTATCGTCTCCACGCGGCTTGTATAAATATAGCAGCCCAGGTCCTCCATTGCTGTGAGTAGAATCTGAAAGTGTGCTGAACTTGCCTGCTGTGCAGTCTCCTGAACTGGCTAGCCACGAACTTGAGCTCATCGGCTATCAAAGCGAAAGCCTCTACTTCGGTTAGAGCCTTTGCGGTTCTGGTCGAGGACGGTAGGTTGGAACCGGATTTGGGATCAAGCGCCCATGTCAAGAGCTCCTCGCCGCAGAAATCTCCTTCTTTGAGCAAACTCCGGTTGAAGAAACCGCTTCTCCCGCCGTCAGTGGTCACACTCTCGAGCCGACCACGGATTATGAAGAGCATCTCGTTGACCGGGTCTCCTTCTCGAACCAAATAGGAGCTCTCCGTGAACAGACACGGCTTCAACCTCTCACAGATTGCATCGAGCAGCCTCTCTTCCATATTCTCAAACAATGGAACCTTTCCATAAAAACAAGAAAGAAAGAACAAGATGGTTTTCATTAATGAATCAAGAAGAGAAAAAGAAAGGCTTTTTGAAAGTAGAATCAACTTACCCTCCGAACCAAAGCCAGACAGAGATGGCGTTTGATATCTCTTCTCAGATCCTTTGGGAGGTTCTGAACCAGATTCTCTTCATCAACTCCGCGTGTCTCCAACCATTTGTACTGGTCATATCGTCTGACCCGTTCCCGCAGGTCCGGTGGAAGCATCCGATGATGCATCCACTGTTCCGAGTCGCGTCTTTTCACTCTCATTTCCTCGAGCCGGATAGTAAGCGACTGAAGATAAGTCTGCATGTTCCCAATGAGAAGAGCAAAGAGCAGAAGCCCAGCGATAGCAAGTGCTATGGAGAATATAACCTCTCCAGGGTATGTGCTGGTTTGAAGCCCTTGACCAAGTGTGCTGCATTTTGACATCCACGAGGTTACTTATGCAAAAGAGACTTTGATATATAATATGACTATAAGACCAATTATACCTGAGATTCTGAAGTCCCCACCAGAGACAGAAGAAGTATTTGGAGACAAAGCTGTTTGATGAGACAATGCCAGAGGACAGGGCTCTCAAGTAGATTCCAAAGTCGAAAGGAGGATTGTCACCATCGGTGACATTGACGGGACAATTTATCTGAAGAACAGAGTCTTTAATGGTACTCCAAGCAGCATAACCATCCATGATTTCATTACCGCAGAACAGGAAGTTTCTGGAACAGGAGGTCCCGTTACTAAGGCAAGCCTTTTTCCAGCATCCATTGATGCGTTCTAAAGCCAGTAAGTACCACAAAGCCCCAACGATCTGTAAAGCAAGTACAAAAGTCAGAGTTATGTTTCGAGTATTATATAAGAGGAAAGGGTAAGCAAAAGTTAGTAAGAGTACTGACATGACTAGCGAGCATGTAGAGCAGCAAGTAATAAGCTGCACCAGCCCAAGCGGTTTCAGCAAACACACCAGCTGTTCTCTTTAGCTCTGAGCTCAAAGGATAAATCCGAATGAATCTCGGAATGTATTGAGCTAAGATGATAGATCGCAACGCTTGCTTTGTCGCCAGCACATTTGCACCTCCAGAGGTGTAAAGAAATCTCCAAACTACAATCTGTAACAGTCGACATAAACTTTTATCATCAAAGATTCAGAAGATAAAACAATGGAAACGAGAGAAACTTAGGAGGAGATTTTTCTGTTTATTACCTGTGGGAGTGGAAGCACGGAGAGAAAATCAACGATGAAGTACTGAAGCAAATACCGTTTAGCGATCTGTGCAGGGTCGATCACAAGCTCTCCACGCCCGAAAACCCGGGAAGAAGGAGCGACAAAAGCTGTTCTAAACCGGAGAGCCATGTGGAAAAGATAAAAGGCATCGATCACTGTCCTCAGCGTCGTCGCTATGATAGCCAATCTCCGGTCTATGCCTATACATTTGTCTTTATCGTCAACAAACGGAAGATACAAGAAGAGTGGATCCACAGACACGGCGAGGATGCAAGAAGTGACAAACAGCTTGTTGCAGAGCAAAAGAAACTTGTCCTGTGGATCGAATATCTTCTTCTCTGATACTTTAAGATCTTCTGGAAACACAGCTCGTGAGACACCGAGCCCGATCGATCTTCCTATAGACCAAAGCCCTTTAGAACCACTGCTAAACCCTTTCTTAAAGGAACCAGATGACGATGGTGCATTGTTGCCCTGAGCACCACGTGTTGGTCTTTGTATGTTGAGTGTGCATTTGTTCAGAGTTGACTCAGAAGTATCCTGCGAGTACCTAGAATCCATACTATCCAACCTGTGAAGAACAAAAGAATCTAAAGAAACCCTTTTAATTCTCAAACCAGAAAGTGAATGAAACAGTATGTGAACCTGATAAAAAAAAAGTCTTGTATATCGTGTCTAGATGTTACAGAAACTGTATATAAACTAGGAGCAGACCAAGATTTCATCAAGTTTATATAATAAGATAGAATAAAGGAGAATTCTTTATAAACTAGTTACCTTACAAATTTCTCGAGTTGGCCACTGATTACTTGTGATTTCACTGTTTTTTTGCCACAGTCGAACATGCTTTTTCCCTGTGACTCAAACTCATGAATCACACACAAGCCAAAAACCTGCTTTCACACAAATAAATGAATAAACAATTATCATAATAAAACCATTTTAAGCACCAAATCCAAAAAACACAACTAAAAAAAACCGATGATATATATAAAGCACCAAACATGTGATGTTTATTTCCAGAATTTGTCTCAGAATCATTCGGTTCATGGATTGTTTTCGAAGCCATTTCGTTGACCAGTAAAGGATTCAAATTGACGGAAAACTTTCAAGAGAAACACAAATTTTTTTCCAAAATTTCAAACGAAAAAACTAATTCGTAAAAGAGAAAAGTGTGGCCAAAATCTAGCGATTGAGAGGAAGTACAAAAATAAAGGATGATTCCACAGAGAGTTATAGGGAAAATAAGTAGAGAGGGAATGTAAGGATACCGAAGAAGACGAAGAAGAAGAAGAAAGACGGTCTAAGGAAGTTTAGGGCGGAGACGAAAACGGGGGAGGAAGAAGAAAGTGAAGAATTGTGGGAGGAGACGAAGTCGTTTCAAAGATTAAACAAACACAAATGGATTTGACAAAGAGACTGAAACTGTCTCCGTGCCGTCCGGGTCCGGGTCCACCCGCTTTATACCTTCTAATATATACAAATGCAGTGAAATTCTTAGTTACAAGACAAATCTATAAAATGTGAAATCTTTTACTAAGAAAAAATGACATAAAGTTGCCTAGCCTATATACACAATAATCATGAAAAAGACAACACAGTCACAAACTGTCTGCACAATCTAAAGTTTCAGTTGTTTTCTTATTTTATACTTGGACTACTTTTAGAAGAAAAAAAAACAATTTTATAGAAAAATTTATATATTTTAGACGATATCTAACTTTATATATTTTGAAGAAAAAAAATAAAAAAATCTAACTTTATATATTTTATAGACGATATCTAACTCTGAAAAGTGAAAACATACATGCGATGCAGCTTTTTGTCGGTTGGCAACTTAACTAATTCCAATTTTAGTATGACATTCTGTATTTTATTGAAATTTTATTCTTTCATCGGCCAACTCCTTATATTAAGATAATTAATCTTCGAAGGATACAAAACCCATATAGCTGAGACGGAAGCAGTATAAATGTTCTAAACATTAGGAATTTTGTATCTTTTTGGGTTCAAAATGATGGAATTTTATAAATGATTGAGATTTGAGAATAACAGAAAAATAATGACAAAGACATGTGTAAGAGTAAGAAAACCTATAAGACTAACAAAGGAGAAAAAGCCTACAAGTTTTCTCAACTCCGAATCAAAGAAATTATAACCCAATAAGTCCCCCAAAGAAGCCATTCCACGTTCTTCTGACTCTGGCTCATGCATCTAAACTCTTACAATTTTAAACCATAAAATTGACATTTTCTTTTAAAAAGTCACTCAAAATCTGAAACATATTTTTCTTCTTTCACATGTAAAAACGATTAGCTTCTCATTGTTCATCAAAAAACAACGTTTGAGATCAGTTGCTCAAGAGGTTCATAGATTCTGCAATCTTGTTTCTGGCCTCGTTGCAAAGAACATCTGCTTTGCTTCCATGTATCGGCTTATGGATGATGACTCTGACACTCCCATTGTTCAGTATACCTTCACTACCCGTCGGCATTATTTGGCCTGTTCCCATTAGTGTGATTGGAACTACAGGAACTCCGGTCTTCGCAGCCACCGTAAACGCGCCTTTCTGTCAATATCAGGTTTCAAGAAGCGTCTTATGTTAAACACACGGACCAGAACATGATCAAGAATCTAGAGATTGTGTTTACCTTGAAAGGACCTAACCGACCATCCTTGCTCCGTGTTCCTTCTGGGAAGAAAAAGACAGATGCTCCTTTCTTTAAGAGTTCCATGCAACGTTTTAAGCAATCCTATAAATTGCAAAAAGAGTTAAAAAAAGAGTTTTAGGAAACAAACACGTCAAAGAGTGTGGGAGAAACAGAGAGTTACTTACCACTTGGCTTCTTGGGTCCATCCGCTTCAAGGGAACCACACCCATCATGGACATGGCCCAACCGATGATGGGAATCACGAATATCCCTGTCTTGCTGATGAACTTAAAGCATTTGCCAAGACTGAGAAGTGTGTATATATCAAGAAAACTTTGGTGGTTTGATACATATACAGCAGGAGTGTCAGATGATGGCAGATTCTCCAAACCCTTGATCTCTATTTTGTAAAACGGATAAATGCTTATCGAAGCCCAGATTTTAGCAATGAAGTGATGGAACTTTCTCCTATAGCGATCAAAGAGAAGGACGAACGGATGCCCAACAATCATCAGGACGATGAGAAAAATGGCAGAGATGGCAGCAACGACACAAAAGCATATCCCTCTGAGTCTTGAGCTCAACTTAATCTCTGCACTTCAAAGTTGAAAGACGAGAACGAATTGTGTATAGAGCTTTAGCCAAAGCAGACAAAAGTTGATGATAACAAAGCTTTAGCCAAAAAGACAAAAACCTGGTTGTGGACAAGAAGATTCAGGGGTAGCAGCTCCTGAAAGATCCGATCTTACAGTGATACCTCTCGCCGAATCACTTAATCTCTGTGATTTCTTGTCATGAGCTTTGAAAGGATCACATCTTAAAGAGCGTGTAGACCATTGTACATCATTACGCCTTGCTTCGCCCATAAATTTTCCCTTAGGAGCAGCTGAAGAAGAAGCAAGTAATGATTTAAGATACTCATCTCACACTTAGAAATTAAAAAAATACAAATCTTGATTGCCTTTACCATGAAGGGAAGTACTCAAGCTCGTCATGCCATTCGAAATACGACCAAAACAACATACTTTATCCCGAGAAATCTGCATTTCCAATAAATTTCATAAAATTAGAAGCAGCTCATACACATAGGAGATAGAATAAGAGGTCAAGTTTCCGAATTTTCATGGTCAACCAATTCCAACTATCTAAATCCACACCAAAATCTCTACATAAGCAGAAAAGTTTTTAGTTTGAAACAGAAAGAAAAGATCATCATTCAAGTTAATAAAAAGTCCTAATCAAGCTTCCACCTTTCATTTTCCATTATTTTCTCAGAGATACTACAGATGAATCAATCACTCCAGAGTAAATAAACCAGAAAATGATAGTTTTTAACGAAAATATACCCGAATCAAGGATGACTGTGATGAACAAATTGGTTTTCCATAATCTGAGAACATGATTAAGAGAGAAAAAAAAAACAGTTATCCCGAGGAAAAATAAGTTACGTTTCACGAACATAATCAAGGTAGATTCAGAACAGAGTGTGCGTATACATGGAGGATGTGAAGAGACGCCCCGAGCAGAAGCGACATCCATGGCGGAATCTCGAGCAAAACATCCGTGAGATTTGCTCATGTAATCTGTGGCTTATCACAAAATTCGTTGCTCTACTGTTTTCACTTTCTTAACATCAACTGTGTGTCGTCTGCCGCTGACGAAGCGGCGAGTTGCATTTTCTCGTTCGTGATATAGACTACATGCCGTTTGAGTATTAAAAAATGCTTGTAAACAACAAGGCCTTTTATAGTCAATTAACAATAGCGGCCCATTAGGCTTTCTCTGTATTAACTGCTTTAAGGTTTGACTTTCGACGGTCATAGGAAGTTCACAAAATTATACGCCGGATTTGTTGTAGACAGTATTTGTCATTAAATATGTCAAAAAAAAAAAACTGTTCTTAAATTTTAAATATGATAATAAATCTTTGCTTTATAGTTTCGGTAATAAATTCATAACTTTGTTCGAAAAAACTCATATTAGAATTTAATATCGAATTGTACAACGATTGTTAGAGTAAACATGTAATCTAACTTGCTTCTAAAACGGTCTCATGAAATTTCTAACATTTCTAACATTGAAATTTCAATTAGTATGGATATAATCTTAAACCATCGTTAAAATATCAAAAAGAGAGAGATTCTTGGACGCCATAAATTAATACTATTAAATTAAATTTAGGAAGAAAAAAAACTTAAATTTAGAGATCTTTCATGTTGAAAACTAAGGAACAAAAGAAACTTGAAACAATCTGGAAACAAAACAAAAAAGACAGAAAAAAACGAAAACTAAATCTTGCTAAAACTTGGAAACGATAAAATAAAAACTAAAATCTCTCGATCGATCCATCTCTAAGCCATAGCAAAACCAATAGCAATTGCGGTGAAGAACAAACCGCTTCCCACACCGGACCCAACCGCAGCGTTACGGCGTGCATGAGCTGGAGCTGGAGCTGGAACTGGAGCACTAGCCGGAGAAACCTTAGGACTGTCACCATCGCTACCACCGTCACCAGGTTTGCGTTCAGACAAAACAATAATAGTAATCTTCTCGCCTTTAACGCAGTTACCACCAGGAGCGCCACTAATGAAGAAATAAGCTCCTGAGTTTTCCAGCTTGACCTTTGTGTCTCCATCATTATATTGCTTCAATGGCGCTGTTGTGTTGCAACTATCGTAATCTTGTTTTGTCACTTGTAATACAGAATCTAGTTTGGCGTCGTACTTCCACACTATTCCACATGCATGATAATTTCATCAATATAAAAAACCATATAATTTACAAAAATATATGATATGCCATTATATATGAGAAATGAAGAAGTGGAGAAAGAGAATAGTACAGAGAGTGTCGCCGACTTTGAAACGATTGTTCTCGGCCCAGTGATTGAGAGTGTCGTTGGAAGAACCTGGAACCTTCCACGAATCCGCAGATCCACCGACCAGGATCACCCTCTTGGAGGCAGCATGGTTCACTTTAGTAAGTAGGAGGAAAACAAGGGTCAAAACTGGAACTATGATTCCCATTTTTTGGATTTTTTTTCAAGAACACAACTCTTTGTTATTGTTTTTTTTTTTTTATAAGTGGAGTTGGTCTCTGGTTTGCTTTTGTTTTCTCTCTTGGTGAAGAGAAATGGAAATGGTGGATGCTGTATTTATACCCGTTGTGGTTTGGAGCTAAATAGTGTCTTTATTTGGTTCGGGCGATCCGAGCCAAGCTTGAAAAATATGGTCTTAATGAGTATTAAAGTTTAAAGTGTAACCTCTCTCGGATTTGCTAAACAATTATTGGCAGTTTTTACTCACTCGTTACTGCAAAAATTATGTTCCAATAATTCTTTCGTTAAGATAAATTTTTCGTTTTCCTTTTCTAACTTTTCATACTTATCCATTAAAAAAAAAAATTAATTCACGTTTTGTATAAAAGTCCAGGATAATTTTAGAAACCACTTCATATATTTTTATTCTTCACAATCTAAATATCTACAGTGATATCTTTGATTGAAATTACGATGGAATTGAAGTTCTTGAGTTTTATCATTGATCCACATGGTGATATATATGATATCCTCTTAAACCACCATGATCCATGAATGAATTGTAATTTTTATTTTTATCCTATATATTACTTCAATTAGTTCACAAAATTTAATATATATGACATTTTCCAAATATCTCCACTTCTTTCTTTTGAGTGTCAAATATTAGAAGATTACTATGTTTCAAAATTTTAAGGGAATCTCTACAAAATGTCAAAACGTTTAAAGCTGCTACACAAAGAATCGTCCGATGCTAATAAAAAGTATATACAACGTCTTGGAACAAAAACACATAATTTTACAATGTATATGTATAACGTAACAAGTAGTCTAGTACCAATTATGTAATCTTTGACCCCGGACAATATTCTTATAAACAGCTAATAAAACCAGTGCATTTCTTTGTGTAATACATGTATACGGTAACGGATTTTTGATACAGCTAACAAAGATAACATATGTAAAGAAAAACAATTGATACGGTAACGGATTTTGATACGTTTGGCATGAACAAAATCCTCGTGGCTATAATTGATAGTTAAGACTTACGAGCCGTTGTAGTCGAAAATTAAAACATCTTAATGGCGCTATTAATCGATATGGATTCCGTTTTTTTTTTAAAAGAAAATGATGTGGAATCCGTTTGTGCTGTGATTAAGGGTCCTACATCTCGTATTGTTCAATTCATTGTTCTTTGTCTAATATAATTAATTCCTTATTATTGATATCATGATCGATGCTAATTATACTGTTGCTTCTTTGATTTGGGTGTAACCTGTTGCTAGTTTGACGAGACAATATCGTTTCCTCTTATCATATCTCTGCTACGTGTTTCAATAATACGAGAACGTTTTGATTGAGTGATATGTTTGGACAATAAAGTTTCATTAGTCCTAATCTCAAGTTATATTAATTTGTATAAGATGTAGCTAGTGAATGATCTTTCTTTTTTTGTCTTCTTTCACCATTTTGTGTTATTATATTCACTCTTCTGAGAGAATACTTGTGTTCCAAGACACATACAAACAAATGTACAAAACTGATCATTTCTTTTACAGAATAAGGCTTCATTTTATTTCTGGTTTTATTTTGCAAATTTTCCAAGAAGAATCACACACATTTGCTAAAACATATTAAATCATCTGTTAAAACATATTAAATCATATAACGGCCTTGGATGATAACATCCCCACTGCTATAAACTTCAGCGTCGGCGACGTGAACATCTTTGCCAAGAACCGTTACGTTAGCTAGCCGAGCCCACCTTCCAACGCTCGAACCCCATCCCACGATGCTATCAGATACACAAGCACTTGTCTTGACCCGAGCACCACGCATTACGGTGCAACTAAACAATCTCACACCTGATTCAATCACACATCCCGGACCAATCACCACATCAGGTCCGATCAAGCAGTGTTCTCCTACAACCGCGGTTTCATCCGCAAGAACATTCCCAATGATGTGGTCTCCTGCAGCCAGTTCCTTTGGCGCTTTCTTTCTCAGAGAATCGAGATACATTCTCTGCCCGGTTATGTAATCTTTCGGCTGACCAATATCCATCCAAAAGCCAGGGAGCACCATGGCGTAAAGCTTCTTCTCAGAAGCAATCTTAGGGAAGATCTCTTTCTCTATCGATGTACGTCTCAGCTCGATCCTGTCAAGAACAGATGGGTTCAAGAGGTATATCCCAGCGTTAATCTTGTCCCCAACGAAATGTTTCGGTTTCTCAACGAAACTCTCAACTCTCGATGCAGCTTCTTTCTCCATAACCACCACACCGTACTTGGAAGGATCATCAACCTTGGTCACCATGATTGAAGCTTCAGCGGCATGAGTTTGATGGAATTGGATCATCTCTAGCAATGGATATTCGCAGATAACATCGCTGTTGAGTACAAAAAAGGGTTTGCCTGATTCGTCCACAAGCTTATCCCGAGCCAGCGCGAGAGGCCCTGCTGTTCCTAAGGGTTCGGTTTCTTGTGAGAAAGTGATCTTAATCTCTAGCTTCTTCTCATATTCCTTCACAAAACTCAGCATCACCTGAGAAAACACAAGGAGTATGTATGAATCACAAGAAACCTTTTCAATGGTTTTGTAAGTAAGTTTTTAAGAACAAATTTTTAATCTACCTCAGGTTGTTGGTGATTGATAGCTAATACAACCTCAGTGACTCCAGCATCTTTTAGAGCTTCAATCTGTTTCATTGTCGATCATAAATGAGAAAAGAAACATGTAAACATCGAGCTGTGCACAAAGGAAACAAAAGACACAAAAGCTATATACTTGATGCAGAATCATGGGCTTGTTTCCAAAATCAACAAGCGGTTTTGGCATGCTCAAGGTAAGCGGCCTCAAGCGAGTTCCGAATCCTCCGACGAGAATAAGAGCCTTCATTTTGCACTTGACAATGATATATTATATATCCAAACCCACAAGAAGGTGTGCCCTAGAAATTATTCTGGAAAGCAAAAAACAAAATCTTCAATTACGCAAGCACAAGTATTTTCAGTTCAACTAAATCCACGACCACGATCCAGAGAAGGTAAAAATGTAGGCATCTTTTATGTCTGGTAAAATAAATAAAAAAAGTAATAAGATTTCCAAAAAGAGATTCATACAGCGAAACTCACATGAATTTGTTTGAATGGCCACAGATTTTGTGGAGAAGAAGACGTCTTCTCAGATCTGGAAGGACTCTGTCTCCTGGTTTCCCAATACTGCTGTTACGTACGAGCATGAGTCCGTAACTGCTCCATATAAGCCAAGAAACCCTCCTTTCAATCAATTTCTTTTTTTTATTGACAACTAATCAAATAGATTATCACTAATATAGCTCCAAAATAGTTATAAACTCAGTGATTTTCTATATTTTATATATTCAACAAAATCAATTTGTTACCTTTTATAACAGATTTTATAGCCATTTGTGTTTTCGTTTCTTATATTACTCTTAAATCTTATTATATCAAATTTATAGTCTCTTATCACAAATCGACATGTTTGTCTGGCGATTAAACATTCTTTTAAAAAAATCTCCTCTCTATAATTTATCTCGTTCCTCAAATACAAGCAAGCTGTTTCGTTCGTTACCTTCAGATGTTTAGTATCGTAAAATATTTCTTCCTGAGTCGACTTTTAAATTATCAAAAAAAAAAGGCACAAGTCTGTAGTCAACAAGAAAACATATAAAGACATGCACCAAAAAAAAAAAAAAAAAACATATAAAGACAAAGGTATGAGATTGTCTCGATTCCAACGAAAAGGTCATTTTCGAGCTTTAAGAAAACAACATCACAGCCAAAGAGAAACCGTCTTCAAATCAAAAAACCAAAAACAAACAACTCAGATAAAAGTAGAGAGTATGATGGATAAGACAAGACATTTTATTGATGATGATAGATGGGTAATGATGATGATGATGATTAAGAAGCTCATTTGAGAAGTGTCTTGACAATGGCTTTGACATTGAGCTTCTTCAAGTCGGTGTAAGACTGGCCACAACCCACGAACATAACTGGTGCTCCCGATATGTAAACCATCGACAACGCTGCTCCAACCTACAACACCCCCGTCTCAAACACTCAGTTTACATTTCATCATACACAACATTTTTATAAGATCCTTCTATCAGTTTCCACTTTACCTTATCGTCAATGGTATCGAACTTTGTCAGTAAGATCCCATCAATCAAACTTGTGTTCCCAGTGTTGGAGAGATCCGAAAGTTTCTGAATTTCACAAGGCGAAAAGTTATTAAGGTTTCCATTAAAACATCTAACAAGAATCTAATGCACGTAAGTAACCGAACCTGATTAAACTTTGAGAGCTGGTCTACTGCATCGTTTCCAACAAGAGCTTCGCCAACAAACAAGACCAGGTCCGGGGTATTGAGGTTGATCAGCTTAGACAGAGCTCTCATCAAAGGTTCGTTATCCTGCATCCGACCAGCTGTGTCAACAAGAACAACATCGGTTCCATTACGTGTTGCTTCTTGTATAGCTTCTTTAGCAACCACTGCTGGATCCTTCTCGTAACCCTTTTCAAATATCGGTATCTGTTTGCCGAAATCCAATTCAAATCAGTATTTACATCATTATTAATCAACGAGTGTTTGGATATCAAAAAGCAGATGATTCATTTACCTGCAACCTACGAGCATGAGTCCGTAACTGCTCCACAGCTCCAGAACGGAATGTGTCACAAGCAGCCATCATTACACTGACCTTATGCTGCAAAAGCCAATACGCCACTTTGGCCAGATTTGTCGATTTCCCAACTCCATTGACTCCAACAAACACGACCACGTAAGGTCTCCTCTGTTCTTTGGCAGCATGAACGTCTCTCATTATATCAATGGAGCGTCTCGGAGTCAATATACGAACCAGAGCATCCTCCATTGCTCCCTGAAGTCATATGTTTCACATCAGTTAAACCCATCTCGAGATTGCAAAGTGAAATGTTTTATAGATTCAACTAGAGAGCTACAAGGACAAAACACAACACCTGAACGGTCGAAGAGACCCTTGTGAACGATGCCAGCTTCTTTCCTTCAAGACTTGCTTCCACCGATTCACAAAGCTTCCCGGCTATCTCTTCAGCCTGTGCATGAAAACCCAAGGCTCAAGTAAGACACATGACAAAGTCCAAACATAAAGAATGTTGCACTGTAGAGAAACATACCACATTCTTGGTCATGAGCCGTTCCTTCAGTGCTTTCAACGCCGGTTCAAGGTCTGTCCTTTCAAGATTCGCTTTCCCAGTAATACTAAACACAGATTTGCAGTATATGTTTTTTTTTAATATTTGATGGTAGGATAGATTAGTAAATAAGCCACAAATTTAACAACAAGAATAAACGCTAACCTCTGGAAAACTGAAGAAAACCATCCTGTCTTCTTAGCCTCAGGCTTCTCATCACTTCCTGGTTCGTCATCACCTTCACTTTCACTATCACTACTGAAAACCTCTTCCTTGTCCATCATACTCTCTCCTACGTCCGCAGCAGCAATATCTACATGATCACTGATCCCGTTTCCATCCACGGAATCAGTGAAGTCCAGTTTCTCTTGCTTCGGAGCCGCATCACTCCAAACCCTATTTTTCTTTGAAGCCTTTTTGGCAGGTTCCACAGCAGCTACCTTGGAACTCTTACTACCTATACTCTCAACTTTCCTTACACCTCCCCTACCTCTTACACCTTTACTCCTCAGTTTCTGAAGTTTGCTCAAATCAACCGCGACGTTATCAGTCGCGTTCTCTTTCCCGTTAGCAAGATCATTCTTCTGAGAACCATCTTCCATCCTATGGTTATCGTTAGAGTGACCATTGGTCAAGTTACCGACTTTGGCCTTATCACCATCTCCGTCATCTTTCTTCGTTCCACCTTCGCTGATGATCCTTCTGTTCCCTCCTTCAAGACCAGCCTTTGAGACCTGCACTTGCTTCTTAACACTGCCCACAGGCTTTCCCGCTTGCTTTGTCTTCTTCAGTTCCTCTGCCCGAGCTTCAGCTTCCTCCCTGAGCTGCCTAAAAGTCTCGCCGAAATCATCGTAAGCCATCCGCTTAGGATCATAGATCTCGGAGAAGCTCTGCTTCACCATGGAGAGGAGATCATCCACGTACAGCAAGTGGAGGATCCGCTGATAGACAGCGACAAAGACGAGCCCGAGATCGTTGTGGAACGTCCACTTGAGAGTGTAGGCGGCGCCAGGAGCGTCGTAGTTAAACGAAACGCCCCCGGATCGTTCCTCAAGGAGACATGATCGGATCAAAGTATCGATCGGTGATCCTTTGAGAGCGTTTCCAAACTCTTTGCATGTCCAGAGGATTAACCCTCCTCGGGTGAAGATTAAAAGCTGTTCTAACATCCCCGCTCTTCAATTCGCACCCTGCAGATATCAAATCCCAAAAAAGTTAACCCATTGAATTGAATCAATCAACACGAAATCGTCCAATTTCTGAACAATTCTTAAGAGGTTATCACAAATCGGAAAAACAGAGACGATGACCTCAATCCATAAGCATAAAATTAAGACATCCTAGCAGATTCAGCTAAGGAATTAACGGATCAGGAAACGCAGAAATCGATCAGAAATATGCCAATTGACGATCATGGGATCTACGGATACTCGTTTTGAATCCGAAACGAAACCAAATCGAAGACGGATCTTTGTGTATCGATGCGAAACTCAGAAGGCGAAAACAAGTAAGAGGGGTTCACGAGAAGAGAGTTGAGAGACGAATGTATCGAATCGCAGAGTTCGAGAGAGAGAGGAGGATCCAAACCTTGATTCCTGTCGTTTGTTGATACAATTGCCCCAAATGGGAGAATAATAAATAATAACTTTACAGGGCGAGCGAGAGAGACGACGAAAGATTAAAAGAGAACCAAAAAAATGTTAAAGATTATGATCCTCTCTATTGATTCCGTTTTTATATATATAGGGTGGTTAACATTAATTCCTTTTTTTTTTCTGGAGTCAGGTGACTTTTATTTTATTTTGGTCAAGGGTCAGTAGAAATTTTATTATTGATCCTTGTTTTTGAGATTTCTTTCCTTTTTAGTTTAGTTGAATTATAAAAAAAAATGTAAATCTGAATTTAGCAAAACACAGGGAAAAAAAATCTTAAATATGCAGACACGAACTAAACTTTGTTTAGGTAATGAAAAAACCAAAAAAAAACAAACAAAAGAACGAAAGTGAAACGGACTTTGCTTCGTGGAAGCTGGTGGTGGCTCATGGACGGCAATGTATGTTGATGTCCCATTGACTCACAACACGAAGACATTCCAACACGGCGACTGTAAAAATGGTGCGTTTTAATGTATGCTCCATTTAATTTGCATTCAAAAGCCCATGGGCTTTCCAAAGGCCCCAATTAATCATTCTTCTGAAACTTATTAGCTTTCAGTCTCCATCGTAGTTTAGTCTCGCAGGGCAATTCAGCGTTAAACCTAACTATTTTTTCTACTAAGACCTGAATATTACTCGGAGTACATTGGACTTTGGGGAATACAAGGTCCTGAACCTTTTTGTCCTTTTTATATTACAATATAATAATGGTAATGATGAAGATGGTTAATAACTTATTATCACGAAGATGCAGAAAATTAGCATAGAAGCTTTGGTCCATATAGCGTAAGTTCACGTTGTCGTGGGCTACATAATTTACACGTATAATCTATAAACTACGTAGGAACCACCACGCCTATTACATTTACATGGTCTCATTGAATCCACCGTTGTCAACAATTAAATTAAAATATACACATCTCTAAACGTGAATTTGCATCAAATCCCCAAAAATAGATCGTGCATGTTGCATCAAATTCAATTAATGACCGAAAATTCCCAATTCCTTCGGATCTGCCGATCATCACGCCAGCTCTTTTCATCGTTTTGACTTTGATTGTTCAAAGTCTACCTGTTTGGAAAATAGTATGCTAGTATAATTTAGGGTCGCAATCCCCATTTTTTTCATAGATACACGTGCGGTGTGACTTTTAACATAATCAAACTCAATTCCTTTTATAATTATGAAATGTATCTTAAAGGTTTCACAAGTTATCGTTTGCCTGTTAGAACTCTCGTTTTAGAGAGAAAGACGACTACAAGCATGTTATGATATTTACTCCCATAAAGACGTTAGATGATTATACCTATTTTAAAATGTTTTAACAAGTTCTTACACAAAATCTTTCTTTAATGTTCATTATAGGTAAACTAGTGGTGATATCTATTTAGATC